GACCTCGGAATCTAGGACCTGTGGGTGCAAAACAGAAAATATGAGTGGACGAAAAACAAACGTTAAACATAATTTATATTCAAAATAAATAACTAACTCTGTTTAATAAAATACTGTCAAAACACTATGCAACAAAGTTCTTTTGTATACGTACATATTTACCAACTGATATTCGCAAATATTTTAATTTAATTTAATTTGTACCTTAGCATACCATAATGAAAACCAAATCCTTAATACTTCCTCAATTTCTTGAAAACATCATTGGCTCCAACGTTTAGTCCTTAATATGAAATATAAGCATCAAACCCAAAATCCTTACTATGAAAAACCATACCCTTGCCAAAAATGCAACATGCTTAGTAAACTCAACACATTTCAAAACTTCAATCTCAATTCCAAACTTCATTTCAAAAGCTCATACCTGTGCTGAGCCGTCTTAATGCACATACTCAATAAACTCAACTTGGAAATAAGTCCACACATTCACCCGTATACATATACATATATAGATATGCATATAAACACACCCAAACTCAATACATCACTATCATGTACTGGGGGAAACAATCCAACCAGGGGATCGTTTGACTAGCCCACAGGGTTTCAACTTTCTACCCTGTGACTAGGGATGAGCTATCCAACCGGGAGACCTCCAATGCCACGTGTGCCCTAACCAAACCATGTCCTACTAGTGCAGACTGCCAGTCAAGGCCTACGGCACACCAGATCAAAGGTGCCCATATCTTTACCACAAGTTGGAAAATCCAACGCCACGTGTAGTAAAGTAACAGTAACCAGTATCCAAGTAAGCCCACAAGCCGAAAAATCCATTGCCACGTGTGGGTAAAGTAACCAGTAATCAGTATCCAAGTGAGCACACACGTTGGAAAATCCAACACCACCTATGGGTAAAGTAACCAGTAATTAGTATTCAAGTGAGCCCACATGCCGGAAAATCCAACACCATGTGTAGGTAAAGTAACCAGTATCCAAGGGGAGGTACATATAATGGTGTGTAACCCATAGCCAAAATATGAAATCCACTTTCACAAACCCATATATATATTTATATGATATACTCTCCCTTAATTCAATTTCCCAAAAACTCACATCCGAAACCAAATTCCCAAATTCTCAAAATGCACATCCATAAGTAACCCAATATCACCCAATGCATGTACTTTAATAATAATAATCCATGTAAATCCCATATCACATTTTCAAATGTTCAAATGTACCCAAACTCATATACATAAGCATCCCGAAAATTTTATAGTCCCAAACTCAATACCCAAACTCTCAAGCATTACAAAATCAAAGATATGACAAAATAACAATTCCATAATCCCAAATCATCAAAATAATCAAATTTACAATTAAATCACATATGCATGACATTTATTTAAAACAAAGGCCACTCACTACAGGTCCAACACTGCTTAATCATGAGAGAGCTCTTCCTCTGGAATACGCAAAGCAAGAGTACCTATTCGAGAGAATAAACGGGCTTAATTAACACACGTACGCAATAACGAACTTTAACTTAACACTTAACATCCCGGGTCTCAAAGTGTGCGCAAACTTTAAGAAGGTTTATAAGGTCATTCTAGTACTTCCCGAAGGATGAGATAACACCGAAGACTCATGGTTGACCGAGTGGTCAAACTTCCCATATTGGTCAACAGGCCCTCGGAGCCCACGACCTCCGATTTCCAATCCAAATGTTCCTATAAGTCCAACAAAGTCTACTAAAAAAGTCCCAAAGGTTCGGTCTTGATCGAGTGATCGGATCCTTCTCGATCAAACGATCGGACGACGATCGTTTCGCCTAACCCTAGGCTCATTGATTCGGCGTATCCGGGACTCCCATTCTCGATCCACAAGTTCCTACACGATCCTAGAGGTATAGATAACAACATATTTGAAATTGGAACTAATCGAACGGTCTGAAAATATCAAACCTGGATATCTCATAATAGGTGCAATATCCGTTTGACATTCAAACGACAACCAATTCCACGGGCACGGGCAGCGAATACTGTCATGCTCAGGACGACGTGGGGAGTGTTTTAGAACGTAATGGGCACCCACACTATGGCCTACGCTCCACCACCTTCCACGGGTAGCGTGTGAGTTCCTTGAGAATTGAAACACCCTACAATAACTATACCAACATATCAAGCACACCTAGGGGAGCATTTTTGGTTCTTAGACCCCGACCAAAAACTGACTGGAAGTGGCAGAATCGAAGCGGAAATCGTTGGCCAAAATGGGTATTTTGACAAATTTCCAAAACTTCAAAATCGATCTAAACCACCTACATAAACAGATAGAGCACGAAGAGTTGATGAAGTTTCATACCTCACTTGACAAAAATGGTGGCCAAAGTCGCCAAAAAATACTCAAAAGCCACCGGAGCTCTTTTTCGTTAAAATTGAGAAATCCTTGATGGTTGATGTCGATTAATCCTTGGGCTAGTTAGAGGAGGAAGAGAGGAACATTTTTCTTGAAGGTGGCGTGGCCAACCAGTGCACGACAACGTCGATTGGTGGCCGGGATGTCGAACAGTCATTATTTGCTATAGTGACTGTTGTGAATGGACAGAGGAAGAAGAATTCATGGGGGAGGAGAAGAAACAGGGGAGGTCGGGTTACTGTAATGTAGCAAATTTACAATACAATTCCCTTTTTGTTGTTTCCGTTCCTAGACCTTTACGCGTTCGTTATTACTTGGAATTGAGTGTGCCACATGTCTACGAACTCATGTCTGCAAGCTCTATGCAACAGTGCCGCTCAATTCCCCAAAATTCTTTCGGATCAAAAAGTGACCAAAGTGCCCCTACCCAAGGGCAAAATTGTAAAACCACGAATAGAAATAAATTGAATAAAATGATTAAACTAGGTCGGGATGTTACATGCTATGCATACTGGGTTTCCATGATGGATTGGTTGATTTGATCATGGATTGTTTTACTAATGTGACATATCATGTTTAGATTATGGGTTCACCTATGGGTCTAACTAATCCTACCAGGGTCTCAGACAAGGGGATCCCTTATCACCTTTTCTTTTTTTTTCTTTTTTCTTTTTTTTGATATGTTCGGAGGGGTTATCAGCTTTGTTGAATAGTGCACATCAGTAAAAACAACTTCATGGTGTTGCTGTTGCCTAGGGAGCTCCTACTCTAACACAATTGTTTTTTTGTTGATGATAGTTTGTTATTTTGTAATACACATCTCTCTTATTCTCATTCCTTGCTAACTATTCTTAGGTCATATAAGAAGGCGTCTAGGCAAAAAATTAATTTTGATAACTCAACGACTTGTTTTAGTCCAAACACTGATCTAGGGATGCATCAATTAATTTGTAGCATGCTTGGGGTGAGTATTGTTCCTTGACGTGAGCAATACCTTGGTTTACCTTCGGTTGGGAGGCAAAGCTGCTTTTAGATGTTTAAGCATGTACGAGATATGTTATGGAGTAGACTATATCAATGGAGTTCAAAGTTGCTTTCTTCGACTGGGAAAGAGGTGCTCATCAAATCGGTGGCTCAGGCACTTCCCACTTATACTATAGGGGTTTTCAATTGCTACAGACCTTATGTCAGGATTTTTCGACGATGATTTCCCATTATTTGTGGGGGAAAGAAGGGAAACGCAATATCCATTGGATGAGTTGGCGGAAACTTTGCAGGCCTACATGCTTAGAGGGGCTAGGATTCAAAATTTTTGAGGCTTTTAATAAAGCTATGGTGGTGACGCAAGCATGGAGACTCTTGGAGAATCCCGACTCCTTAGTTGCCCGTATTATGATGCAAGATATTTTCTTGCGAGGGATTTCCAACATGCAAAGGCGGGGAATTGTCCTTCCTTAGTTTGGTGAGCTATAGTTTGGGGCAAACAAGTAATTGAGCAGGGTCTGGTGTGGCAAGTTAGTAATAGGCAGTCTATTAGGGTGTTCCCAGATCAATGGATCCCTAAACCTTTTACCTTCAAGCCTCTCCTCAACAAAGGGCTTCCACAACATGCAATGGTATCGAATTTGATAACGCCTAATGGGGGATAGGATACGTCCCTAATTGATCAAGTTTTTTGTAAGGAGGATAAGGAGGCTATGTTGAGTATACCCTTTCTTCCATGGTTCAAAGAAGTGATAGACAGTTTTGCTTTTTCGAGAAGAATGGTACGTATTCTATGAAAACGGGCTATTGGATTGCTTTGCGGCAGGGAAATTTTGTGACGAAGGGGAAGGGAGTTCATCGGATATGGGAGCTTAGATGACGTTTTGGAAGAGGTTGTGGAGCTTGGAGATTCCGAATAAAATCAAATGATTTTGTGGCGTGCTACATCCGATATTGTTCCTACTGCAATTAATTTATTTATGAGGAAAGTGATTTCTTCTTTGCTATGCTCTAGGTGTGGTAGGGAGGGGGAGACTACTATGCATGCTCTCTGGTAGTGCAATTGTTTGCAGACTTTTCGTATTGGCATAGGGTGAAGGTGGCAGGTGGCTCGTTTGCAGACTTTTCAGAGAAGGGTACTAATGTTTTAACTGGTTTGGAGTTTGAGTCTTTTGTATGTATTTGCTAGAAAGTATGGCTGATAAGTTCGTAATTTCATACATTTGAATGCCTTCTTTCCTTAATGACTTTGCTTTGTTTCTCTTTATTTTGAGTCACTTACCTCTTTTTGTTTGTTTTGTAGGTTAAGACAACAAGAGATCACATTTGATGCAATCCATGCTTGTTAAGGGCTGATTGGGATAAGAGGAATATGAGTTTAAAGACAAAACCAATTTAAGCCACACTCCTTGTCAGTCTAGTTTCGTATGTCATCTTGCAGTCCTCATTTCAGCAACTTACACAGGTCGGATGAGGAGACATCCTTGATAGAAGTTGTTCCAATGGGTGTCTATTATAACATATCCAAATGTCAGCCCAATTGGATAAATCTGGAGCCCTCAGCATGTCAAAGACTGAACCAAGTTCACAGAAAAGTCATGTTGGCTGCCATCACATTTAATGTGGCTACATCCCTAGAGCCATGTGCTGTCACATTAGAGCAGCCACACACGGGAGACAAATCAACCAGGGAACTCAGAAAGATGAACAAAAGTCAAGCTTTCCACAAAGAAACCCAGAATAGTCCACCAAAGCATGTATTTGGCAGCTGGAGCAGTTGGCATGTATGGGCAGCTGGAGCAGTTGGGCAGTTGAGCAGTTGGGAGCAGCTAAGAGAGGTATGCTTCACCAGCCAAAAGGGAGGATGAAATTGCACTCTATAAATAGAGAGCTGCACACTCATTTAAGGGGGAGCAGACACACACATTCACTTCATCCATTACTCTCATACACACATTCAGATTCACCATAAAGAGAGAAGAGAGCTTGGAGCTGTCCTGGGAACTACAATGCTGCCAGCTAGTTCTTCTCTTCTCTTTATCCTATCTATGTATTTCTTATTTTCTGTATTTATAGTTATGTTTAACTAATCCATTTAGTTAGGGCTTAGGATGAAGCCCTAGTCATGAATATTCAATGTTATGGATGATTTTATAGTTAATTGATTTCCTTGCTTTCATTATCAAGTTGTTAATCTCCAGTTTATTATGTGCTTGATGTATGTTTTCTTGGAGTAGCTAACTAGGATTTTATGCATTTAGCACAGGTTGGGAAGGGGTTTAGATTCACCAATTCTACTCTCCTTTCACAAGCAACACATGAATGGCCTAAGAATCATTCAAGGGGTTTAATAACCATAAGTTGACTAAGATAGATACCATGTTCTAGGACTTGTGTGATTATCATATTCTCATGGAGCTTAATGACTCTTGTATGCTTTATTCTAAGTAGATACAATGCTTAGGTTGCATATTAGAGATCACGTGTTGTGTAGATACCATGCACGATTACATGCCTTAGGAGAGTCATGCATCCTACACCTAGATACCATAGGCTTGTATGCGATAATCTATTGTTGATGAAGCTTGAGTCAATTTCTATGCATTCATAACTTGGATAGGACAACTAGTGGTGGATTTCAAGGCTCTCACACCTCTCAATTATTGTTTCACAATCTGTTAATTGCAGCCAGTGTTCACTTTCAAGCACTTTCATTTCACTTTCTTCTTTTCATTTCAACAACAAAACCCCCCATTTTGAGTGCGTGTGTGGTGCTAGGATTTTGTCCTAGACCTTGAGTAATTAGCAAGAGGCATTGTTGAATTCGACCTTGCCTTTAGTTAGTTAGTTAGTTTCTTTGTTCTATGTTTTTCTAGCATTCTAAATAATTTAACTTGGAACCAAGTTACCATTCTCGTGGGATCGACCCCGTATTTACATAAGCTATACTATAAACGGTTCGTGCACTTGCGAGAATTAAAGTTGCTGTTTTTAATAACTCATTTTAGTTGTTAAGAATAGGTCCAACAATGGCAGTTGCGCAACTCTTATATCTATGGTAAACTGCAAGCTTTTGTGGAGGAGGCTGAAAATCAGGTAAGGGACTTATATGCACAATATAAAGAATGCAATGTAAAGACAAAAGTTGGTCGGGTGCCTCGGTATCTTAGGTGGATTAAACCACATGTTGGACAATTGGTTTTGAATTGTGATGGTCCTATTAAGAGGAATAGGAGGCGAAGAGGCGGACGATTTGGTTCTTGATTGCCATGGTGAGTTTTGTTGTGGTTTTGCGGTTGTTGGCTCAAATGGTTCCGATATTTTGGGAATTGAGTTGGCGGCTATTTGTAGCGGGCTACTTTTGGCAACTTCTAAAGGTATGGTTTATTTGATTGTCGCTTCTAATTCACAAGAAGCTGTGAATATGATTAATAGCGCTAATGGGTGGTTGAGTAATGTGGGTAATCTAGTTGATGATATTCGAATGTTGCTGGTGCAGTTGGGTAATGCAAAGGTGGTTTATCAACCTTATGAAGGTAATAGTATGGCTCATGCTATGGCTCAATTTAGAATAAGGGAAGACAATCAATTTTTCTAGGAAGGGGTGGGTCTAATATGTATTCAACCTTTACTAGGAAAAGATAGACAAGGGGATTAGTTTTATTATGTATTGCAATGATGTGCTACTGTTTGGGCCTAAAAACTGCGAACCCAGCCTATTTTATGCAGCCCACAAACATGAGCACAACTTGGGCTTGATGTTTAAAAGAAGCTGAGGAGCAACCCAAAATAGAGAAAGCCCAGACTAATTTCTCAAAATTCCGCGAGCCCAACCTAGAATTTGTCAAGCCCATGATAAATAAATAGTCTTGGGCTTTGAAGAAAAGGAAAGCAGCCCAAAACAACATTAGAGGCCCATGTCTTTTGCAAAAGTGGTAGAGGTTCAAAAACTCAAAAATAATAAGTAAATAAACCAACAAAATTGCCAGTTAAATGGTAATTCATCCTCAAGCAGGTCGAAAACCTCTAAGAAATTGGATTAAGCTCAGCTTTTGAAGAATTCTCGCCACTTGATCTCAAAAGCAAATTAGTAGATCTTTTCTCACTAAAGAAATGTTTTCCTAGAAAAAGCCCCACGTGACTGCCTGACTTTGAAAAGTAAAAAATTCCAACTATCACAGAGGAGTTGATAAAGAGTTAATGAAGGCAGGTATAAAAGGAAGACGGCTCCAAATTTTTGCAGCCAAAAGATCAAAATCCCTTTTTATATATACAAAAAAAACTCTGCACCAAAACAGGTGGCCTTTCCAAGAGATAAGCAGACTACGTTCTCAAGAGATAAGTAGGGAGCGAAGGAGTTGTTCAACTGGAAAAGCAAACTGACCATCATGACAGATTGTGTTCTTTCTCTTTATAAGGAACAAACGGAGAACAAAGAGAGTTGGTCTTTCTTTCAGAAAAGCAAGGAAAAGACCTCCATGAAAGCTGATTATTGATGGTTCTTATCTGCCAAAACAATAACTTCCTTCTTTTATGGCTTTGAAAAGAGAAAAGATTTTGAAAAGATATGCCGCCCATTATTCAAAGATTAAGAAAAACCCCACTCCAGCATTTCCTATAAAATAAGAGAGAGGGTGGACAGATAGAGGGCAGCCAAAAAAATCAATCAAGACAAAAACTCTCAAGGTCACAATTGACAAACTCAAAATGATCACTTGATCAAACATTGAAGCAACCAAAGCTCGTTGAGCCACAAGAAACAAGTCAACTATAACTCAAAATCTCTGATTTCAGTTCAGTTCAGAGAAATAGTTCTACAAAGCGAGATTTCTCTCGTTACAAATTTGGTTCAGTATAAGCCAAATCAAGCAGAGTTCGGGTTTTTACAAATATGAAAACCTCAACAAATTTATGGAAAGCCCTGATCAAGCAGAACAGGTACAATAGTGCAATTCTAGCTCAGTAATCATCAAATCCAGCCACTTCTGCCCCTTCTAGACTTGAGAGGCTCCAATTCTGCCCGTTCAAATAGCCTTCCAGGGCTTGAAATAGATTAAAGCTCTGCCAAATTTGAACGTTGGTATCGATTTACAGTTGAAACTTGACAGTTGAAGGTGTAGAAGGTCCAATCCAGCACAGACATACCCAGTCCAGCCTGGTTCAGAAGCAATTATCCTGGCAGAAATCGAAGTCCAAAATTCTGTTGTCTTATTTCGGAGTTGTCATTTCATTTTTAAGTCCTGTAATAGGTAGTTCTGCCGAAAACGGTTTACTTTCTTTTCATCTATTCTGGCTAGAACCACCAATTTTGTACAGTGAAAAATTGTGAAGTCCACACCAATCTGAGGCAAGAAAAGAATTTACTTGAGAGATATTCCTCACCCAAGTTCACAATCGCTTGTTTAGAGATCAATAACTTAGGGCGCAAGTTATCTATTTTTAAGAAGTCTACTAAGGTTTTTTATTGTTGAAGATCTTGGCATTGTTGGGGAGTGGTGATAAGCAATCGAGTGAGAAGATGTATACGGTAGTCAGTGATATTTTAGGAAGTACGATTCTACTAGTAATATGGGAAATGTTGTACTTTATGACTGTATTTGTTGCGTTTCTGCCATATATCCAAATCCTAAGTTGTTAGAACAGGCTGCTCAAGGCATCTCAAGATTTTTGAAGGTTTGAAGTTTGTATTTTTCAGTGTAATTTCCTGCAAATTATAGTATGCATGTAGATTATTTGGAGAGTTAAACACCAATTCCTTGTTGTATATTTGGTGGATAGAGTGACAGTCATAATTTGAAATATATGGGCATCGATGCCCTTGGTTGACTAATAAAGATTAGTCTAGAGATAGCAGAGCAATAAATATATGGGCACTGATTGCTTAGAGGTGAGAGAATTCTGTTGGGTTTGATGGATTGGTTTCAAATCAAGCTTTAAACTTTTAATTTAGATGTTTGATGTGCGTGATGCAGGATGACCAAGTCCTCCAATGTGGAAGTGATTGTGGATTGTATGATTGATATTGATTACAAAACATATATAGCTTCACGATGTGTGGAGCATGCAGAGCAATTTGCACCAAGTAATCAATGGTTTATCCAGGTAAGAGTAATACATATAGATGGAGTATTTTGTTATTGCTTATTAAACAGCCAATGTCATCCATGCCTGACATTGAATAAAGTGTTTGAACATGCGGGAGATTTGGTAAATGTCAAGGTGGCACATAACTTGATGAAGTTGATTGCTGAGGGATTTGGAGTAGAGGATGATGATTCTGCAGATAGTCAGTTGAGATCATCTGCAGTATGTAACTTTAATTTTGCACCTTATGTTTATAAATGGTTTATTCAATGTCATTAAAAAGGTGCTATTTTAGTTATTATATGGTAAAGAAATGTTATAGGAAGCCCCTCTAAATTTTGTGTGATTTCAATGACAATAATAATGTGCTTTCGTTAACAAAGAATAAAGTTGTAATTCCTGGCGACCTTTTCCTAGTTTCTAAAGCCATATTCTTTATGGGTAAATGGAGCCATTCGAGACGTTAGCTCTACTAGGACTGTTCAAACAGCAACTGGTATTCAAATAACCAAAATCCATTCACAATGTAAACGGGAGTTCGAAAACTACAAAATATGGATGATACTATTGCTACCCATCAAACTTTTCATCTTGCAGTTTCAATTGTTCCAAATCCCATTTCGTGTCTTTTGCAGGATTATCAAAAATGCTGCAGTTGAGTTGCAGCAACTTCACATGATGTAGACATGCTGGGATTCTTGTACCTTGCCAATACCAGCAGCATCACTAGTATAATGAGACATAATCTTTCAACAAAAATATGTTGGGCATATTTGGATGCCCGTTTACAATTAATGTCTGATTTTCAATAAATCTTGATTGGAAATTATGAAATAGATAAATCTGTTACATTTTGTCCCCAACATACATCAATTCCAGTGAATGAGATAGAAGAATCATAGACAAAATATATGTGTGGAATGAAAGCATTAGATAAATCCGGCTTTGTTCATCCGCGGATAAATGCTGGATGCATCAATTGAGAAGAAATGTATTGCCTTATGCAACTTAAAATGGAATCTCAGAAATTGATGGCGCCTCAACACACCTCTTCATTACCAGACCATTGCCGGAAATTGGGTTCCTTTCGACAACTGAACCGGGGGCTCACATAAACCACTTTGGAACCTCATTGCCTGAAAATTTAATATCGAATATAGGGCGCTAAGAAAAAAGATTTAACCCAAAACAAAAAGAAAAAAAATACTCACACCCTGAAAACTACAACATATACCCCAGAGATACACAGCAAAATATTGATAAATTTGAATTGAGCACAAAACGCAGATATATGACCAGAAATTGCAAAGATATCATTCAAAATTTAATGGATTTACATACTTTGGCTCCTCATTAGGATCAATGTGCCTCCTCTTTTGGTGATCCGCTGGTCCCGTAAACAAGGTAAGCCATTGAGCTTCATGATCACCAATGTCGACGACGTTAGCACGATGATCATCGTGAAGTGCCATGTAATCTGATTCGCGAGGCCTCTTGCCAAGACTAGTCTTTGATGCTAAAGACAAGGAAAGCAATTCGCAGTCTCGGTGTTGATCATCATAAATATCATCGTCCATCGCATCAGGTAACAACAACTGCGTTGGCCCATGATCAACAACATCAGTCTCACCGACATCAGCAACCTGGTGGCCTAATAGGTGGACCCCGCAGGGAATTTTAACGGTTGCGAACTTGCCTAAAAAGTTAAATATAACTTGACACGTATTACCCTGCTTCGTCAGTGGTTCTTCAAACTTGTACGCGTTTCGCCTATCCAATAATGGAATAGATGGGAAAATCTAGTGTCTTCTTCAGTCCCAACACTCCCGATGACTTGAAAAGAGAGCTGGGAACTATCCTAGGCATGTCAATTGTTACGGATACTGGAAAGTACCTAGGCTTGCCTACTCTTTGGGGCAGGTCAAAATGTGAGGCTCTGAATTTTGTGAAGGAAAGGTTGCTGCGAAAGATTGGAGGATGGAAGCAAGGTTTGTTATCACAAGCTGGAAGGGACATTCTGATTAAATCAGTCGCTCAGGCGATTCCAACTTACCCCATGGGAATTTTTAAGTTCCCCAAATCTTTCTGTCAAAAGCTGGAACGTGAGATTGCTAGGTTCTGGTGGGGTCAAAAACAGGATGAGACAAAAGTGCATTGGATTAGTTGGGCTACTTTGGGGCTTCCAAAGAATCAGGGAGGCATGGGATTTAGAGATTTTAATGATTTCAATTTGGCCTTGCTAGCCAAACAATGTTGGAGATTGATCATGGAGCCGAATTCCCAATGGGCTCAACTCTTGAAGGCTCGTTATTTCCCGGAATGTAGTTTCTTGGAGGCAAAGAAAGGTGGTCGTGCTTCCTGGGCTTGGGCAAGCTTGCTTGAGGGAAGAAAGATCATTCTCCAGGGAGCTCGGTGGCAAATTCTAAATGGTAGACAAGCAAAGATTTGGACAGACCTTTGGATTCCCTCCCTTCATGATGGTAAACTCCACCCCCACTTACAAGGCCCAGTTGATCCTAACACTAGGGTGGAAACTCTAATTGATTGGGATTCCAAATCTTGGAACTTAACCCCGATTCAAGATTCAATTACTGACGAGGAGAAGCTTGCTGTCCAGCTTATCCCTATAGGGAATGGAAGGGAGGAAGACAGATTAGTGTGGCCTGGGGAAAAGAACGGCAGATTTTCTGTGCGATCCGGGTACCATTACATCCATGCCCTGCAGGTTGAGACCACCGCCAGAAAAGCCTCCACCTCATCACGGATAGACCCCTTGGTGTGGAAAAATATTTGGAAAGCTGAGGTCCCGCCAAAGATAAAAAACTTCCTATGGCGTGCGACCCATGATAGGCTACCTACAGCGATGGCTCTCCACAAACGCAAAATTGCTCGAACCCCATTATGTCCTATATGCCAAGCTCATGAGGAATCTATTGAGCATTTGCTCCTCTTTTGCCCGTGGGTCGAATTGATTTGGTTTGGAGGCCCTCTTAATTATAAAATTGACAAGCAGGGAATTACCACCTTTGACCAATGGTTGCTGAAATGTACCATGGATGGGGAGGAGCTGGCTGCGTTGAATAACAAAAGGAATGTGAGGAGGCTTTACGAAGGACCCTCTCCAAATCCTACCTCTTGGACAACCCCGGATGCCCATGTCATTAAAGTTAACTTTGATGCTACTTGGTTGGCATCCTCTGGCAAAGCAGGAGCAGGTCTTATTGCACGAAATGCTAATGGTGAGTTCGTGGGAGCGAAATGCCTATCCTTTCAAGCGGAATCTGCGATCATGGCTGAGGCAATTGCTGGTTTGGAAGGTTGCAAATGGGCATCTGAGCTGGGCTTATCTGAGGTTTGCTTTGAATCTGACTCCAAAGAGCTGGTTGAGAGCGTGAAAGGAAACATAAAACGTGGAAGATGGAATCTATACCCACTTATATCAAGGATTCGTGAATGCAACTCCATCTTCTCAAACTGTAACTGGGCATGGACTGGTAGGAAAAACAATGAAGCGGCAGATCATCTTGCGTCGCTGGCACTATCGAGGTCGAGTCCGGAAGTCTGGGTATCCAGGCCCCCCACCTCTCTTGTGCATATCTTAAATCGTGACGGTCTTCCCTGCCCTCCTCGAGCCTCCACATAGCTTGCGCTGTTTCAAGTTGGCCATGACTCTCTGATTTTGGATTGTCGTACCATTCCCATTTCGTGGGGCTCTTTCTTGTAGCAGCTTGTATGAGGTTCTTTGAGTTTATGGCTTTACATGCACTTCTATTCTGTTGCATGGTTTGGGTTTTTCCTTGTTCTTTGAGTTGTAATTTGTTTGGTTTGCTCTCCTGCTAATGAAATTTTCTTCACCAAAAAAAAAAAAAAAAAAAAGACAAACAGACACATGACTTCCAGTAATCCAATACGATCCCATCTCTCATATGATCCAATCCCTCTCTCGTTGACGAGTTTTCCATTGAGAAGAATCTTGGCACTACCCCGAGTAACAACACACAGAATCAATCTTAACGTCTCCCATTTTAAATTTGGAGGAATTTCAAAACTAACTGCACATCTAGAACAATAATGTGTAACTGTTGTTGCATCTTTACAACAGCTGAACCACTTTGGAACTTCATCGCCTGGAAGATTAATGTCGAAATGAGAATGCGGAGAAGAAACAGAAGCCTGATTCAGAAAAATATTTTCTGTGATGTCGTAGCCACGTAGTCTAACGCAATTGGCCAAACTCAGATTAAATTTGTAATTCACCGGTGAGATTTCTGGAATTTTCTCCAATGATGTGCAGTTATCCAGCAATACCCAAGCCAGTTTTGGAATTTTTTCCAATGATGTGCAGTTATCCAGCGATACTAATTCTATTCTTCGTGGGAGCACTTGTTCTGGAATTTCCAGAAGACTCTTGCAATCACTCAAGTAAAGATTTAGCAAGTTGACAAATTTGCTAAAGGATATCGGAAGATTGACGAAATTGTTTCCCGATAGATAAAGTTCTGTTACTGTGGACCAGCAATCAAGGAGCAGGAGGAAATTAATTTTTGATACATTGCATTCCATGAGACTAAATTGATATAGGTTGGGAAGCAATTCGGAGTTCACCGTAATTGTAAGGTTCTCACAATAATCAGCGTGTAATTTTTCAAGACCAGTAAGATATGCAATTCCTGAAGGCAATTCTCTTACGCCACTTCCTGATATGTCCAAAGTCCGTAGTGATTCCATCTCGACTTCTATTTCTGGGAAACTCTCAAGCCTTTCACATCCAAATAGATTAAGTTGTTCCAACGATTTCAATCTAAGCGTTGTTCCAAACCTCATAAGCTTAAAGCATCCAGAAAGATCCAATTCAACAAGTTTATCAAGAAATCCAACAGAACCATCGACCTCAACCAAACGTGTGCACATGCTTAGATTCAAGTACTTTATGTTTGGGATTCCAGATAAGTCAGGGATTTTTTCTAAGAATTGACAACCCTTCAAATTCATAATTGTCAGATTTGGCGAATGCTGTGAGACAAGAACACAAGAACACAAAAACAGGAAATAATTAATTACACACTTCAAAAGACAAAACTTAGAAAACAATTTTTCGTTTTTTTCCTTCTGAAATTAACAACTCTATTTGAAATTATATATAATGGATGAAAATAATTACAAATGCATACCTTAAAGTTAAATCCATCCAATTGTTTGATATGACTGTGAGGCATATTGAACTCAACAAGATGATTTGCTTGAAAATTGGGTGGCAAAGATTGTAACTGACATCTATCCCAATCAATCAATCTTAAGGCGTTGGGCAGATAGTTAATGTGCCCATAGAGAGATGCATTACGGTTTATGAAAATTTCAAGATTTACCATATTACGGAAGCATTCTGGATTTAAGGTTATCTCAGCTGGGTCTGGAAGCTTCACCATGATGAATTTAATATTTCTTGTTCCCTAAGATAGAAAAGCATTAACATTAAAAAACGAAGTCATTTTACAAACCAAAATGCAAGCACATTTTGTTAAGAAAATTATATAGGTTACATAAAGTATTCTTTATTGTCAAATTGAATATAATAACATATGTGATACTTACTATACTTTCCGTTAGAACTTGTTCAACATCCTCATAAAACCACAATCTACTACGCTTGCCAGGATCATTGGGGGATTCTTCGTGAACTATATCCTTGCCCAGTTTTTCTAGTAAGTCGTGCATCTGAATCCTACCATAGTCAATAGTTATCATTGCCTTCTCAATGAGTACTTCAATACAATCTCGGGAGACCTTGTTCTTAGAATTTCTTACTATTTGTAGAACATAGTCCTTCTTTTCACCCTTGAAGAAACATGCGATGTCTAGAAAAAATTGTTGCATGGAATTTTCCAAGGCATCATAACTTTTTTGAAGTATTTTTTGAATACCTGTATATGGTTCTCCTTCATAACTATCTAAAATATCTTGCCAACGATCTTTGTCTTTATTACGAAGATGAGAACCTAAAAGTGTTAGAGCTAGTGGAATGCCTTGAGCATACGCTAGTGCACGATGTGCGAGTTCCCAATAATCCTTTGGAGGTTTGTTGGTTCCGAAGGCACTGAAACTAAAAAGCTCAAGAGCTCGGTTGCCATATAACTTTTGGACCTCGTATATCAAATCAATTCCATGACATTTTAGCAATCCGCTATCTTGTGTAGTTGTAATGACTCTACTTCCCTCACCAAACCAACCAACACCAGCCAAATTGTCTAATTGCTTCAATTGATTCACATCATCAAGAATTAAGAGAATTTTTTTATGGCTCAACCGTTCTTTTATGACACCAATTCCTTCATCAACACTACGAATTTTCCATTCTCCGCCAAGAATTTTATGAAGAAGAGCCTCCTGTAGTTTGATTAAGTCTCCATCTGACATTGAATTTTCTCTAACATTTGACAAGAAACAACTTCCTTCAAATTTATGTGCAATTGCATTCCATATAGCTTTTGCAATTGTTGTCTTGCCTATTCCAGATGTCCCCCATATCCCAACCATGCGACGATCATTCCCACCAACATATAAATGCCTTTCCACATCTTGTACACGAGATTGAATTCCAACTGGGTACTTGGCCACATTCCAATATGTGCGGCTCAGTACTTGGCTTAAGATTTCATCAACGATGTTGTTGATAAATGTAGTTTCATACCTGCCAGTTTAACCAAATTAGACACATTCAATGAATCAGATTTAAACAAATCCAACCACGCAAAAGAACACAACATACTCAAGTACGTAATAGTTCGTCTGACCAAAAAAGAAAAAAGATGTAATAGTTATTTAACGACAAACCAATGTTATGTATCATTCATATTTGTATGCCTTTTGAAGAGATTAATATATGGATTTTGAACTTTCTCCTTACAGCTATCGAAAATACAAAAGTACCAAAAGTACCCAAGAAAATAAATTTTCTCACTACAGTTGTATATTTTTATAAAAGAATACTTTTCTTTAATAAAACCAAAATAAAAAAATTTAAATAAAAAAAAGGGGAAATTAAGTTAACTTGATAAAGATAGATAACCCTAAAATATGGAATCAAGACGTCGAAAATATATTTTAATAAGCATACAAATACACTAATAATATATCATTTAAAAAAATATAGCTCAACTTCCCGCTATTTGGTTTCACATTTTTTTGTCAAGACATACGAAATTATCATATAATACTTAGCAAGCAACGTAAGATCCTACAAAGCAATCTAAAGCAAACATAAAAAAGTAGATATCATTGGTTTTCAAAGTCGATATGCAAAATGATTTCTTATAGAGAAATTATTTGTTAGCTAGCTGAGTTGATTTTGGCTTACCTTGTTCTACTTCAAATGATGAAGTTTTATGATAGCTCGTTTGGGATTGATTCTAAATAGGTCAATAATCACTTTTATGGAGAAGTACATGGGAAGTGTTTCTCTCCATAATCACTTAAAATTATTAATAATGATTATATAAAGAAGCACGTAGAAAGTGTACCCAATAAGTGACAGAATAACTCCCAAACGAATTTGGTAGATTTTCGTCATCATTGGCATAAGAGTTGGATTCACAAAATCGTATAACACATTACAAACATATCCTCGCTATTTCAAGTTCCAATGATCAATTGCAATTGTGTCTATAATTTTAGCTGGAAAAATTAAAAGGAAATTCCAATTCAAAAGTACTTGTAATTTTATATTTATTCAATTTCCAATATTATGAGTTACATAATTACATTACTCTATTGAGAAAAGTGGAGGGCATCTTCATCAAAACATTTTTTATAGATAAATTTAAGTAACATTACTCTATTGAGAAAAGTGGTGACTCATACAATACTCTCTATTTCCAATATTCTGCAGTTGCTGTACCCACCCACGTGTGGCAGCACACAAGACTTGATATTTTTCTTTTTCTAAATTTTTTAAATTATATATTGTTAGTGTATTTTATATGCTTATTAAAATATTTATTAAAAAAAAATTTAACAAAAAAGATCTTCTCCCTACAATTTAATATTTTTACAAAAGGATACTTTTCTTTAATAATGAGTAACAATTAAATGGGTAGCAAATAGTAATGAGAAAGAAGAGAGAAAAAAAATTAAACTTGAAAATGATAAAGATAGAAACATACTCTCCCTCCTTGAAATGCCATCCAGACAAATTTGCTGCTTCCGTAAGAGCTCTCCTCCATTTGAGCACTTTCTCCTTGTCATCCTTGAATATGCGTTCATGGTGAACAAATGCATCACCATAACTACTTCTTTGGTGTCGTACATCTGAGGGATCCACCTTGTAAAAAATGGGCAAAACTACTTGTTGCTTTGATTGTTTACATTGAAGGATCTTGACAAGTTCATCCAAGCACCACCTCGAAGATGCATAGTTTTCAGAGAATACAATGACAGAAATTCTTGATTCTTCAATTGCTTTGACAAGGGCTGGCGATATTTCTTCTCCTCTTACAAGCTCTCCATCAATGAAGGTCCGGATTCCCTTACGGACTAAAGCCTCGTGCAAATGATCTGTAAAATTGGTGCGTGTATCCTCGCCTCTAAAACTCAGAAAGACATCATATGGAGAAGACGGAGAAGAAGAGTCTGGTTGAGTGGTCATAGGAGGCAGATAAAACTGAAGAGAAAATCAAAGAATTGGGTATGGCAGTGGCGCTCTGGTTAGATTTATGAGGGCTTGAGGAAGCAGTTTCCTACCACCTTCTATGTGGGGGAGCTTTCGTTTCAACTTCAAGTCATCAAACGCTAGATTTTCTTTTTCATACTGACGCGGTCTTTAATTTGTGTGAGAGGCACTACCTTTCATTACCTTTTCTTTGCTGAATAAATTGCTTTAAGATAGTGCACATGGTCAAACGGTGATATTATTATTTGGTCAAAGATTTTGTTTTTAGGTCTGAAAATAAAAAATTGAAAGAATACTGAAACAAGTTTTATGGTTTGTTTTTTCTTAAACTACAATTTGTTGAAGTAAAGGGTGAGAAACCTTCAAGGCAACTTCTCGTCTTTTTTTCCTAGATGCGAAGGTACCTACTTTTTGGCTAAGGTACCTCTTCACTATTATTAAGGCTAGTTTGTATCTCTTTTCTTTCAATACATGGTATCTTCGATGGAAAATGTATTCTCTCTCACAATGGGGCTCTATGTCCGCGACTTTATATTTGAGGCTCTAAATTTTTTATGTTGTAATTTAGTTTACGTGTTAATGTTCTTTTTTATTCTTTTATTGAGTTATTTACACTAACACTCATTGAGTTTTTTGGCCATTTCACAAAACTCCCTGGAGTTTTAGAAATTACACAAACACCCCTCAATATTTTAAATTTTTTTTCACAAAACTCTTTTTATTAATTTTTGGGTTAATTTCAATTTAGTACCATGAACTCTCACCCTTAAAGTATGTTTATCCTTGCACTCTCATTTTTAACAATCATGTATCCTAATCTTTTTAAATTTTTTGCAATCTATTTTCGACCTTCAAAATTTCCCTTAATTGTCTACGTGGCACGCATGGGTATCACCTTTTCGCTGCTTTCAATGTCAATTGAAGGGTATTTTCGATCAATTGGTGTCTTCCGCAAGTACTTTTGTGAAAAAAAAATTATAACACATTTTTTTGCAAATTTGAGCGGGAAGGCACTAATTCTGCAAGTGCTTTTGTCAAAATTAACCCTTAATCTGCATTACTAAAATTGAGCCATTGCGGTTTTGTAAGTGGCATAAAAATTCAAAGAAGACCCCGAGGCAGACAAGTCTCTTCCAAGTGCAAGTCCTAGGGTGGGCCGTGTGGGTTTGGTATGTTTAAATTTTTTTTTTCCGGATTTTTAGTCCCACCTTTTACTATTATTTGCAATTGATATAAACTGCTATATAAAAAATAATAATTACAGAGTTGCTCTCATGTCACCCATGATGAGAGGGTGCATGTGCTTCATTTGGACCTTCATATGTGTTTTTTGAGTTAAAACTCTTTCTTTTGTTTACCAGCCCTCACCATATATATATATATATATATATATATTAATATTATAAAGATTTGTGAGGTTAAAATGTTCTATATAGATATTGTAATCTCAATGGGGTCTTCTATGTCTCCCTATCCCTTTTTCCCATTGATTTGAATTGGATTTTTTTATGCGTCAACGCAGTTTCTGTCTTATGCTACGTACCTACACTACAGTGTGAATGTGTTGGAAGTAAATGGTAAGGAACATTCAAGGAAACTTCTCCTCTTGGACGGTGATACCTACTCGGACAGTTGGTGTCAATTGCCCCCCATTGACACTTTTCTTACTTACAAAACAGGCCAAATACAAACTAGACTGTCCTTTGCCGCACCATGTTTGTCTAAAGCATCTTCACATGGTAGATCACCCTGTGGAGTATTTTCATAAAATCAAAACCAAAAGGGCCATAAGTACGAAATCAAGTAGAAATTTTAGTGCCTTTGCTACAATATATGCTATAACAAGAAACACATTCAAAGAAAAGGCATATCAATGTCTTTAAGTAGGGCCTGATTACTGTGATGAAAGTCTTCTAAGTGCGTGTGAGAGCCATAATAGTAAAGGGTAAGGAAAAGAACCTTCAACGTTGTTTTGATAGTGATACTTCCTTCCTGACGCGCAAAAGCTTTCTTTCATCAGTTCATGATGATGCCTTTTTCTTTTTGACTAACATCTCTTCACAATTGTTTAGCCTTCATTGACTGAATTCACCTCATCAAGAGAAATTTCGTTTGCACCTTGAGTCTGTAACTCTTTGTCTTTGACGGTAACACGCTTTTTGCTACATGATATATAGGTACATTATAAAAAAGTAGGTACTCAGAAAACATAAAATAATATATATATATATATATAGAAAACTTCCATTGAGGGATCCCTCAAATAAGCTTATTTGAGGGACACCCCTTGTAGGGCCCACTCCGGATTGTATTTCAATAATATATATATATATATATATATACACAAGTCAACTGCTTTCAAGACACAAGTAGGTACATTATTCCTATATTATAACTTCGTTTTCAAGACACAATTCAACTGCTTTTCTTTTCATGTATCCCTTTTTTCAGAAAAAAAAGAAAACAAAAACCACCATGCCAAGAAATGATGTGAGAATTCACTTGACAATATACACACTGAATCCACACAACGGAAAAATGTTGAAAGAATTCTTTGCAAGGGCCCTTATGATTTAAAAAATGACAGAAAATTAGCTTTGCATTTGGATAGTTTACATGAGGTTTGGTGATGAAGAAATTTCATTGCAACTGCAAGTGATCAAACAGCGATATTTACTCTACTTTTCAAGATGCCTTGCTTTTTCTTTAGGGTTGTATTTTTGCTCACCACCTTAATCTTAGGTGTACCTTGACCACCCCTTCCAAAAGTTGACACATGTCCATGGGTTTAATTATAGCTAATTCTTTATTTTTTATTTATTTGATGACATTATTATGAGAGATAAACAATACTTTAATAAGATTGTTCTTGATTTACCCTTATTCTAACCTAGCAAACTTTCCACTTTTCTAAATTAATTAACAACAACCCAAATAAATAATTGGCAATTGGCCTTATGTCTAATATGAATCTCAATTCACAGGCTTCAATACTTTGAAGAACACGCCCAAATACTTTGAATCTCAATTGGCTTTAGTTAGCTCCTTTTATCCACACCCAAAAGTTATACTGCTCTTCAATTGTAGGCTTCCTTCATTTGTTCAAGTGAAAGATAGGTAACTTCTATGCTACTTTTTTTCCTTCTTTTTTTAGTACTCTGTACTGCTTGATTATTTTTTGTACTTTGGTGATTGCTCTGCATTATTTAGTTTTTTTAGTATCAAACCAAATTCGAATTTAACAATTCTTGTCCTTTTTTTAAAATCTGAATAAACTTCCATAAAAACCAAAATCAACAAGCAATATTGGCTGTGAAGATTAAGTGTTTTTTTTGTTAAGATTAGGATGCCAATAGTTTCATGGGAAGTGGAAGACTGTAAGGTTTATATTTGGACCTTTATTGTATTTCTCTTAAACCAACAAAACCTTTGTAATATTAATTAGATTCTAGGTTAGAATCAATGTGGGTTGAAGGGCTTCCAAGTCTCCTCGTTGCAGGTCAAAAGGTAAAATCATTTGCATTGTTCACATGGATTAATCCATACTTCAATTGGATTGATCCAACGTACATTCTTGCATGCTGCAACACTTTTCTCGTCTGTTTTCAGTTGTATTAATACTTTATATGAAAGTAGTAATCCATTATGCGTCAGTTTTTACAGCTTTGTCAGATTCCTTTCTTGCATTGATATTTCTTATCTGACCAAAGCATGGGGTTTATTATATTTATTAATCACTATCTTTACAAAATATTAAACCCCTTCTTTCTAAAGACTTCTTAATTATTATATTCTTTCTTGAAAAAGAATTGATTTCTAAAGTCATTTGCACACATCTCAACTATACTTTTGTGCAAAACATGTGCATGCGTATTTGACAAAACCAAAGTCTGTTGTCTCCCACCTTTCTAAGAGATGGGTTATGAGTTACTAATTCTTCTTTTCAGATTATGGACCTTGGCTTTTATTCTTGTTTTCAATAGCCACTTGCGGCTACCCTTGGTTCCAAGAAAAACATCCATGTTTCTTTATTCTCCCTTTCCTAAAAACTGACAAATGCTTAAGAGTATTTTTTTCACTCTCAAATGGCTCATTGCCTTGAAGGGAGCATGTCTTTTAAATAACCCATACCCTTGTCCCTTACAAAAATTCTGATTGTCTCCCACCTTTAGAAGAGATGGGTTATGGGTTTTTTATTAAGTCTACTTTTCAGACTTGGACCATGTCCGGCTCCTTTTTGTTCCAAAACACCCATGATCACTTTCATCATATTTTATAGTGTTTTGGTCCCCAAAAGAATTTAATAATTCTTTACATCCCTCTTGTTGACGCAGAAAAATGGTTCGGCACTTTCCCGCGTAACTTAGTGATTTAGTTTTCCTTCGGTATGCTGTGGCCTCGGTAGGTCGTTATACCTGTAAGATAATGAATGCTCGGTAAGTCCTAAGGCACCGGTGTGATACCGGCCGAAGGCTCTCCGATGCTTAAGTAAGTACGGATTTGGTAAAGTTGAACTACAGATCAATAGGCAGTAGGCCGTAAGTTCTGATTGATTACCTCCAAGCTGGGATGGTTGTCCTCTTTTATAGGCCTTGGGAGGTGTGCAATTTGTTTAGAGTTTCGATGTGGGACTGTGGATTTCAATTGTGGGACTGCCACGTGTCGAAGGGGGTGACGTTGTCCTAATGTTGCGACCGGTAGGGATGATACCGAAGGTGGGTGCCGAATGCACCCATAGCCCTGGTTTGGTTCACGTGTCTGATATTCATTGGCTGTTCATTTTGGTATAAATATGAGTCCCCCAAGTCCTCTTGCGAGAGTTCTCGAAAGGAGATTTGAAGTCGTCATCGGAAGGGAGAGTCGTCCTACCGTTTGGTAAATCGATTTAGTGGAAGGGCTCAATTTTGACCCTTCCGTCCTTTATTCGTTCAGAGGCTGGCGTTGGCGAAGTCAGAAGGTCGCATCGAGTGGACGGATGAAGGGACATCTGAGCGCCTCGACTTCCGTGCCTCGCGTGCCGTCAGTCCCCCATAGGATGAGCGACACGTGGTGGAAGCAATGATGGTCTGTGGCGCATTAATGCGCCGTTTGGCTTCTCGAGGTGTACCGTTGCGAACCCTCGCCCTATAAATAGGGGTGACCCAGGGGGCGAAATCACTTTGTACTTAGTGAGAAGCGAGAGCACTGTTGAGGCGATTTTCGACGAGAGCTTTCGGTATTCCAGGCGATTTCCGACGAGTGCTAACGGCAACCAGGCGATTTCCGGTTTGGCAAACGGTAGGAAAGGCGATTTGAAGCGCAGTTCGCGTTTACTTTCCAGAGTGCAAACTAAGGTACCGTTCGGCACCCCCACTTTTCTCTCTTTGCATACCTTAAGAGTTACGTCCTTCATTGGTTTGAAATAGACTGACCATAGGGTTCCATTCGGTAGTCTAGTTGCCATAGGTAGTGATGTAGGGATCGGTAGGATAGTATCCGGCATGAGCCTTAGTTTCCTTTCTTCCCTGTTTTTGTAGATGTTCGATGAGGAGTCATCGGAAGGTCTCTTTGACTCCGATGGTGAAGCGGCAGGGCCCGATGCTGAGGATGGAAGTGATACCGATATCGAGATACTCGGTGAAGGGCCCAGCTCCGTCCCAATACATGGCATCGGAAAGGGGCTAATGACTGCTCCGGTGCCGTTGTCCATTGTCTATAGCGACGGCCGCCATGTGGGTCTAGGCGCCCCTGGGGAGGCGAGCGCTAGTCGCCAGTCAGAGGCCTCCACTTCCGGCCATGGAGAGTCAGCTGCCGAACCATCTCCCCGGCCGAGGGTTTCGATAGTCTATCCCAGCAATCCTAGGGTGCCGATGGGGGTTCCGAAGGAGCTCGTCTTCGGCGTAGATTATTTCGAGCCTAACAGGATCACCGAGAGGGAGATTGCGAGGTTTCGTGCTGAGTACTTCATACCAGATTCGGTAGGCATGAGGATCCCAAATCCTACCGAATCTCTAAGCAGTCCGAAGGATGGCGAAGTCGTCTTTTTCACGGGCGTACTTCTGCAAGGGGTGAGGCTCCCTCTGCAGCCCGCCGTTCAGAGGATCTTGGCGCAGATAGGCTATGCTCCCGGCCAGTTCAATCCCAACTTCTGGGTGGCGCTAATGGGTGTGGTCACAGCCTTCGGCATGGCTAGCGAGGGAGAGCCTTCGTACGAGCAGTTCTTCCATCTGTACAGCTTCATGAAGTCGAAGTCTGCCGATCACGGGGGCTGGATTCAGGCTAACTGCCTGAAGGCTACCGAGCGTGGCCATTTTGTCAACGCCGTGCCAACCTTCCAGAAAACGTGGAGGAAACGGCGGGTGCTTTTGTCTGGTGACTGGGAGTTGCCCTCGGGACATCCCGTCCGTTTCCACATTCCCACCACGTTTCAAATTGCCGGTAGGCCATCCTACCGAGCGCTACACAAGCAGAGATCCAGCAGATCGAGAGGGTGAGGCTGAAGGTCCCTGCCATGGAGAGGGTTTATCTGAAGTTTCTCTTCACCACCAATCTTGTCAAAGCTCAACTCGTCAGCCCTGCCGAGAGTAAGCATACTTGACCATTTCGATAGTTTATGACGTAAATGGGAAATCTGACCGATCTTTTCTTGCAGTGACCGAAGAGAGGAAGACTGCCGAGGCGAAGAGGATGAACGAGTCCTCAAAGAGGCGCCTTATGCTCGGCATGCAGGGGAAGAAAAAAGGGCGGCAGGCCGGAACGGCACCAGCGTCTTCGGGAGGGGTTGACCCTGATGACTTAACTCTCAACGAGTGTCATCGTCAGATGAACGTTGAATCGGCGCATGCCGAAGCGGCCGATGCTGGTCCATCCCCCAACCGAGGTATGACTGCCGAGGGTACCTCCTCCAAAGCCACCGGCAAAAGGCCGGTCACGGTCGATCTTGATGCCAATCCCGCTCCAAAACGCGGGCGACAAGCCGAGCCTGTTCGGGCCATCTTCTCTGCCGAGGACGACGAGGCGCCTCCCGAAGCTATCACCCTGGCCTGTCCTTCAAAGACGGTCCAGTTTGTGAACCACATGATTCTCGGTTCACAAATGGAGCTGTCCGAGATCGAGGACCTCCCGAAAAAGCTCCTTCGGGAGGAGGCTGGCCGCGCCTTCCGTCTTCAAGCTTCAGTAAGTACGTAACGATTTTTAGCATTTTCCTACCGTCTGTTTCCCTTTTCGTCTAACATTTTTCTTTGCTGTTCAGGCCTCAATGGACATGTGGTTGTGCATCAAGTTAGCCATTAATGCCGCCGAAAAGGCGAAGAAGGCATATGAAGACGGCAGAGCGAAGGTTGCCGAGGCTAGTAAAACCATCCAAGCTCAGGCGAACTTGGCGAAGGACATGCAGGCTGCCGAACGGCAAGTAAAAGTTTATCAAGCCAAGCTCAGTGAGATGTCGGCAGCCTTGGAGGCGGCGCAGCTAATGGCAAAGGAGGCTCTGGAGTCGAAGGAGGCAATCCAGGTGGCCTTTGAGGAGTCCGAGCGGGTCAGGGCTTCCGAGATCGAGGCTACCGTCCAGGAGGCGATACGGGGGTACCGTCGGGTCTACCGAGTTTTCTACCTTGCTTGACAAGGAAGTAGGCTTGGAAATGGCGGACCTGCTCTACCGTTTCAAGCGGTACAACCCTGGGAAAAAGCTCAACCTCAACTTCATTGCCGATCCTCCCCCTCTTCCTGAAGGCATAACTGAAGAAATGATCGAGGAGTACGAGGGAGAGGATGCCGCAGAAGAGGCTCCTGCCGATCCCGAAGGGGGTACTGCCGAAGGTGATGGGGTTGCTGCCGAAGCCGATGAGGCTGCCGCCTGACAGAAAGCTTCGTACGCTCTGCAAGGATAATCTTCTCCAAAAGCTTCTTCTCATTTTCAACTAAAGCTGGTTGAGCTCTTGGAGATGATAAAGGATTACGAAGTGGAGGACATCCCGGGAGAGCCCGTTGCCCATGATACCAAGGAGAAGACTGCCGTTTGATTTTGTCTAAGTTTTTGAATGTAATCTGTAATGTAAACTTGATGTCGTGAGCATCTTTTGATTGAACCTTTGATGCCGTGGGCATATTTTCATTGTATCTCGATGCCGTGGGCATCTTTTAATCGAAGTTGTCTTTAATTTCAAACTTGATTGCATCTTATTTTTGAATCGGTAAGACACTTAGGAAAATTTCTTTTTATATGTCGAGGGCTATGTAAAAAGGTCACTGGCCATTGGCCAATAAAGTTACCTTTCAAGCAAAATTTCAACTAGTAGGCAAGGATTAAAATATCGGCCGTGCAGATAATATCGGGCCTCCAATTTACGGATATTTCTGGGGATATATCGTTATCGTTTTAGGTATCGGGAAGAAATCAACAAAAATGACAGATATAGGCATTGAAACACATCATTTTGGTGTAAAACTTTCATAGATGTTATGTACATTGTCAATGAATGTATTGAACAAATAAAACTCAAAATTTACTAATAATAAGATATATATATATATATATATATGATGAAGTATAAGTGGTATGTAATGCGCGTTAATGAAAAGTTTGAAAATAAAAAGTTGATTAGAATGAATAAACCATGCATAAATCCATAGTTTATTTAAACATTGGATTACAATTTAGATGAGTGTCCAACTACATAAATGAAGAGCTCCTATGAGGTTCAAACAATGAGGAACAACCATCTAGATTCATACAATAATCATACCAAGTCATGTAACCCGAGTAGTTTGTAAGCCATGTTTGAACATGGTGCACATATGTCTCTCTTGAGCTCCCTACTGTCATCCCATATATGGGATAGTTAGGATTAACCCAACTAGTAGGTCCATAATCTGTTTCCTCATCTTGAGCTCCATATCTAGTTCCACTATAATCAGACATGACATAACCATAGCCATCATAAGATTCATTTGAGTTAGTACTAGGTCTAGTTCCTATGCTCATAGATCCAAAACTGATCGCCATGTCCTCTTCAGATGGATTGATTGGTTGGCTTCTTTTCTTTGAGTATTGCTTCCCAATTGCGCCAATGCCTGGTCCAGCTTCTCTGCATCCATGATCCTCATCTTGGGTGGCATGAGTAAAATCAGCCTCAACAGTAAATGGGCTGTATTGTCTTCCTTCTTCATTACCTCCCGATCCAGCATTACTTCCTCCATCATTATCTGACGAATTGGATGAACTTTCCATTCTACTAGCACTAGCATCGTCTCTCAAGGGACGTCTTTGACATTGCCTAGGTCCAAGCATATCCCTTTCAAATGATGAAGTATCTCCACTCCTAACATCTTCGGATATGACTCTATCAACATCAACTCCTTCTTGGGCAGCATGTTGTGCTATAACGGCATCAGGGTTGCCTTGTTCATCATCCAAGTGAGCTGTCATAATCCATTGTTGAATTGGATTATTATCATCATCAGATGGTTGCCTTGCAATGTCAAGAAGGTCTATGTAGTCATTTTCTGCAACCTTGTTCATTTTAGCCTCTTCATCACGTAGCTTAAGTTTCATATTATAATAGCAAAAGACAATCTTTTCCAGCCTAGTATATGCGAGACGGTTCCTTTGTTTCATGTGAATAAGAGCAAATGTACTCCAATTTCGCTTACATGCCGATGATGATGCTGTCTGTGACAATATACGCATAGCAATTTTTTGCAAGTTCGGGGCAGAATCACCATGAAGATTCCACCATTCTGCTGGGGGGATCGATTTTCTTGATTTGACGGCCATCTCAGTGCGAAATGTCTTTCTACAGTCTCTAAAATTTATCACCTGGATCACAATGTTTTGTGTTCAAGATGCATAAAACTAAATTTAATGAGGAAGACATTGTTTTGTGTTCACTTACCTCAGCCCCAAATGCTTGCAAACCTCTATCCCCAGTTGGGTTCAACCTTTCAAATACGCGTTGGAGTCCTGAAAGTAACTCTTTATTGTGGCCAACCCCTGTTTCATATTGATATCTAGGGTTCAAGTAGTGGGCTACAAATATGAAGAGTAGTTAATACCCGTTGTATAAATTTAAAAATTGATGCATATTTTTACTAAAAGATTAAAACATACCAGCTTGATGTAATGGACGAGATAATGTGACATCCCATCTGTGATTGATGATTTTGAGAAGCCATTTTTTTTCCTTCAACTTAGAAATCTTCTCTTTCATTATGTGAAACATATCATATAAGATAGGCATGGTAGGAACTACCTCTGTGTCAACAATTCGCAAGATGCTATACAAAGGCTCATAGATGGATTGCACTCCTTCCATGGCATCCCAGAATCTATGATCAAGGACTCGACTTTCAATTCTCTTCCCCTCTTCTGATTCACTAAATCGACTATTATACCATTCCTCACTTGTAAAAAGTTGCTTCAACCCAGCTTTCTTATTTAAGATGCTATTGATGGTGATGTAGTTTGTCGCAAATCGAGTTGCACCGGGTCGGACCAAATCTCCTTGACAGAAGATCCTCATCTGAGCCAATAGCCAACTATGATTGTAAATGTAGTTGGTTAATTTCCTAGCCTTATTTATGACATTAGCCACCGACTCTTGCTTCCCAATATCTTCAAATATTAAATCAATGCAATGTGCAGCACAAGGAGTCCAATAAATAGGGTACCGCTCCATCATCATTTGTCCAGCCTTAACAAAGGCTGAACCCATTGTCGGTGACAATATGAACAACATTCGACGGCCCAACCTCTTTTATGACATCCTTCAACAATTTGGCAATGTACTTTGCATCCTTGGTTTTATTTGAAGCATCCACTGATTTCAAAAAAATTGTTTTCCCTTGAGTAGACCATGAAATTTATTATGGACAACCTCGTGGGGCCAGTCCATCCATCACTCATGATGGTGCATCCACACACGCCCCAATCTTCCTTTACCTTTTCCACATAGGCTTGCATGTCTGTGTGTTCCATATCTAAGTACTTATGCTTTATTTCATAAGGTGATGGTGTGGCTACGCCTTGACCTAATATAAACTCATATTAGTAATTGGTATGTTTAGAATATTTAAGTTCAAGAAAGGAAAGTTATAAGGAATAAAGCAAAACCTGCTTGTTGGGCTGCAGCAATCATATTCTTGAAAAGAGGGGAACTTGCTTTTTGAGGAGCCACATTCTCAAGTATGAAGAATTTGCTGCAGTATCTTCCAAGTACCTCTGCTGAGTTTCTAATCATGCCTTTTATTTTTCTCTGTTTTGCTCTAGTGTTCTTGTGTGGCATTGGTACCGGAGGAGATGGAAGTGGGTCTCGAAGGCTTTGAGTGCGACGGTATTGCGGTTGACTACTACCACTTGCTCCCCCTGCAAATCGTTTGCTTCCCATTCCATAAACTCCTCCTTGTCTAAACCGTTCTTGCTTCGACGCTCTAATGGCAGCAAGGTAATCTTCTTTCTCCGCAGGGTGCATGTCTGGAGGATATGCATATCCATCGTCATCATCGTCATCATCATCATCAACAGGATTGCTACTTTTATTGCCCATGTATCCCTCTCTTGCTGTAGATCTTATGTTTTCTTCAACAGATTTCTTATGTTGTTTGCTAGACTCTTTCTCCTTTATCCATGCAATTACCTCCTTCTTAATATCTGGTGGTACTTCTTTGCACTTCTTTACACTTTTATGTGGATCAAATCCGGCCAAATGATACTTTAACCGTGTAATTCCACCACTTTTAAATGTGGATTCACAAAATGTGCATATGGTGCCATGCTTATTGCCTTCTATTGGACGAGCATATTTCCATGCCACATCAAGACCACCAGGCACACTAGCTCCACTCGGTCCACTACTACTTGCCATTTTTAATCTATCACACTTAAAATATATTAAATAAACTTACAATATCAAATCTATCACAAAAATAATATAGACCATGAAGGAGAGCCATATACCTGAAATAGCAGTCAAAGAGAACTTGCAAACAAGGAAAGAAGCTCACAGACTAAATAAAAATTGAAAAGCTAATAGAGAAAGAAAGAGAAGAGAAGGGAAGATTTGGTGCCCCAAAAAAAGCAAAATAGCCTTTGATTTAAAGAGGGCTTCTCTTGTGATAACAATGGGAACTTTTGGGGGTTGGGGGACAATGGTATATGGGCTTTGGCAGACTTTATTTTATGGATTCCAGTTGGATAATTCTCTGACTTTGATGGAACTAAAAGTAGCCAAATTTTTGGAGGTATGTGGGCAGTGAATTGCATTTTGCCAATTGTCTGACTTTGAAAAGTGAAAAAGAAACAACCAAAAAATGAAACAAATATTAAATGATAAAGAGTTCCACAAGAAGCTCAGACTTAGATAAAAGCTTTCAACAGTTTAAAGGCGGAACAATAAGCCAAAAAAGAGAACCCCAAAGCTCAAAACAGTATTCCAAGCACGAAGTAAAGAATCAATTCTTCTTCCAAGTTCTTCTTTTCATGGCTCAAAAAACAGTCACTCACATTCTTTACATTATTAATTATTATTATACTAATATTTTGTCTATCATATAATCTACAAATTTACAAATATAGTGGTTGTGATCAATACACGTTAGACCAAAAGATGGGAAGCCAAGTTAGTGGTAAATAAGCTTGAGATAGGACATGTATGTCCCTTCAATTGACTATGCATAGATTCTTTTGATGCATACTCCAAAACATCCTTTGCATTGAATATTGCCAAAAGCCTTCACACATATCTAATCACTGCACATATACCTCTAAAAAATATTTTCAGTTTCAATTTGCTTCAAAACTTTTTAATTTTTTTGGGTTTTGTTATGGGTATCGGGAAATATCGGCAAAATATCTGGAATATCGCACTTATCGGGGATATATCGTCGATATAGGGGAAGATATGACCTTACCCCCCAATATCGATGTCGACAGTTCAAAATGTCGATATATCGGCTGATATATCGGTGTATTGGCCGATATTTCAATCCTTGCTAGTAGAGATTTGAGAACAACAGACGTACTTGCCGAAGACTAAGTAACGGCTTTTAAGTGCCGAAGGCTAATAAAAGCTGAAACCCTTGGTCCAGTGGGTAACTAAGGTGATCCCTTCAAGTTGTCCTTCGATCGGTAGGCTAATAGCGATGCCCAAATGCGTAGTTTACCGTGGTCGACCGATGCCCGTCTCTATCTTTTTTTTTTTTTTTTTTTTTTTTATTTTTATTTAAAGAGAAGCTTAAGGGTATACCGAAGGTTTTGAATATACGAGCCGAGGGCCCTTTCATTGATAAATTGCCGAAGGCAAAGATACATCTGGAGTGCGTTTTACAATTAAAAACCTGCCGTAGGCGAGGGGGCGCTATACTGCCGAAGGCTGTGACTATAAAAAATGCCGAGGACTTTCGGGACTCTATTGTAACCCTGCCGTAGGCTAGGTGACTTCATTTAAAATAATATTTCAAATGCTCTACATTCCAAGGATGACCGAGGGCCTTTCCATTGGAGTCTCTGAGTCGATAAGTCCCCGATCGCTGGATACCGATGATTTCGTAGGGTCCTTCCTAGGTAGATCCGAGGGTTCCTTCCGTAGGATTCTTAGTTGCTAGAGAGACTTTTCGCATGACCCAGTCTCCAATTCGGAAATAGCGGGATCTGACCCTGGAGTCATAGTACCGAGAGACGTGTTGCTTGTAAGCTTCGTTCCGAAGGTTGGCTTGTGCTTGGCGTTCTTCGAGCAAGTCGAGGCTCAAAGTGAGCGCCTCTTCATTCGCTTTCGGTCTGAAAGCTTCCGTTCGATAGGAAGGCTCTCCGATTTCTACTGGGACTACCGCTTCCGAGCCGAAAGCAATGGAGAACGGTGTTTCCCCAGTTGCCGTTCGGTAGGATGTCCGGATGGCCCATAACGCCTCTGGAAGCTTCTCCGGCCAGGCTCATTTGGCTTTGTCAAGCTGCCGTTTCAATAGCTTCTTGACAATTTTATTCATTGCTTCGACTTGGCCGTTCGATTGGGGGTGAACTGGCGAAGCAAAGAATAGGTTGATCTTGAGTCGGATGCAGAACTCTCTGAAGACTTCCGAATCAAACTGCCTGCCGTTATCCGAATCGGCAACAGATGTTCGTCCAGACGAAATCTTCGATTCTGGCTGCCGTTATCGTCGCTAAGGCTTTGGCTTCTACCCATTTGGTGAAGTAGTCCACGGCAACCACAGCATATTTGACCTGACCCTTGCCCTCTGGCATTGGACCAATTAGATCTAACCCCCATTGGGCGAATGGCCATGGACTCACAATCGGTGAGAGCGGCTCGGCAGGAACATGAGGGACGCTACCGAACCGCTGGCATTTGTCACACTTCTTGACTAACATGTTCGCATCTTGGTGCAGAGTCGGCCAGAAATATCCTTGTCGGAAGACTTTGTGTGCGAGCGATCGGGATCCCGAATGGTCACCGCATACTCCGCTGTGGACCTCCCGAAGGATGTAGTCCCCCTGCTCCTTGGTTAGGCATTTTAGATACGGTGTGGTGTAGCCTCGCTTGTACAGAACATCGTTGATGACCGTGTATCTTGCCGATCGGTAACGGAGCTTCCGAGCCTTGGACTTATCGGTAGGAAGGGTTCCGTTTGCCAGGAAAGCATAGAGGGGAGACATCCATGTGTCCTCGTACCGTACGGTACTCACCTCAGCGGTTGTCGTGCTTGGCTAGGACAGTATCTCCACCGGTACCTTTCTTCCGATCTTGTCGTTTATTGCCGAAGCCAATCGCGAAAGCGCATCGGCGTGGCTGTTTTCTGACCTCGGGATCTGTCGTATCTCGTAGGCCTGGAATTTCTGCAGTAGTTGGTGGGCCGCCGATAGGTAAGCTAACATAGAGGCATCCTTGGCTGCAGAGTCTGCCTTTATTTGATTTACAATGAGCTGGGAGTCACTGTGAATGCTGATTTGCTTCATGCTCATGCTCTTAGCTAGCCGAAGGCCGGCCAAGAGAGCCTCATACTCTGCCTCGTTATTAGAGGTCCGGAAGTTGAATCGGAGGGCATATTCGACTTTGCTACCATCCGGAGTGGTTAACACTAAGCCGGCACCATAGCCTTGCTGGTTTGCCGAGCCATCCACGTGCAGAATCCAGAGAGGAAGGGAATTGTCAAAGCGTTCGGCATCCACTTTCTCCGGTGTAGTAAGGATAGAGTTCGGAAAGGATGTTTCCGATAGTGCAGCTCGGAGATGAAATCGGCGACGGCCTGACCCTTTTCTGCAGGCCTTGGCTTGAACTGTATGTCAAATTCTCACAACTCGATTGCCCATTTGACCAATCGCCCCGACATTTCTGGCTTTTGGAGTACCTGCCGAAGTGGCTGGTTTGTCAGAACAGTGATCTCATGCGCCTGGAAGTATGGGCGAAGCCTTCGCACCGAGACGACCAGGGCCAGTGCTAGCTGCTCTAAGGGTGGGTACCGAAGCTCTACACTCTGGAGTGCCTTGCTGACGTAGAAAATCGGTAGCTCTGCCTTCTCTGGCTTCCGTATCAATACTGAGCTGACGGCAGTGTTGGATACCGAGAGGTATAGGAGGAGGACTTCTCTTGGGAGCGGTTTCGATAATAGCGGTGCCTAGCTCATGTAGTTCTTCAAGTTTTGAAATGCCTGGTCGCATTTGGGAGTCCATGCGATATGATGTTTGCCCCCTTTCAAAGCTTTGAAGAACGGCACGCACTTGTTGGTAGCCTTGGGGATGAAGCGTGTCACGGCAGTGACACGCCCGGTAAGGCTTTGAATGTCCTTCTGCGTCTTCAGCGTCTCCATGTCGATTATGGCTTTGATTTTCTCGGGATTAGCCTCGATTCCCCTTTGGTTGATCATGAATCCGAGAAATTTACCGGAAGATACACCGAAGGCGCACTTCGTTGGGTTCAGCCTCATCCGGTAGTCCTTTAGTATACCGAACATGAGGGCTAGGTTTTCTAGATGCCCCCCTGCCGTTCGGCTTTTCACCAACATGTCGTCGACATATACTTCCATGATGCTGCCGATGTGCTTAGCAAAAATCCGGTTGACGAGCCGTTGATAAGTTGCTCCCGCATTTTTGAGGTCGAAGGGCATGACGTTGTAACAGTACAAACCGCGATCGGTGATGAATGCCGCGATCGGCAAGGAGAAACTGTCCTTCGGACAAGCCTTATTCAGGTCGGTATAGTCCTGACACATCTGCCATCCTTCTTTGGCCTTCCGAACCATGATTGAGTTGGCAAGCCAGACAAGGTACGTAGCTTCCCTGATAAAGCCGATGGCTTTGAGCTTGTCAACTTCGGCACGCATTGCCTCGTACCGTTCGGCATCGTATGAGCGGCGCTTCTGTCTGACCAGTTTGTGGGCGGTGGAGATGCTGAGCTTGTGGCTGATGACATCAGGTGATATGCCAGGCATATCGTCATAAGACCAGGCGAAGACCTCCGCCTGTTGCTGTAAGAAGTCGATGAACTGTCTTCGAAGGTCGGGATCTAGGATGGTGCCGATCTTCACCCACCGATCGGGGAAATCCTCGTTTAGGACCACGGTTTCGAGCTCTTCGGCAGGCTGCGCCATCGGCGTTGGCGTTTCCTCCTTGGGGTCATCAATGGGCCCGCTACCGTTCGATAGTCCCTGCACGGTCATGGCTTCCATTGGCGGTTTGCAAGCTACCGACTTAAGGGCTGTGGCATAACACGTCTGTGCGCTGAGCTGGTCGCCCCGGACGGCGCCAGTACCGTTGCGTGTTGGGAACTTCATCAGCAACATGTGGGGGCAATAAGTGGGCTTTGACCCTGGTGAGTGTCATTCGCCCTACAATGACGTTGTATGCCGTTGGGCAATTGACAATGAAGAATTGGTCGTAGGTCATTGTTTTCTTGGGGGCGACGCCGAAGGCGATGGGCAGGCTGATACTGCCGACTGGCTGGACCAGATCCCCAGAAAAACTGAGGAGAGGCGTGATTTGCCGATTGACCATGCTGTCGGCAATCCCCAGTCCCTTGAACGCATCGACAAAAATTACGTTCACCGAACTCCGGGTGTCGATCAGCACCCGACCTACATTGTAGTTTGCGATCTCGGCCCGAATGATCATTGGGTCATCGTAGGGGTAAATGATCCCTTCCTCTTCTTCTTCACAGAATGTGATGGGCTCCCATCCCACCTTCAGCACCTTTCGGCACCGATCGTCTTCTATGCCGAAGACCTGAGGGTAGTGGGCGGCACACACATACTGTTTCATTGAACGGTTAGAGGGTCCCGCCAGAGTGGGGCCACCGCTGATGGTGCTGATCATGTTGATCTGCCGATTCGCGTTCGGTGCCGATGCCTGTGGTGGCTTGGCAATGTGGTGATCCAGCTTTCCTTCCCGAATCAGACGCTTAACGATCTTCCTCAGACTGATGCAGTCTTCGGTGTTGTGGCTGTTCTGCTGGTGGTATCGGCAGAATTTGCCAGTGTCCCGATTATCCTGCCGATTGGGCTTTCAGTTCGTTGGCTTCGGGATTTGGTCATGTTCGTTCATCAGAACGGTCTCGTATGTTGTGTTCAGCAGGGTGAAGACTTCCTGGGCACGATCGTGATTCGGTAGCGGCGAACGGTGGTCATTACGACCGTATTTCCCGTGCCCCTTCTTCGAGTTTCTCTGACGACTATCACGGTCGTCCTTCCGTTTGTGTCCTGCCGAAGAATCATCAGTTCGCCTCGGATAACTCTTGGTCGCTGGCTCCTCCTTCCGAGCCGAAGGCCCGGGTTTGGAGTTGAAATATTCGGCTTTCGCATGAACTGCCGCCTGCTTCATCAACTCGTCGTATGTGCGCCAGTTACTACTATGCACGAGGTACCGGAAGTGAGAGGACCGAAGGCCACTCTTGAAGGCACCGAAGGCTGCCCTATCGTCCGTTTCTGGACACCTCGAGTATTCGTGACTGAAGCGCGCTGCGTACTCCCGTAGGGGTTTGTCCTCTCTCTGCCGAATCGTGTACAGATCATCGGCAGAGTACAAGCGGTCTGTCTGGATCATGAAGTGATTGAGGAAAATCTGTTTCAGTTCGTCAAAGGAGTCTACCGTCCCCGGCTCAAGACGGTAGAACTAGTTTAGAGCGGCTTCGGTAAGGGATGATGGGAACAGCAGGCATTGCCCCTCGTCGCTGAGGCCCTTGCATCCAACTGCCGATTGGAAGGAGTGAAGGTGCGTCAAAGGGTCCTCCACGCCGGTATAGAACGGTATGCGCAACGGTTGCACCTCCCTGTCCTGTCTGGACTTCTTGATGTGCTCGGTAAATGGTCCTGGCCGAAGTTTTCCCCAGTCAGGGACCTGGGACCGGGTTCGGTCATCCTCCATCTTCTGGATTCTCTGGAAAAGCAGGCGGATAGCGGGGTCTCAGCTTGGGACATCCTCGGAACTGAAGTCCTCGGAAGTTCTCCTCGGACTTGGTGGTCTTGCCTTCGAATACCCCGGGGGAGTTTCCGAACGGTAGTTTGATTCGGTGCCCTTTGTGGGGACGTACTCATCGTCAGATTCCAACCCCGAACCCAAACCCTGGACCTTCCTAAGGGGCGATTTATCTCCCAGGGCCTTCATCCGGTAGTCCCGCAGGCGAGCATTAACCCTGATTGGGGACCTATGCCGTTCGGCATCCTTCTTGTCGTTGAGCCGATGACGACAATCGGTGTACACCTTCTTCGGTACGTGAGGTTGGTCCTGTGGAGCCGGGACCACCAACTGTTTGGAAGGCGCAGGCGCTGCCTTTGCCCCCTGCTTTCCCTTCTTCTGCCGACCGGGGGTCTGCTGACTCTGGGAACACTCGGTAGCCTGAATGCTCTGTGTTTCCTGCTGGTTAAGCAACTGCTGGGTTTCGTTTACTTTGGACGAGAGGAGATTGTTATGTTCTTCGAGTTTAGCCATCTCCCTCCAAAGGGAGGTCATTTGAGCTAGAAGCTCCGCTTCGACCGTGGTCTGAAGCACTGGAGGATTACCGAAGGGGGTGCTAGGGTGCAGCGCGAGGCTTGCTCCACTTGGCATACCGTACGGTAATCCATCCTCCGATAGGAACTGTGGTCCTGAAGTGGTCCCCATATGTTTTTTAGGAATTGTAGGTTGATTGTTATCGTTTCCCACAGACGGCGCCAAACTGTTGACGCAGAAAAATGGTTCGGCACTTTCCCACGTAACTTAGTGATTTAGTTTTCCTTCGGTATGCTGTGGCCTCGGTAGGTCGTTATACCTGTAAGATAATGAACGATCGATAAGTCCTAAGGCACCGGTGTGATACCAGCCGAAGGCTCTCCGATGCTTAAGTAAGTACGGATTTGGTAAAGTTGAACTACAGATCAATAGGCAGTATGCCGTAAGTTCTGATTGATTACCTCCAAGCTGGGATGGTTGTCCTCTTTTATAGGCCTTGGGAGGTGTGCAATTTGTTTAGAGTTTCGATGTGGGACTGTGGATTTCAATTGTGGGACTGCCACGTGTTGAAGGGGGTGAGGTTACCCTAATGTTGCGACCGGTAGGAATGATACCGAAGGTGGGTGCCGAATGCACCCATAGCCCTGGTTTGGTCCACGTGTCTGATATTCATTGGCTGTTCATTTTGGTATAAACACCTCTTGTTGGTTTCATCTCATCAAAGCATGCGGGTCCTTGATTCCAAACTCATCAGCTTTGATGACTTATTTTATTAAAAGCATGTAGATAAGCTTTCTCTACTTCTAAGAAGCATGCGGCTCCTTGTCCCAAAAACTCTTCAAAACAATAAAACTTATCTTATTTCTTTTATTCTTGTTGAAACATCCCACCGAGAGATCACTTTGATTTTGAAACGGTACTGCATCTCATTTCTTATCCTCTTTGAAACGGTTATTCTCTTTGAATCATGTCTTGTTCAAATATTCTATATATTCTATCTCTCTTGGCTGGAGAAAGAGAGGACTTGATTTTGAAACGGTACTGCATCTCATTTCTTATCCTTTGAATCATGTCTTGTTCAAATATTCTATATATTCCTCAAGAACCAATCATGCTAGTCATGTAAAATAGAATATCTGCATCTTAGATCCAGACTTGGTTCTAGTTTTTGAAATCATTTTATATATGAGTTACATAATTACATTACTCTATTGAGAAAAGTTGAGGGCATCTTCATCAAAACATGTTTTATAGATAAATTTAAGTAATATTTCTGGAAATGTTACTTTAGCTAATCATGTAGTGACTCATACAATACTCTCTATTTCCAATATTCTGCAGTTGCTATGGCAATCCTGTACCCACCCACGTGCGGCAGCACACAAGACTTGATGTCTTTTTACTTTTTCTAAATTTTTTAAATTATATATTGTTAGTGTATTTTATATGCTTATTAAAATATATAAGTTTGGCCTTAAAATATTTATAAAAAAAATTAAAAAAAAGATCTTCTCCCCTACAATTTAATATTTTTACAAAAGGATACTTTTCTTTAATAATGAGTCACAATTAAATGTGTAACAAATACTGATGAGAAAGAAGAGAGAAAAAAAATTAAACTTGAAAATGATAAAGATAGAAACATACGCTCCCTCCTCGAAATGCCATCCAGACAAATTTTCAGATGGATCTTGATTGAAACTTTTACTTCTTTCAAAAACAAAACTTAGTTTGAGTTTTTTTTTAGTATCTTCTTGACTATATAGTGTATTCGTCAATGATCTATATTCAATAAATTGAACTATTTTGGCATCTATTAAATTAAACTGCAATTTTACTTGTAATGGTACAGTTCAATAGTTTCAGTTTATTGGCATGTGGATCTCATGGTTAGCCTCTTGCAATTCAATAGAGGGTTCATCATATACCACCCTCTACTGCATTTGCATGTATTGCAATGAACTAAATCACACAATTGAAAGTGAGATTTTACTATTTTATTTTAATTTCAGGGGCAAATCACCAGTTGACCCTTAAATATAGTTAACACTACAAGAGGAAAGCATGCACAACAAAAACAACTGGCGGAGTCAAATTCGCTTTCATGCTCAAGCAAGATGATAGAATACGAGGCCTCAATAACCACAAATTCCGTGACCTGTTCCAACAGACCACTACCCATACCTGATTAAGAACTCAACACAACAGTAAGGGTTAGCGAGAGTGTCCTTTTTACATAAACTCATACCTTTTACATCATTACAAGTTCATCCGTACAAGCCCCTCCGGAGGTTTAGGGGATCGAAACCCAAGGTAGTCACACGGCTCCTTTCACTCTCAGGTCACAAATTAAGTATAAATTGTCACAAGAAGGGCATGCTGTAAAAAATCAAATCCATTTCCCTAACATGCATACTAGCAACCAAACACGATGCAGAGTTCTCACGCATCAATATTCACATACATATACAGGAAAACCTCTAACCAAGGCGTGAAGACCCCCTACCTGGTGTCCACACAACCGTAAAACCAAACGTCACAGTAGAGCTCCAAGAGAGTCAGAAATCCCTATAAACAACAAGGATCAACATCAAACCCCAACTCACATTAACACTTTGATTTACAACCCACTTCCACTTGTTGGGTTTGTTAAACCAATATATCCATTTCTTAGGACAATTCTATCTCTTAGGAAAGCCTCTGATCATGTGATTCTGCTCTGGACTAATAAAATAAATCAAAGACTTCCATTAAAAACAGAAACTTCAGTTTTGTTAAACAATTTAGGCAGGAACACTTTGCCTTTGGAAAATCATTAAAAATCCATTTTGATTCAAAATGGTGTGAACATTTCCAGATCACACGTAGACATATAAAACTTCAACATCTCAAAAGTTCATCGAATTCCGAGTTAAGGAAGCCAGTCAAAGACTAAATCCAAAATAGACTAGGCTGCAGAGTTTTCTGTTTTCTGCAGAATAATGCCAACTTCAAAAATTTGCCAAAAATCCAATTTAACTCCAATTTGAATGTAGAAACTTACCCAACTTCCACTTCAACCCAAAAATTACTCTGAGTTCTCTGTAGGTTCAGCCCAACGTAGATTCTTCACCTAGTGTACTTGCATGTCATCAAATAACATCTAAAATCACTTATACAATCTCACTTAAATCAATGTACTTTAGAATTCCAGCAGCAAGTGTGGTAAACAAATCTTACCTTAACAGCTCCAAAGTAATCATCAACCTTCAATGAGCTGTCCAGCGACCTCCATTCTCCCAAACCACACTTGGAAACAAGATATTAAAGCCTAATCAGTCACTAACTCAAAAAGAGGAGATTTTCGAAACTTAACCAACTCCAAGAATGGTTTACCTTTCTTGTAGAGCTCGTTCCTACGATCCTAATGGCGAAAACGGTGCAAGAATTGGAGTTGTAGAATGAAAGTTATGGTAGAAAGAAGTTTGAAGGAGGAAGAAAAGATAGAATGGGTTTCTGGAAAGAGAAACTCGTGAAGTAGGAGGTGAAGGAATAGGTTCTCACGTTTCTAGCTAAAAACTAGGGTTGGGAACAGTTCGGTTCGGTTTAGTAATCATCTCAAACTGAAATGAGAATCGGTACTATTTAATTGGTCTGGTTTGGTTTTATTATTTTTTTTTTTAACCAGTTGGTTCGGTTCTCATCGGTTCTAGTTTTGAACCGAATTATTTATTTTTTTATTCTTACAAACCATTTATTTTTTCGACTTGAAAATTAACAAATGATCCAATTCATACAAAGAGAGATGCTTTGATATTGGACTTGGAAAAATATTAGTTATAAAATTAAAAACGTAGCATTGGATTTAAATCATTTTGTAAAAAAAAATTATATAAAATTAGTTCAGTTCAGTCTAATCGGATTTGGTGCAGTGTGGAATTGAAATCAAAACCAGTCTAGTCCAGTTTAGTGCCGGTTTGTTGGCTTTTTTGGTCAACCGTTTTTTTTTCCAGTTTTTTTCATCCAATCCGATTCGGTGTTCCAGTTTTCCAATCCCGATGCCCACCTTACTAAAAACCATGTTTTCCCCCTTTTTTTTTCTCTTTGGAACCGCTAACACATACATGGGGAAAGAAGAGATCAACACCCCAACATCGGAAACTTGATTAAATAAAATAAAATATATAATGAATAGTTCTACTATTGTAAATTGCGTATCCTTGTTGTATGTAGTTTGACTCGAACCTGGATGGAAGCCTAGGCTTCTATCTGATCTCGTGGTGATGTCGCCTTCTGGAGAAGACCTGCACACTTAGAACAATTTATCATAGTAGGAGTGAACTGGGGTTGATCCCAGTTGAGCCCCCTCCGATTGCTAAGTCAGAAGCTATTTTCAGGTAGAGAAATGGATGTAGGGTTTACCAGGTGAAAATATTTATTACCTTTGTCTGGAGATAAGTGAGGACTATTTATAGGGGGAGAGGGAGAGACAAAGATATTTAGGGAGGAGATATTTATTTTCCTTCCCCCCTGGGGGAACTAGGTTACATTTAATGACCTGTCCTGATCACTTTGTTTTTTGACAGGGATCAGGTGACGAGGTGACACGTGGCTTTGGATAGGAAGTACATTAACTAATCTCTTCTCATCGTCAGGCTGTATGACCAGACCACTAGAGTGATTAACTTGACAGGGGTCTGATACCGCTTGTATATCATCAATGCGCCTCTGGTTGTTTACGACATCCTAGTGGTCGGGTCGGGTATTGTTCTGCATTTGTTCTATCGAGTTTTAGCTGGGAAGCTCCTTGTCGATACCTAGGGTATCACACATGATCGGGTCGGTACATGAGTGACCCAACCCACTATGGCCACGTGGGGTCCTGTAATAGGCTCGGCTCATAATGATGGTGTGATCCATTAACAACTACTAAAAATACCGAGACCTTTTGTGATAAAACCCCACACCTGCTGGGCTTTATAGGTGATTAAGTTGGAGAAAATTTCAGTGTTGTTAGTAGTGGGTCACGAGGCCGTCTCTCTGAATTTAACATGGTATTAGAGCAAGGTTGATTAGGCCTAAATTACTTGGCCTTTACCCTTACCCCTTACCGAACATGTGGTTTTCACATGTTGGGCTTGAATGTTTACTCTTACCCAATATGTGGTGCTCACATATGACCTATTATGTGGTGGTCCTATTTGAAGGGGTATGTTGAAGAATATGAATCTCACATCGAAAACTTGACTAAATAAAATACAAAATATCACACCTACTGGGCTTTATAGGTGGTTCAGTTGGAGAAAATATCGATGTTGTTAGTAGTGGGCTGTTGGCCCTTCTCTCTGAATTTAACATGGTGGGTATTAGAGATAGGTTTGAAGTGTTGGGCCCAACGGTCACACGTGCTTCCACGTCACTCAATGTGTGTTGTCCACGTGTTAGACATGAAAGTTTGCCATATGTGTTGGGGCATGTTGAAGAATATGATAAGGTCATAATTTCACACATTTGCATGCCTTCTTTGCTTAGTAATTTTGTTTAGCTTCTCTTTATTTTTAGTCTCTTACCTATGTTTGTGTGTTTTATAGGTTAAGACAGCAAGAGATCACATTTGATGCAATCCATGCTTGTTAAGGGCTGATTGGGATAAGAGGAATATGAGCTTAAAGACAAACCCAATTTGGGCCACACTCCTTGTTAGTTCAGTTTCGTAGGTCATCTTCCAGGCCTCATTTTAATAACTTACGCAGGTCGGATGAGGAGACATCCTTGATAGAAGTTGTTCCAATGGGTGTCTATTATAACATATCCAAATTTCAGCCCAATTGGATAAATCTGGAGTCCTCAGTATGTCAAAAACTTAACCAAGTTCACATAAATGTCATGTTGACTGCCATCACATTTAATGTGGCTACATCCCTAGAGCCATGTGCTAAGCATGGGCAGCCACACATGGGAGTCAAATCAGCTCAGGAACTTAGAAGGATAAACAAAATTCAAGCTTTCCATAAAGAAACCATACCAAAGCATGTATTTAGCAACTGGAGCAGTTGGCAAGTATAGGCAGCTGGAGCAGTTGGCATGTATGGGCAGCTGGAGCAGTTGGGAGCAGCTAAGAGAGGTGTGCTTCACCAGCCAAAGGGGAGGACAAAATTGCACTCTATAAATAGAGAGTTGCACACTCATTCAAGGGGGGAGATAAAGAGAGCAGACACACACATTCACTTCATCCATTACTCTCATACACACACACTACTACAAAAAAGGAAAAAACACGACGGGAATTCACCGTCATTATAAAAAAAAAAAAAAAAAAAAAAAAAAAAAAAAAAAAAAAAAAAAAAAAAAAAAAAAAAAAAAAAAAAAAAAAAAAAAAAAAAAAAAAAAAAAAAAAAAAAAAAAAAAAAAAAAAAAAAAAAAAAAAAAAAAAAAAAAAAAAAAAAAAAAAAAAAAAAAAAAAAAAAAAAAAAAAAAAAAAAAAAAAAAAAAAAAAAAAAAAAAAAAAAAAAAAAAAAAAAAAAAAAAAAAAAAAAAAAAAAAAAAAAAAAAAAAAAAAAAAAAAAAAAAAAAAAAAAAAAAAAAAAAAAAAAAAAAAAAAAAAAAAAAAAAAAAAAAAAAAAAAAAAAAAAAAAAAAAAAAAAAAAAAAAAAAAAAAAAAAAAAAAAAAAAAAAAAAAAAAAAAAAAAACCCCTTATAACTTTCCACTCACTATAGAAGCACTCGTTATGCTTCTACGATAGGTAGGCTTTACGATATGATCCATTTTCACACGAAATTAATCTCGGTGCAATGCATACTCAGATTAAGCCAACTAATAATATTAATGTAAGACAAGACTGTAAAATTATTAAAACCAAGCGTACACACACTTTTCACTACAATATACAGTTATTGGTAGGTCGATACTTACATCAAGCACTTCGTAGTCGAAAATAAAATGCGTACAACTAACATACTAGATAAGTGTATTATGAAATAATAATGGGTAGCGAGTACTTGATGCCAATGATATTCTTTCCCTAACACTAAAATTAAGTATAGTATGATAATTTCATCTAGTTCAATCTTATCAAAGGTACCCTGAATTTCTTTCTGTACATCACAATTTACAAAAATGATACAAGTTTATAAAGGAAAAAATTGTTATTCCATTACTACCTTAGTTTTATGATACTAGTTTGTATCATCAAAATTTATTATCACTGCAAAATTACAGATTGATTTGCAATTACCATACTAATTATAACACAAAAAATCATTCAACATCTTCCCCTACTAAAGTTATCAATTAGATGACAAGCATAACACCAAGAAGCTTCTTGAAAATGGGAATCAAATTCAACAATATTTTATGACATTACCACACATAATTTCTTTTCTAAACATGAAACAACGCATGATAAACCCGCACATAAAATCAACCAAACACCCCTTTCCTCCATAAAAGAACTATAAAATTAAAATAAAAACATTGTAGTGTCATAGCAAAGCAGACACCATTAATGAACCTTCCCCTACCTCTCTCTCTCTCTCTAACAAGCATGCCTGATGCCACTCCGTCCTAATCTAGATCCAGAGGCACAAGAAACAGTTGCAGTAGCACTGCTATCTCTATCAACATTCGAAGACCTGCCATCACCAGTAGCATCCAAGGTGGCGGCATCAAAAGCCTCACGCCAAACCACATGAGGCGGAGTGAGAGCCTTCTCCAGATCTTCCTCTTGGCTCATAGTCCCAATTTGCCGATTAAATGTGCATTGACTCTCATCCTCATGCACACTCGAGTCTAGGGTTTCGCTCTCTGATTCCCCCATTTCATCATTAGAAACGTTTTTATCAGAGACATGGGGCTCTCATGTCTTGGAAGCGGTGTTGCCTGTTGACACAATAGAGCTCGTTGTCCTTGGTCACGACAAAGATACTGGCCTCTGTCCTGGTCGTCTGTTTGAGCTCACGAATTTCTTTGGACAAAATCATAAACTTACGACGTAGTTGATTTTTGTTTTGGTTTATTGTTTGGTTCAGTTGAGATTGTTTGGATGATTTGTTAGAGGCAATGTTCACATTCATGATGGCTCAAGATGATGGTGATGGAGGAAGAATGAAAATCTAAGGGCTTAAGGTAATATCTATCCAATACAAGGATTGTTTTACTAGACCACATGGCAAAAATCATGTACCAGAGGAAAACAATCTAACACAAGGATTGTTTTACTAGACCACATGGCAAAAATCCTCAATATTCATGTGGCTAGGGAATGAGCAGTCCAACCGAGAGACTATTGCTCCCCAGACACGCAAGGTAGAATCCTCAATACACGTGATGCTGAAACAAGTCTTACTCATGCGAAATGTCGGTCAAGGCCTATGGCACACCCCGCCAAAGGTGCCCGGGTCATCAATATCTCACACGTCGGAAAATCTCAACGCACATGTGGTTATCATCCATATCGAACCAAGGAAGGTACATATGATGGTGCAATTCAAAAATCCATATTCTATAGCCCCACTTCCCACTCAACATGCAAACCTTTATACATAAAAATAGTAAAAACCATAATAATAATACTAATAATAATAATGACTATATATTCTCTGAAATCCTCATGTCACACTATAAAAACCGAAACTAATTTGATAACACCTTTTCATAACCTCCTTAACCAAAAAAATTAAGTTCCAAATTCATAATAAAAAAACATATGCCTTATCTTCAGCAATCAATACCAGTAAGATCATACGATATTGTTAAAACCAACATCATATATGCATACAGTCTCACTAATACCATAATTCGATTAGACCCTACTTTCCATAATCTAATAAATCAAAAATTGACCACGTTCTCATCAAAATTCATTTATGCGTGCAATTCAATGTTTGGAAATACAACGCTTATTTTATTTTACTTTTTTAAACCACATCCCCTCACAATTACAACATAATAAACGACTTCAACCGAGCCAACATAGCCCACCATCCAAGTCAACTGGGCACGTAGGGTCCACGACCTCTAGTTTGCTATCCAGCAATTCCTATTGGCCCTTATTAGGAAGTTAAACTCATCCCAGGAGTTTCATCACGATCCAACAATCAGTTTCACCTCGATCGATGAATTTGTTCAATTAGGCCCATGGGGCCCACAACCTCCAATTATTGATCTGTAAGTTCCTATAATCCCACAATGTATAATTAACAAGTTCTAAGTGTTTGGTCTCGATTAAGTGGTCGGATCGCTCTCGATTGCATAGTCAAACGGTACCCAAGATTCTGATTCTCAATCCACAAGTTCCTACACGACCCTAGAGATACTGGGAACCACTTATTTGAAAACGGGACCAATCCAATGATTCTCACATATCGAACCTAGATATCGCCTAATAGGCATAATATCCGTTTGATAGTCAAACGATATCCAATTTCTAATCCGAGCATACTGTCGTGCTCAGGACAACATGGGGAGTATTTTGGAACTCAATGAACCACCAAAAAGTGGCTCATGCGCCTCTACCAGCCACCAGCAGTGGTGGGTGGCTTGAATAAATTGTGGCGATTGGAAAAACTCCAAATCGCCGGCCAATACATATACCATTAGAACCACCCCACCTAGGCAAACGTGTTTTGGTCTTGGACTTCCACCAAAAAGTGGCCGAAGCTAGCCGAAAAAGCACCCAACCATACGATCAGCTAGAGCACATTGAGTAGATGAAGAATCATACTTGGATCGACATATTTGGCCACCAGAGTGGCTGGAACAGTGGCGGAAAATTCTGAAACAACCGGAGCTTTAGAAGCTCCCAGTGCCTTCGTGAGTGGTTGCCGTGGCTGGAAAGTTACCTAGATGAGTTCACTTGCCCTGGCCGGTCATTTTCCGATTGATCCCATCACCAGCGGTGGCCGGACGGCACCGATTCCTCGTCAGGAGAGAGAGAAAGAGAGAGAGCGGACTGTGCATGAGGGGAGAGAGAGATATATATATATATATATACCTGGGTATTTAAGCTTTTTGGACAATTTCATTAATTCCCAATACGTCTTTTTCGTTTTCAGACCATTTCTCATTTGTTACAACTCAGAATTGAGCGTGTCGCCAATCCACGGACTCGTATCAGCGAGCTTTACATAACGGTGCCACTCACTTTCCCAAATTCCTACCTGAGCAAAAAGGGACTAAACAGTCAAACAAAGTAGGGCAAATATTCAATTATGCTCATATATGCTCATATTATTATTCTTCTCCAATATGGAGGTATTTATACAAGTACAAAGATGTGTTAACCCTAAATAAAATAGGAAATAGATCCAAATTACTATAGAAAATAAATATAAATTATAATAGGAAATAAATCTCAATTATAATATGACTAGATAAATGGTAAGTAACTAAAATCCTAACATTGTAAGGACTCGCCAACATAAACTACCCTTACCCCTAAGGGAAAAAATGTAATTTCATAATTAAATAATTAAATAAACCTTTAAATTGGGTCTGGATGTTACAGTTCTTGAATTGTTTACAACTCTTCTTGAACAATCTTAGGCCATCTCTAGCCATAGGGCTAAATGTAGTCCAAGGCTAAAAATTTAGCCCCCAAAAATATTAATTTTTTAAAGAATAGTGCATGGCTAAATTTTTCCATCTCCAACCATGCATGCCTATATTTTAGGGTCCTTTATATTTTATTATTTTGAGAAAAACTATGGTACAACACTCATACATTCCACAACCATATATTGTTTAATTTAATTAAACTACTATTTTATTTTATTTTTTAAAAGCCAACAAAGGAAATTTTAAAATAAAATAAAAATTGGAAGGGTTTCAAGGGTCTGACCTTCAACAGTCATGACCCAGAATTTTTTATAATTTTTTTAAACAATACCAAACATTTAAAAATGTGAAGACAAAAAAAAATGGATATGTTTCAATGTTTGAGCTCCAATGGTCATGAACAAGGCTTTTTTATAATTGTTTTTAAACAACACTTGAAAAGATTTGAAAAGCTAACCACATGTATTATTATTATTATTATTATTATTATTATTATTATTATTATTATTATTATTATTATTATTATTATTATTATTATTATTATTATTATTATTATTATTTTAAAGGGAGTGGGTAGGTCTGACCTCCAATGTCATTGCTAACAATTTTTTATACGTTTTTCTTAAACACTACGAATTGAAACATTGAAAAGGCTTTTAAAAATCTATATATATATATATATCAATGTTGGCTGTTGAAAAACACATGGATGGGCCTCACTAAAAATTTGGCCTAGTTCAAAGCTAGGTTACATTCGGCCCTGTTGGAGGGCTAAATGGCCAAATGTGGCCCTCCAATTTTGGCCAAAATTTTGTTTAGCCCATGGCTGGAGATGGATTTTGCATTATTTTAGGGCTATATTTGGGATATAGCCCATAGTTGGAGATGGCCTTAAGTTAATGGAAGAGGTTACCAAAGACCACTATGTCCCAACTTTTCAAAAGCTATTGAAAGGTTCTACAACAAGTACTAATTTTCTAGGCAGAGTTGCCTCAATAGTTTCATCCCAAGCCTTGTTCAATTCGAAAGAAATCATGGTGAGATAGCCACATGGCCTCAAACTTAAATACTCTAGGTGTAGAGTGGGAGCTAATAGGACAAGAGATGCAAATTGGGCCATGATTAGACCGAATGATAGGCAGGTTAGTCAGTTCATTATTATGGTAGAGACTTAACCAATTTAGGTTTGCTAAGGTACGGTTTAATCTCTCATAAATAACATAATTGTCTTTGTGGCCATTACACGAGGTAAAAGGGATCCCTTGAGCATCTAAAGAGATAACTTCACATATTGATCAATAGCTCCTATTATATGCAATTTTAATGTATTATTATATTATGTGGGATCCATTTGAAAGAAGCAATAAATATAACTTCTTTTTGGAGGTTTTTTTTTCACTTCTTTTTGGAGTTGGATTAGTTAGAACAAATATATGGCACTGTTTGGGCCTAAATTAGTACGCCCAGCCCAACAAGAGGAAACCCAAGATCCAGAAAGGCCTAGCCCAAACCAGACCAATAGACTCGGGCCTTAAAAGAAAATCACCTCTTGGGCTCCAAACAAAATAAGCCCAACACGATTTGGATAAAGAAAGGGACCCATCCTAGAACCCATGTGACATCTTTGTATTATCAGGTTTGGAAAAGTCAACAAAACCAACTAGCACAGAGTTGATAAATGGAAGGGTCAGTGGCTGGCAAACTGGAAGATACACCTCTGAAAATCTGAAGATCAAATCCCTCTTACATATATATATATATTTAGAGATTTTTTCTGCTTTACAGAGAAGGTGATTCTCCCAAGAGATAAGCAAGCTACAATCTCAGAAAGAGATAAGCAGGAAAGCAGGGAGTTGTTCAAACTGAAGAAATCAAACTAACTATCACGGATGAAATCTCACAAGGGGCAGTTAAAATTGGGAAAGGAGATTAGGTTTTCTTTTAAACAGAGAAGTGATCTTAAAGATTGATTGATGAGAGCCTATCTGACAAAATTTTAAACTCTTCTCTCTTGTATTTCTTTCTAGATTTTTAAAAGATTTGCCGCCCATTATTTTAAGAAAGAAACCCTAAACCTAAACATCTCTTATAAATAGAGGAGAGGGTGAACAAGTTCAAAGACACTCAATTCAACAACAATCAATAAAAAACGATCAAACAAACAAACAACTCAAAAATCAACCAAAAAGCCCACTTGAATTCCAAGTGAAACCAGCTTCAGATCAGAATTCCCAAGGTTCAGACTTAGAAAAAGTCAATCAAAACGAGATTTCTCTCGTTACAAATTTGGTTCAGCAAAGAATCAAGACAGGTAGAGCTTGAGCTTTTCCCAAACATGAAAACCTCAACAAATTTCACAGTGCAGTCTCTAGCCCACTGAAGTCCTCGAGAACAGCCACTTCTGCCCTTGTAGACTGAAGAAACCACAGTTCTGCCCACTCAAAAGCCTCACAAAAGCTTGAAGTACATTAAAGCTCTGCCATAATTAACCTTTGGTATCGATTTACAGCTGAAGCTTAGCAGTTGAAGTTGTCAACAGTCCAGTCTAGCCTAGGCATTTCCAGCCCAGCCCGGATCAGAGCCTCCTATCCAGACAGAAATGAATTTCCAGTTGTCCTTTCATCTTTCTAGCATGGATATTTATTTTTATAGTTCTATAAAAGGCAGTTCTGCCTGAGACAGTTTAAATTCCATCAACCATTCTGGCCATAACAACCTCTTTATACTGAGATAAATTGTTAAAGTCCTCACCAGTCTTAGGCAAGAAAAGAACTTACTTGGGAGATATTCCTCACCCAATTCACAATCATTTGTTTGCAGAAATCAGTAACTTGGGGCGCAAGTTATCCATTCTAAACTAAGTCTGCTAGAATCTTCATTGCTAGCAGTGGCACGCTCGCACACCAAAGAAACTGACTTGTTGACCAGTCAATGGTTCACAAGGCATTGGGGAACTTTGCCCTTTCACCACAGGAGTAAACGCAAAACGGGTGAACAGACACATAATAATAAAATAATGGATTGACTTCATTTTACGGATCTCGAGCTTCGACATTTAGTTATTGTGTATTTTGGTGCATTTCATAAAATCTGATCCACTCCAATAATCTAATGGTTCATATTATACCACATCAAATTAATAAATTTTGTATTTTTATTTAAAAACTAGCCCCTTGGCACATGCTCACGCATGTGCCAATTGGTTTTATTATTTATTATTTATTTTATTTTTAGAATTAAGAAAAGATAACATGGGTAGTTATGTTCCATAAAAGTAGGACCTATTATCTGATTTTGTTTTTAATTTTAATTTTTTTAAATATGAAAAATGTGAATTTGCCATATTATCCTCGTTTAATTAATAATTTCAATTCTTAATGTTTGAATTAACTTAGGGCATTTTATGGTATTTTGAATATTTCACAATTCTCTGCATTTTGCTTTATATATATAGATTAACGATGTTAACCCTTTTTTGCTTTCAAAAACCAAAGCATCCATCTTCTCTTTCCTTTTTTTTTCCTTCTCAAATCTTCTTCTGATGAATGAAAAATTAGAAATTAATTAAACCATCTTCAATCATCATGCCATCTCCAACCATGAGGGCCAAACCCGAATTTTAGGATTATAGCCCCAAAAACCTTCTCCAACCATGTATAATAAGGGGGCTTCTATAGTGAGTGGAAAGTTATAAGGGGTGTTTTTGAGGGGTATGTAAGAGCCGTTGGATTTCATCTAATGGTGAGTTTTTAAAAGAGGGTGCATGTAGAACCGGGTTGAAATCTGACCCATTGGAAACCCAACTTCAGTTGAAGATTTTTCCCTCTCTGTGAAAAACTGAAGAACACAATCCTCTCTTTTTGAATGTAATGCAAACCCACAATTAGAAAGATCTAAAGCTCCCAAAGCCTATAGTCGCTCCATTGTCATCAGCTACTTGGGAGGCTTGCAATCTATGGTATCCTCGGTATGACGATTAATGGCTCTTACCTAGCTATTGCCCTGTTTTGATTTTATGGCTCAAGTGAAAACCCCTTCTCTTTTTCATTCAGCAGACGAGATTCCAGATGAAAGCAAAGCAGCATATCTCTTTCTGTAGCTAGACGCCGCAGCAGCAATTGTTCCTCGATTTTGGTAGAGATGGAGTCTCCACTACCAAATAATCTTCTCTAATGTCCACCACATTTTCTCAAGCGGACTGATTTCGGAGCTCCCGATTGACTTTGAGAGGTAAGTTCACTCTTGCTGGATTGATTTTGTTGGGTTTGGTTTGTTTTTTGTGAGGGTGGGAAATTCGTCATTTGTGGCATCAATAATGCGTCATTTGTGGAATCAATAATGCGTCATTTCCTTATGAATATTCAATATACTTAGTTGATTGTTTTTGGGGGGCGGGGGGTAGAAAATTATGAAATGTAGGTAAAAGATCCTAAACTTAGGCTTAATGGCATTAGGAGTAAGCATTTAGAGAGGATATTGGGTGAAGTTTTGTAATTGCTGGTTTGAATTACATTTGTGTTCTTAGTTGAACATGTTGGTTCTAATGTTATTTTTTCCAGATTATTTCACGAGAAATGACGTAACTATTATTAAATTTTGCTTGCGTTTTGTGTAATCGGAATCCAACAAGCTAGGCTATGCGTGTTTTGTGTCAATTTGGGCAATATTTTATGTAAGTGGAATGCATTGATTTGTTATCATACAGTAATGATTGATTAATGAATTAATATTTGCTATGCAGTAATATAGAAGTAGATAAATAATATACGTGGATAAAATGTCTGGGGGCACAAAGAGTGATGATTGTGTAATAGCTAATGGGAGGGTTTACATTCCTGAAGTAAGAAATGAGGAAACACCAGCAGTTGGGATGCAATTCGACTTGCTTGCCATCATTTATAATTTCTATAATAGATATGCATTCTTGGCTGGCTTTGGTATTCGACTTCATTCCAGCTTTTGGGGGAAAAATAAGAAAGAGATTCTGAGGAAAGAATTTGTATGCTGCAAACAAGGTGCATATAGGAAAGATGAAACTCGGGAGAGAAAAAGACAGCGGGGAATAAGTAGATGCAATTGCAAAGCTAAGATTGTGGTTGTGAAGACAAATGGGAGCAAGAAGTATACCATATCTCTTTTTGCAGAGGGACATAATCATAAGATGACACCCTCAGAAAGAATGCATTTATTGAGATCACACCGTCGTATTTCAGTTTCTACAAAAGTACTCACAAAACAGTTGGGTTCGGTTAATATTCCCATTAATCAGAAGGTAAGTATTTTCGAGGTGCAATCTGGAGGAATGGATAAAATCGGTTTTATTAAAAAAGATATCTACAATCTTGAATGTAGTGTGAATGGGAAGCTGAGGAACCATGATGTTGAACTAGTGACCGAGTATTTTATGGCTGAACAGAAAAAAAATGAGGCTTTTTATTTCAAGATTGAGGGAGATGGCAATAACAGGTTTAGTCGATGTTTTTGGACAGATGCAACTTCTAGACGGGCGTACGGGTTTTATGGAGATGTTGTTGTATTCAATACCACATTCAACACGAATTGATACGACTTGACATGTGCACCAATGTTGGGAGTTAATAACCATGGTCAGAAAATTGTCTTAGCATGCGCATTTTTTAGCAAGGAAACGACTAAGTCGTTTATTTGGATGTTTGAGGAGTTTAAGAAAGCCATGCCAAGTGGTGAACCTAAAACGATCATTACAGATCAAGATGCGGCAATGACCAGAGCGATTTCAATAGCCTTCCTGACTACATTTCATCGACTTTGCAGATGGCACATCACATCAAAGTTCTCTGTTAAGTTACCACATTCTGCTTATAAGGAGTATTGGCTTGAATTCCAGAAATCCATATGGGATATTGACAATAAGGATGAGTTTGATGCAAAATGGAATAGTGTGGTTACAAAGGCTGGTTTGACTGACCATCCATGGCTAAGTTCAATGTTTGATTTAAGGGAATCTTGGGTTCCAGCCTACGCACGACACTTTTTTGCCTCTGGAATGTCAAGCAGCCAAAGAGGAGAAGGTTTTCATGGTTTCTTCAAGCAATACATATCGAGGAGAAATTCATTGATGGATTTCATAATACGATTTGAGAGGGCACTTTCTCATCAACGTCAAAAAGAGTTAGTTGCTGATCAAGTAGATGCATTTGAAGTGGCTCAATGTATTCTACCAATGCCAATGAACAAACAAATGGCTACCTTGTACACAAGGACAATGTTTCAAAAGTTTGAGCAAGAACTAATACAAAGTACAGCATGTTTCCTAGAGCTCAAAACAAAGGATGCTTCTAAAGTTGTCTATAAAGTGAGCGAAAGGAGAAATTGGGAAACAAGAGTGGCAGAAGTCATATATGTCAAAGATTCTGACCACGCATCGTGTAGCTGCAAAAGATTTGAATTTGTTGGAATTATTTGCAAGCACATCCTAGCATTGTTCAGAAGGGACCAGATTGAATATATGCTCGATAAATACATTTTGAAGAGGTGGAAGAAAACTGCAAAATCTGGATTGGTGTCAGATGCGAATGGCAACGAAATTAAAGACTCTGCAGATCCTGGTCTTTTAATAAACCAGAGTACAATGTCCCAACTTGCTTCAGATGTTGTTGAGGATGCATTAATGTGTGAAGAAGGATGTGAGCTGCTGTTAAAAACTCTAAAAAGTTTGGGGGTGAAGTTGAAGTTGTTGAAGGATGGACCAAGTAATAATGAAGTTGGAGGGTCCAGCTCTCAAACACAATATACGAAAGACCCTAAGAGAGTAAGGTGCAATGGAGGGTCGAAACGAGTAACGGGAGTAAAGGAAAAGGCAATGAAGCGAGGGATTAGACACGGTCAGGAGTGTGTACACATTGGTCATGATAGAAGACAATGCCCAAGAAATTTGAACACATCGTAAGATGTTAACACTATTTATAATAAGACCTAAAATTTGAATAGGTAAATTTTTTATGTGCTTGTGTTTGATGTTTATGCAGGACATCACCGTTGAACAATGACGAATCAACTCCAATAGATCTTAGTGACCCATTATTCTACAAATTTTATAGGATGCACGGACCAACTCAATGATTTATGTTTCTATTATACGAAGCCCGATTGTTATGAAGACTAATGATCAGGTGAAGTTTTCTAGATGCAGTTTTATTATTATTATTTTTTTGTTCATGTCCATCGATGAGCTCTTACTATGTCCACTGATAATTGAAATGAAAATTTGCTTGGTTTCATTCTTGCATGAAATTTGGACACATGTTAATTTTATGTCTTCTCCCTATTTAGAAATTTTCATAGACATTAGATAAAGTATCAAATTTTGAGTTATGTGAAGAAGCAATGACTTTTACCTTGTAAAATGGGTAGTTTATGGTGAATTATATTTTAACAGAGATTCATTGATTATATGACAGGCTAATGCAGCATTTCCAACAGCCAGCTGTTGTTTCCATTACCAGTAATGATTTCCGGCAACACTCATCTTTTCTAGCAGCACCCACTTTTTCCGAATGTTATGTTCTAGTGTTTTACTGGTTATTAAGATCTAAGCTCGACTGGTTATTAGTTGCACGATTTTGCAAACATTTGTAACTGACGGATACTTGAAGCACTTTGTTGGAACAGAATGATTAGAAAGTAGCGTGTAAAAAAGTACATTGCAGCTAATTACATTTCGAACGGTTGGAGAATATTAAAGGGTACACTAACATTTGAACTACTCATAATTCCACACACAAAAGAAAATTTGATTGCAAAGCATTTTATGTGCTCCCTCTTAGCAATCCCACGATCTCCCCAATCAACTGAACAACGGTAGCCACAATCACTAGGTCGTATTGGTCAGCTTCTTCTTAGCAGGTCTCACGTGCTTATGGTCACTCATGTCCCTAGTGATATAGACAAAATAAATATTTGGAATTAAACCATTCACTAAACAATGTATAGCACATGGTATGTTACTTATGATAATGGGGCTTTACTGATTCCCAACGTATTGTGATATTGACTGCTTATTGAATAATATTTCCATATTTGCAAAATATAATGTTAGACAGAAGGAACACATGATGACTTGCAATACATAGTCCCAATAATTATATATGAAGCAAAAGAAACTGATATTTGTATTATTTTAAATTAGATAATGACATTAAGGGAATATACTTATAATTTGTGCAATACCACAATCACCCCCAACCAACTAAACAGCTGTAGCTGCAATCACTTAGTCATATCGGTCGACTTCTTCCGAGCAGCTTTGACGTGCTTATGCTCATTCATGTCACCACCATCGTCTAGTATCTCTCTCACAGCATCAGGGGACACATAGTCCCAATTGTAACTTGTATGAGTAGTTGCCGCAAATGCTCAGAATTTTTCGAATCCTTTGTTGAATGCCAACTCTAGTTCACTGTGGTGCTCTTCGCATCGCATATGGTTCATCAAACAACCTTTAATTTCATCATTCATTACTGTATTTAACTCCTCAGCTTTCAGGTTCCTTTTATGACTCAGTTTCAAGTACTTGTTCTTTTGGGAGAATGCTTTGTTCACTCTAATGTTAAGATCAGCCAAAATGGCCTCATCTTCAACACATTTCTCGTGCCATGAATTGATCAGTTTGGAATTATAATCCAGCTTGCTACTAACTGCATGTATTGCCTCTAATGGATCATCGGAGTCCCCCTCACTCCCAAATGATGTTGAAAATGGAAGGGGTCAGCAAGTACGACGTGGAAATGGAACCTGCGACTCCAATTTTTCATCTTCGATTGTGTTGTTGGCGCCTAAAGAGGTTGACATGCTTGAATAATCCTATTTGTTTTAGAGGATGAGGATTGCATATGCAATTTCGTTTGAGAAAGGGAACATAGCTTTATAGACCAACACACCAAAGCTTGCATGTAGTCAACACATGTACTTTATTTCAATTTAAAAAAAAGAGGTGTCAGGTTTTGCTTTTCAAGCATGTCAACCTCACACTCTCCTTACACCACTGTTAGTGGTTGAAAGAAACTCAATGGAAGTGACATCTAGTTAGTGAACCCAACCAAACTAACCAAACTAGTTAGGATTAAACTTAGATTGTATCAGACCAAAAATTAATTTATACATTTTCAACCAAATATTTTTTGGCAGGAACCCTTTTATTGGTATTACTATCACCCCCTTCATAGAAACTCTCCCTCCAAAAAAAAATCACTCCTCCACAGAAACTCTTTTCCCCCATAGAATGGATTTACTAACCAAGTTTGATGTGAGCATAATAAACACCCATCCAAACAAAGACCGCCTTCGAAACGCAAGTGAGTCACCAGACAAGCAGTGCCACATTCCTAGATAGAATGACCATTTTGTTGGAAGTTTTGAGTTTGAAAGAGTTCTTGCTTTCTGGAAGGAGAGGCATCTTCAACTTGGTGATGAAATCCAAAGGGCAAGGGCACGTTTGGAATTTGTTGAAGGCCAAATTGAAGATGACAAAAGGCAGGCCAATCTGGATAGGGCGAAGTTGCAGCGCATGAAGCGTAGACACAAACGACTTCGGAGTGTAGCTGTTCAAAAATACAAGAACTCATCTAATGCAATGGAGTCAAAGAAGCATGTGATGCAAGCTGGATTCGACTACTTCCGGTCCTATGCAAAACCCGTGGTACCTGGGTTTGATTGGTCATCTATTACCATTTCCGACGTTAACAAATATGCTCAGCAAGGGAAGTAACCATTTTGGTTCTCGTGTTTGACTAGGTCAAATCAGTGGAATTGGAATTTTCGTTCAACTCGGCTTCAAACCTATTTTGATGCTTACTACTATGGAAGATTTCAACCTTAATATTTTGATGTCTTTAATTACGATAACATGAGATGCAAAGTGCCCATCTATTTCAGTCATATGTTGCTGCCATGTCCATTTTTTATATTTTTTATTATGTATCATATTTGGACATGGTTGCATCATATGCAATGTTGCCTTTATTTATTATATGTTAGGGCAAGGTTTATGGAAAAGCATTTGTGAGTGCGTTTGTGACAAGGTTATGACATTATTTTGTACCACTTATATATTGTTTTTTCTACTGGTTCATCTCCTACTATTGCTTTATTTCTTTATATTATATGTTTGTGGAATCCCTCTCAAAAGTTAACATATACTGTGAAAAAAATGCAGAGTGAATATAATTACTCATATAGACTAGGACAAATATTCACTAATATTTTAAAATTGCTTCACTGGTGTGATGTTTTTCAGAAAAAGTATGGCATTATTTTATGTGATTGGACATGATAGAAAATATATTACTGATTCCCAAGGCGGCGTCATATGGACAACTTATTGAATACCTCCGACGTGTTCAAAACTCTAGGTGCAGTTGCATATGGACAACTTATTGAATACCTCTGACGTGTTTAAAGCTCTAGGCGCAGTTGCAATGATGGCTTCGAAGAAGTGTGCAATTATTATATATGTACATTATTATAACAAAACAGATAATTTTACATCCTTATATACGAAAGGAAACTAATTCTTGTATTATTACAAATTATATAACGAATATTAAGGAAATATACTTGTTAAAGTGAATAAACATATATACTTAGGGTTAAGAGGAAAGTGAGTTATGTCAAACAATTTTCATTTTTTCATTGCGAAATGGATGATTTATAGGTTCCCCTAGTTTTATAACGTCACAAGGAGGCCGGAGTATTTTTCGGGGCATTTTTAGGATTTTTTTTACTATTTATTACATTTTTTCAAAGATTTTTGCACTAAAAAAGCCAAAATAATTGCAAAATGGACACCTGGTGCGATCTCAGCCTGTCACCTTTCACCACTTGACAAATGTACGTAAGTCAACATGGCCACATCCTTACCTTTACCATAAATTATTATTTTATTACTTTTTCTTAGAAAATTCATAACTAAATACACAAAAATCAGAAAAATGATCCGAAAATTGCTACGAACTCATTGAGACTCCATCTCCCTTGCTGAATTCCCCGATTCATGGTTACGCATTTTACAAAATAATTCCGAACATTAACGGGAGATGCTTGTTGAAGTAGGTTATTGAAGTTAAAGTTAACAACATATATACTTAGGGTTAAGAGGAAAGTGAGTTATGTAAACAATTTTGATTTTTTCATTGCGAAATGGATGATTTATAGGTTCCCCTAGTTTTATAACGTCACAAGGAGGCCGGAGTATTTTTCGAGGCATTTTTAGGATTTTTCTAATATTTATTACCTTTTTTCAAAGATTTTTGCACTAAAAAAGCCAAAATAATTGCAAAATGGACACATGGCGCGATCACAGCCTGTCACCTTTCACCACTTGACAAGTGTACATCAGTCAACATGGCCACATTCTTACCTTTTACCCTAAATTATTATTTTATTACTTTTTCTTAGAAAATTCATAACTAAATACACAAAAATCAGAAAAATGATCCGAAAATTGCTACGAACTCATTGAGACTCCATCTCCCTTGCTGAATTCCCCGATTCATGGTTACGCATTTTAAAAATCAGTTCCGAACATTAACGGGAGATGCTTGTTGAAGTAGGTTATTGAAGTTAAAGTTAACAACATATATACTTAGGGTTAAGAGGAAAGTGAGTTATGTAAACAATTTTGATTTTTTAATTGCGAAATGGTTGATTTATAGGTTCCCCTAGTTTTATAACATCACAAGGAGGCCGAATTATTTTTTGGGGCACTTTTAGAATTTTTCTACTATTTATTGCATTTTTTCAAAGATTTTGCACTAAAAAAGCCAAAATAATTGCCAAATGGACACCTGGCGCGATCTCAGCTTCTCACCTTTCACCACTTGACAAGTGTACGTCAGTCAACATGGCCACATCCTTACCTTTTACCCTAAATTATTATTTTATTACTTTTTCTTAGAAAATTCATAACTAAATACACAACAATCACAATAATGTTTCGAAAATTGCTACGAACTCATTGAGACTTCATCTTCCTCCTGAATTCCCTGTTTCATGGTTACGCTACATTAGTATTTTATTATTATTTATCCAAAATTATTATAATTATTATTGTTGTTATATTACTTTTTAGCTTATACATTTGTTAATTATATTTACTCCAAATTTTTATTTTTTTTTATATTTTCATTGAGAATAGACCATTTCTGGTGCTAATTAGTTTCTCTCTTCTTCAATTTGTTAATTTTAATTTTAATTTATTAGGTTTAAGGGATGTTTTGAAAAATAAAATGGAAATATACAAGGCATCCATTCTACAACATTAGGAAATAATTATTCAAAGTCATTCATTGTTCAAGTTTTGCTTAAGAAATATGTAACCAAATCATTTGGGATATGCTAAGTGACAAAATGTCATTTCCAAGCACCAGTAAAAAGACACATACTCACTCCATGCATGCCTTTTCGTTTACCAAATATTAAGATTGCAGTTGTGCAAAATATCTGTGTCAGTAAAATGTCATTCGTAGCCGTCTATTTGTGAGTAATAATTCCACTATATAACATATATTATACATTTATATATAAAACAGTTTAGGACAGCACAAACACCAGACAAAATAGATTAAAACATGAAATAGAAAACAACATTTGTACAACATAGCCAACCAACCTAGAACTGAAGAGAAGCAAGTCCACAATGCATAAAAACCGTAAAAACAGACTACAGCTAATTATAAGGGTATGAATTCCCTGGCACAACATACACACGCATCACCTTGAACCAAAAAACACTCTCACGGTGCCATTTGCATCGATTGCAACAAGTCCAGAAGGCAGGATTTATCTTTTCTTCAGTAGCCCAGCCTTGAATAACAAAACACCATTCGTTGTTGTTACAAGCGCTGTAGTGATTGAACTTAATCTTCTCATATTAAAACATATCTATGATATGTCTTCCAACAGAGCAAACTCGGCTTAATGTTCGTCTCAAAGCATCCCTAGTTCCTTTCATATCAATGTTGTTATGTTAATTCAAAGAACAAAAGAATTCTAATGCATCCTCTTTTGACTGACCAATTCCGGAGATGCCAAGTAGTCCAACTAGATATGCCGCTTCCATATGGCCTGTCGTGGCCGCAATGCGCATCCCATAGAATGCTTCCACATTACCTTGCATGAAAAACACTTCTAACGCGCTTCTCTAAATATCGACTCAGGGTTTTCCCAAGCCCTGCATTGTTGCAAGAAATGTTGGACCTGCATTGTGGCATGGTACCAGTTAGGATGGTCTGGGTACTTTGCCATTGAAATGGTGTTCCACACTTGTGGAGTGTTTGCCAATGTATGGAACAATGGGCACACAGATGTCATACGAAAGAGATCTTCCGATGATTGGGTTGCCACGTATAACATCACTTTAAACCAAGCTAACTCCGGGATGAAGACTTGGGGCATATCCAAATGGAGATGCTTCCTTCTCTTTCCTCCGAGTGTAGTGAAATGTTTCGAATTCATTGAAATATTTTTGGAATGGAACGATTTGAGGAGTGGAAGAGGGGAGAAATGACAATATATGGGGTTTTGGTTTTGTTTTAGCCTTTGTTTGTAGTGTTTTGAAAAGGTGTTTCCACTTGGGGTTTTTCCAAGTTGACCCTTTTTAAAGAAACTGAACCCAACACCCAAAACTCAAGACAAGAGAAGGGAAAGAGTCATCGAAATGCAAAGAGAGTCAGACAGTAAAAAAGTCAATTAATAACCTATTTCCATAGCCATTTTTAGGCTTTTCCCGCCATCAAATTCATTGACACAAATGTGATGGATTACTGACTAGTCACAGAAGGTCCCATCAGATACTTTTTCATTTTCCCACACCAAACTACCCTTAGTAATGTTATTAAAATGGAACCAATGATGACGGATTCTTATCCAACTAGTTGCCTTAATGAAATATAAATAAAATAATATATTTAAAGCAGTGTCCCCTCAATTTTCATATTAATATTTGGTAGTGAAATATTATATTGCTTTTCGGGGTAAAAGGTGTCACAATTCTGACGATACAGGTGTCCAGATCGTGACCAACCCACCCACACACAGAAAAGAAGGATATAATTCGATTTGGGCAGAGATGAGAGAGAGCTGAGTGAGAAGTTTAGGGTTATGAGTGAAAGGGTATGATTGAAAATTATGAGTGAGAATGTATGAGTCCAAAGAGGTTTCAGTGAGAAGATCTGAGTGAGAAGAGGTACAAGAGAGAAGATTCAACATGTCTTCGTCTTCATCTCCCGCTCAAACAAAGAGGTGTTAGTATTGTGGAGCTACAATGGTGTTTCGGGTTTCAAAATCAGATAAAAATCGAGGGAAGCCATTTTGGAAGTGTCTAACCTCCTATGTAAGTTTTCATTTCCAGAATATGTATGTGGGTGAAAAAAAACCTAGGTCTAACTCTAACAGAATTATTTTGCATATATGATGCCTGCCACCAGTTGCAATGGGTTGATGTAACCTCCGCTGAAGCAGAACAGCAAGATGACACGTATGATGCTACAGTGCTGAATATGTTGAAGTCCATTAAGGACTTGGTATTAGTTTTATTAGTTGTATCAATTGTCATATTATTTGTTCTTTTAATGACCAATTAAGTGCACGGTTTCAATGATTGTAAAAGTTCTCCCCAAAAAGACATGTTGCACGCACCACCAATGAGTTTTCAAACCCATTTTGTAATTTTTGTTCTTGAAATAAGTGGATTGGCATTGAGTTTAAATTATTGTTTGAAACAAAAACATTTATTTGTCTAAAACCCAACAAAAAATTTCCAATTTCCAAGACTTACTTTAAAAAAATAAAGTCATACGAAGACGATAAAATCACAATACAGGGCCAATACGATGCAATAATAAGACAATGCATTTTTTTTTGAAAATTGCATAATTATTCAATGTGTATAGATTGTTTATTTGCGTATACTTAAAGTTTATTGATTGTTTATTGCATGTAAATCACATGATATTGAATGTTTATTGAAGGTTTATTGATTGTTTACTGCATGTATTTCGCATGTTATTGATCCAATATTGAATGTTTATTGAAGGTTTATTGATGGTTTACATGTTTATTGAAGGTTTATTGATTGTTTACATGTTTATTGAAGGTTTATTGATTGTTTACATGTTTATTGAAGTTTTATTGATTATTAACTGCATGTATTTCACATGTTATTGAACTGATATTGAATGTTTATTGAAGGTTTATTGATTGTTTACTGCATGTATATCGCATGTTATTACTCCAATATTTTATGTTTATTGGGGGCAAAAGTACCAGTCAAGTAAGTATTAAGGAGTTAGATTTAAGGGGGGAAACGGTCCTTATTCTTTCTTCTAGTAAGAAGAACAACTGTTAAGTAGAATTTCCTATTCAATATGACTTCCTTATGGTTGGTGTAAGTGGGGACTGATGTATATTGCATGTCCATTATGTATATATTGCATGTCCATTGTGTGTATATTGCATGTCTATTACGTGTATATTACTTCTCAGTTGTGTGTATATTGTTTGTCTGTTGCCTGTGTATTGCTGTTTATTTCCTTCGTAAGCAATAAACAATCAATACACACGCAATAAATGTAAGATATGCACACAATAGACAAGCAATATAGACGCACGAATATACATTACTTTTATGCTACTGAGCTGCCCAAAACCAATAAAATAAAGAAAATCAACGAATTTATAAACCGATTATAAAGGAGAGAGGGATTCAAACCCGAGGGGCGGTATGGAACCAATAGGGAGTTTTTATAGCATTGCACCTGGGGACATTTTTTCATGTGTTTCTATAAAGAGGGCATAGTTGACTAAAACATTAGAGGCGAGGCCATAGCCGCATATTCCCCTTACAAAATTACCTTATTAAGATGTAACCCATTGCGATTAAGTCAAGGTAACGGCTTAAAGATTGGGATCTGATATTTGGAATGGTGGCTTGGATAAATGATGACATATCACTTTGCAATGATGTAATACACTTAAAAAGCCATCAGTCCCCATTCACATATGCATTCTTCAAATCCCAATTCACATATGCAGTCTTCAAATCCCAATTCAATGCAGTTTGGTTATGGTTATGTAAATGTCGTGAAGGAGTTAGGCCAATATTACACAGATGTTTGTTTCATTAAATCCAAAAACACTTTACACTCCAGATGCACATTCTATGTAATGGGAATGGCATGTGTCTAACTTCAAAAACGCATCTACCTATCCATTTAGATTGCCCACGTGCAATAGATTTACAGATCCATTTACTTTTCTCCTCACCAAGCCTCAGCATCTCCATTTCAGATTCTTCATTTTTCTGTCTATGCTCTGTATCCAGCTCCATATACATTTAGCACAATATGAGAATAAACATAGCGTAGTATCACACTAATTGAAATGAAAGCATGCATCCGCTATAATATTTGCCACTATTTTGGTTCTAATTGTTATTGTCCAATAACTTAAACATAAAATTATTTACAAAAATACACTAAGATTGAGAAAGACGAAGAAGAATTGAGGAGCAGAGGTAGATTTCGAAAAGGACCCGTGGGTCTCTATTATGTATTTACATGAGTTTGAAATTGGACATTCCCAAAACCTATTTAATCATCACGTACCTAAACCAAGTTCAACCAATATCATGCCAATGTACCTAAACCAAGTTCAACCAATATCATGCCATGTAAGCATCTCCCCGTAATATCTCTGCAGCCAACTTCAATTGAAAAAAGGGCATGTTCTGCGAGGTGCAAGTAGCTAACGGAATCTTAGCGCTCAAAAGCTCAATGTACTTCAACACAAACATGCCACAATCGCCTCTGAAGCAAAACAAGAACTCGATCAGTTCAACTAATGACATTCTAATGTAATTGACAATTTTAAGTAATAAAATTAAACAAAAAGTTATGCTCACTGATTAAACTGTTGAGGAACATCCACACGTTCTATTGGCCACGGACACCACCAATCTCGGCTGCAATCGTTTGCGTAAACACCATCTTCATAAAAGTCGATGGTGTTGAGAAGATTTGGAATCGTAATTGAAAGCGGGGTGAGTTCTTCCTTTAAGATCTCATCTGGAATAAGTGAAACCATTGAATCGTACACTTTGATTTCACAGTTAACCAGATCAATCATTACAGCCACCCAATGCTTGTACTTCGTCAACATACAAGGGGTATACACCTTATATGCATTCTGCCAATCCATCCCACACACCGGAACCTTGCCATTTACAACGTTCAGTAAACTGTTTCTAATTTTCCACCCAACCTGCTCTTTTCTTCTTTTATTATCCGTAAAGCAAGTATGGATGTGATTCTGTGAAATAGAAAACAATCAATGGTTAAACACCTCCACAAAGCAAGTATGGATAATTTGTAATTATTAACTGCACTTGGTCAACGCCTATGACATACCATAAAAAATACATTGGTCGTTGTCCAGTCCGATATTTCTACTTCCTCCAACTCTTGTTGTCACTTACGGAACCCCAAATCAATGTGCTGCACATGTTTTTCTTGTCAATCTCATAATCTATGTACATTAAAACAAATGCATAATCAATTAAACTTACATCTCCTTTCAGCCAACCGTCAGCTTTGACGAGGGAAGCGAAGAATTCAATCTCAGCTTTGACGTTGCCAAATTGCATCACCAAACTATGAATATAAAAAAGTTTTAGAACACAACAATTAAAAAATATATACACTCATGCCTTCTATCTCAAAAAACAAGGGACTTACTTTGGGTCATGGCGCCATTCCCAACAAAGTTTCAGCAATTTCACCATATCATCATGCGGAATCGCTTTCATTGGGTCTAACATCCAAAGTCGGGTTGTCTCTGGCAGATTTTTTTGAACCAATTCACTAGCTTCAATGATCTTCCACATATGAATGATCCTCTTCCTCTTCCGTAATTAGACCCCTTGTTCCACAGCTTTACCTTCATTATTCAACCAAACGTTCAATTGAGATAGCACAGTTGTAGGTTGATCCAAATCAATGTCCCCGAGAGTAAACTCAACCTTTGTCCCCTCCGCGCTCTCGCCAATGTCATCGCCAAGCAACATAACTTCATCATCCTCTTTCTCACATTGGTTTCTTTGCACTTCCTTTTCCTCACTTCTTTGTCTTTTCACTTCCTTGCCCTCCCTTCTTTTCTTTGCGGATCCTCTCCCTCATTGCTTTTTCTTTGCAGTTCCTCTCCCTCACTGCTTTCTCTTTTCACTTCCTCTCCCTCACTGCTCTTTCTTTGCGCTTCCTCTCCCTTGCTGCTTTTTATTTTCACTTGCTCTCCCTCACTTCTTTTCCTTTGAGCTTCCTCTACTTCACTTGGTTTTCTTTGCACTTCACCCCCTTCAATCCCCTCCTCTTCCTTTTCCTCTCCCTCATTTCTGTTACTTGTCCATCCTTACTTCATGCTCAAACTGAGGACCTAAACAGTGGTCGAAAAGTTTTTCCATCCGTATGACCTTTAACTCAAGGACATCCTTTTCCCACTTTACTTGAAACAACTCGGACCTCAACAAGCTTACCACCTTGTTCAACTCATCAAGGTCAACACATGAAGAAGGAATTGACTTTGCCGAGACGACAGCAGGGTGATCCTGTGGCCAACTCCAATATGGTTGTCTCATTTCCTCTTCACTCGGACATAGCGCCCGCAACTGAACTGACTGTTTCAGAATACAGACAAGAGTCATATTCAATCATTCTACTTCATAATTTCATTGAATCTTATAAATAGTTCCAAGGGCTGCAAACCAAACCTCTTTGCTCTGGAAAAAATAATTGTTTAACTTTCTCATCTCGGGAACAGACGTAGTAGTTCTCCATCGCAAAATACGCGGGAGAGCTGCGGATCAACAATCTTGCAGTAATTTAGGTCCACCATTCTAGGAATTAATTCATATACCCAAATCTACACAATTCATAGGAAAAAAGTCATTATTTAAGTTTTAAAGTCCACAAAACATAACTGACATGAACATTATTACCATGTACCTGGAAAGCATACGTGAAACCTTTAAAACTCCAGCCACCCCCCTTTTCACTTCACCATGCTTATCCTTCTTGCCCTTCTCATTTCTCCGGCTTGTTCCCGTTACCTTATTTTTCCCTTTCCCTCTTCCCTCTTCATTTTCAAAGCTTTTCACATACTTTGTTGGTGCAGAAAATAGACTGTCTTGGGTTTTGTCAAAGGACACCAAACCCCACGGATACCTATTGAATGCATCCAAGTCCTTTACAAGGGTCAGGTAATTTAGATTGATGTTCAAATGCTTGTCCCTTCCCAAAACTACTAACTCAACAAAGTAAACAAGAGCTAGCTTGTAGATGTCATCTTCCTTGTGCACCTCAAAAATGCTTCTTCTAAAGCATTACATGTAATTCCTTCGTCTATAAAATATCTTTTCTGAAGTCTAATTTCATCACTTTCTCCACTGGAAACTTCAGGCACTTCCCCAAAACAAAGCCCTGTGTTCAAACAGAAATCCTGACGAGTGAACTGAGCAACGTCGCACCCTATTAAGAAACTCAGTCCATCCAAGTCTTTCACACCTTGCCTTGCTACTCTACGCAACACAACCCCATGCACAATCTGCCCGCTAAACTAAATCTTATCTATATTCAGAAGATGGCCAAAGCATGATGTCTTGAATTGTTCTAATTGTTCGGCACTCAACTTCGCTCGAATTGCAGCTAGGGATGAATTTGCATGTGAGCAATTGTTCATCCGTGACGAATATGCCTCTGACTCTGGCCATACCAGCTCCATGTTGGATCCCATTTCCTGAAATACAAGATGAAATAACGTGAACACATATACTACCACGTATTTGCACAATCACATTGGTATTTACACAACTAGTCAACCAAGCACATTACAAATTTTACAAAGTACATGCGCATAGAGATTACTGATCACAGACTTTAACATCATCAAAGCAATATGAAAAATTTTGTGCAAATACCTGTTAATGCAATGATTCTGTGAATTACAAGCAATTTCATGTGTTTTATTTATGGATCCAAACTCCAATCAATGGTTGATGCATGAGTGAGTGTGAGTGCAATCTAGGCAAGTTCTGCAATACAAAATATTGTCATCTCACATGACAATAATTATCATCTCATACACAACACAAAATAAATAAATAAATAAGAAATATGGTGGAAGGAAGCAAAGCAAAGCATCTGCTCTGCTATCTGCTTGCTAAGCCATTGCCACAATTATTATTAATATGTTATTGATATGTTATTGACATGTTATTGAATTGATTTTCATTCGTTTTTTAACATATACCCAAGCAAAAATTAACATGCAAGTGAAGCACAAAGAAGAGATGCCAAATCCAACAACATTGATGGTACAAATTGGGGAAATCGTTACTCTAACCCTAAACTCAAATTCCATAAATTACTCATCAAATACTTTGCACTTATATTCATGAGTTTATTATTACATGTTTTCATTTTTCTCAGGCAAATTTAGTAACAAAGGAAATAATATTTATTTCAAAAAATATATATATTCTAGCGCCAGAGAGATAATCTGCACTATGCACTGCTTCAAATGTGGAAGGTTTTGATTTGAGGGCCTCCTCCAATTCAACACCATTATCTTATTCATATCATTATTGACATGTAATTGATATGTTATTGATATTTTATTGACTTGATTTTCATTCGTTTTTTAACATATACGCAAGCAAAAATTAACATGCGAGTGAAGCACAAAGAAGAGATGCCAAATCCAACAACATTGATGGAACAAATTGGGGAAAACCGTTACTCTAACCCTAAACTCAAATTCCATAAATTACTCACCAAATGCTGGTTATTGAACAATCGCAAGGTGTCTGTGCGGGGTCTTTGTGCGGCTTTGCTCTACAAATGGAACCTATCACTTCCAACGAATACGGCTTCTCTCCTTCCCCTTCCACTGCTTCGCCCCTTCACTATTTCGGAATCCACACCTTTGCCCCTTCCACTCAAATAAATACTTTTTCAGGGTTTCAAGAACGGAGTGGCGTTCAACCGTTGCCTTCAATCGTTTCTCAGAGCTTAGCGGTTCCTCAGAGCTATGGGTTTTAGAGCGATGGGTTTTTTTCTGTTCAAACTTCGAACTTGCCTCTTCTTCTTCTTTTCGGGACCTGTTGGATATTAAATTCGGGTTTGGGTTCCTCACCTACCCGATTGTAAAACTTTATCTCAATTCTCTCCAGCCCTTGGATTGATCTGATGGCTATAAAGTGAACCCCTTATAACTTACCCCTCATTATAGTCTAGGCGGTATAATAAGGGGTGGTAATTTGGGTCAGACTGAAATCTTGGGTGGAATTTGGCCCAACTTTCCGGTCTGGGTGGAATTCTGTGGGCCCCAAATTGAAGCCAACTTGTGCAGCATGTGAAGGAATGACAAGACGAAGCAAATTTGCTGGACACGTGGAAGGCTCACATCAAAGGGACGTTGGAATCCAACAGCTCCCTTTGAAAACCAATTATGCATCTACTTGTTCTTTTTTTAATTCTTTATATAATCTATTGGAGCCTTTAAAAGCTGGCCACGTGTAAAGGGGAACCAACTTTTTGTCATTTTTCAAGCTTTCTCAAATAGATATAAACAGCCCATATTTTTTTCAACTTGATTTTGAACGAGAAAAAGAAGATCCAATGATCAAAATTAAAATCAAATGGTTAAAATAATATTTTTAATTTATCTAAATGAGATCCCACTCTCAAACTCTACAATCATTCTCATTTTAATTTTAAGCGAAAAAAAATGTTATGTTTATGGAATTTTAATTTTTTTAGATTAAAATGTTTAGAAAATTAATTCACGAATGTTGAAACAAAAATAATGTCAAGAAAAATTAATGACAAAAAAAAATCAAGGGTTAATCATTCTTAAACAATTTAATAAAGTTGCGGACTCAAATTATGAGTCTGCAAGGTTGGAGGAAAAAAAAATTTGAGTCTTAAAAATACATAAATAGTTGTATTTTAGAGGGTGAAAATTTAAGTTTAGCCTCAACATGGTTGGAGATGGCCTCACTAAACTCAAATTTTTACCCTCCAAAATACAACTATTCATGTATTTTCAGGACTCAAATTTTTTTCCTCCAACCTTCCAGACTTATAATTTGAGTCCACAACTTTATTAAATTGTTTAAGAATGATTAACCCATAATTTTTTTATTTCTTTAATTTTTCTTGACATTATTTTTGTTTCAATATTCGTGATTTAATTTTGTGAACATTTTAACCTAAAAAAATTAAAATTCCACCCCAAATTCCACCCTACTCAAATTTTCACTCCCAAAAGACATGGGTTGGAGAAGAATTTTAGACTCAAAACCGAAAATTTGGGTTTCCATCCCAAAGTTAGAGATGGTCTTAGAGAAGAAAAGTTCAATCTGAGGAGAGCTCTGTGGCTCATCTCGTGGAAGAGTGGAGCACATGGACCATGAAGAAGGCCTAGGTAGTCACCCATTATAGTTTCATTCTCCTCATCAATGTCATCATTCGCAACTCGGAACCTAAGCCACAACGTTCTCAGATTTTCAACCCCATTTGATCTCATTGGGTTGGGTCGGGTGCTTCAAAATCTGAGATGGGTTTTTTTTGTTATTATCTCTCTAATGACTTATGGATCAGTACCTATGCATAGAATCTACATATGTATAGGGTTTTGTTCTATATGTTAGGGAGGTATTACTTTTAGTGATTGGGTTTGTGAAATTTTTTGTATGCATTGCATAAACTGATGAATGGGTTTGTGAAATTTTTTGTATGCATTGCATAAACTGATGAATGGGTTTGTGGAATTTTCAGTGAAGAGTTTGCCTTTGTAGTTCAACTACGGAATATACAAAATTTGGGATTTGTGCTTCTTTGTGAACTTCAACGATTGTGACTGTGAGCCTCCACCCAAGTTTAACGATGGCCCTTTGTATATGTACAAAAGCTAGCGGTGGAAGAGGCAGCACCACTGCCTCTGGGTCACTGCAAAGATCTCCAAGAAACTAACATCAAACCCCGTACAACAGATCACATATAGGCCCTATACACCCAGCTCTAAAGAACAAAGTTTCACTGGATTCAATTTTTGAGGGCACACTATTTTCTTTGTTTCTGATTCCATCATCTTCTGTGTCTAATTTATTTATCAGTTTGGGTTAATCGTTTTATTAGTCCCTAAATTTAGTCCCGATTTGCATTTGGGTACCTCAATTTCCAAAATGGTTCCCGTGGTCTTTTAACTTTAGTTTCGTTAGAACAAATGGTCCTACCTTCAATTTTGTTAACTATTATGTTAAATGCAAGGGCAAAATGGTATTTTTGTACCAAAATTGAATAAAAAATTAAAATTAAACTCTCTCTCTCTCCCCCTCTATTACGGTTTCTACTCCCCCCAAACTTTTTTTTTTGTTGGTTTTTTATTTGATTTTCTTTTATTGTTATTTTAAAGATATGAATTTTTATTCATTTTTTTGGTTTTAATATAAAAATACCATTTTGCCCCTACATTTAACAGAAAAAGTTAACAAAATTGATGACAGGACCATTTGTCCAAACAAAACAAACGTTAGAGGACCACGAGAAACATTTTGGAAATTGAGGTACTCAAATGCAAATCGGGTCAAAGTTCAAGGACTAATAGAACCATTAACCCTATCAGTTTCAACATAGCAAACTTTTGAGTTTTGTGTAAATAAAAGAACTTCTTAGTTCGTAAGTGCAGAATGGAATTAAACGGCAATTTGGAAAAGAAAGGCCCAAAACTTAGGGGGTGTTTGGTATTCTATTCAAATAAGGAACTCAAAAACTTTGATTTTTCTTAAAAACAAAGAGTTCTTAAATCTATTTTTAAGATTCAAAAACTTGTTTGGTATGCAACTTGAAAACTGTTTTCAAATCTTAAAATTTTGAGAACTTGTGGGTTGTTAGAAAAAAAACTGAAAAAACAAATATTTTTTGTTTTTAATAATTGGGTTGTTTTTTTTAGTTGTTTTTGAGTTTGAGTTTTTAAAAATAGGGTTACCAAACAAGTTTTCTTTGTTTTGGACTGAAATTCTGTTTTTGAGTTTAAAAAGCTGGATTCAAGTTGGATATCAAACAGGGCCTTAATTTGATGTGGCATAATATGAACCACTAGATTAATGGAATGGATCATATTTTATGAAATGCACCAAAATGCATGACAGCTAAATGCAGAGGTTTGGGATCCTCATTTTACACCCTTTAGGTTCAAACTCATTATTAACATGGGCCATGAGGTTTTAATGTAATAAATTTACACAGTAACCTATTAAATTCAAACAATTTACACCCTCAGTTAGTTTGACCGTTTGTTTTTCAATTAAATTGGTGATGTGGCAAGTGATCTACAGTTAAATTGATGTTGTGTGATGATGTGTCAAAAAACAATAAATAAAAAATTTAAAATTAATATAAAGTCAATTTTTTTTAAAAATAATTATATAAAAAAATTCCCAAACCCCCCCACTACCTCTGCTTCTTCTCAGGTTGGTCCATTGATTTTTGATGCCCTGAGCAAAAATAAAAATTGAGGCCTTTTATGTTTGAACAAAAATTAAAGTAGAAAGTTTCAAGCTTAGGTGCTAAGTTTGTTAGTTTATGTAAAAGGGGCCCACTAAATAAAAAGTAAAGAAAAATGCCCAAAATTTTTTAGAATAAAGCGCAAAAACTATGAGTTACACTCATAAAATGCCTTTTTTTTTTCCCTACTATGACTCTTGGGCTAAAACATTTTATACAAATTTATAAATAAACCCAATCCTAGACATGTATTTATAAAAAAACCCAAGCACTATTTAAACATAGAAACACACCAAAAATCAACAATTGTATATTTTTTGGGTGTGTTTATAAATGGGTTTTGAGTGTGTGTAATGATGGATTTTGGGTGTGTTTATAAAGTGTTTTGGGTGTTGGGTTTTTTTATAATTTCAGCCCCCATTTTGGGTGTTTAGTGAAACTCCCCAGCCTATTTTTTTGGGGCCCTATGCCGTCACCAGCCCGCACACCTTGTGGGCCGGGTCTCTTCTCCCCTCTTCATTCTCTCTCCCTCTTTCTCTCTTGTTTGCCTTCTTTCTCTTCCCTCCCCACACCCTTTGATCACTTGCAAACCCATCTGCTCCTCCCTCAAAACCCTAAATACACAAAGCCTCCACCAGTACATACGCCCCTAATCTGCTAGTGTCAACTTGCAACGGACAAGCGTACCAAACGGCTTCCACGAATCTTGAGAGGTACCTTCAGACACCAAGCACTCCAAATTTTATTGTGGTCCTCCCGAGTGCTGCATTCCCCTTCACAAAGCCATTATTTATGTGCATTAATTTAAAGTGAGTGAAGTATTCAAATAAGACCTTTTCTTAATATTGGGAGAAGAAATATCACTAGATTAAGAACAATTTTGGGAACTATACGTTCACCTCTCATCATGATGGATTTTATAATTTTTTTTCTTCTCATGAATATGGATAACTTCAGGCAGGTTGCAAGAATGATATATTCTCTTAAATTAGTTCTTTCTAGTTTTTTAACCTAAATTTACTTTTAAAAGAATAAGGATAAAAACTCTAGATAAATTATTACCATGTCATAAAATATTATATTCTTTTCTTTTTGGTCCAAAAATTTATAGTCTTTTTCTGAACAAACTTACCCAATCACATCTATGAATCTAACTACAACGGATCCAACGAACACAACACACAACTGACCCCAAATGCTCAATCCAACCGATCAAAGAACACAAAAACATTGCCCATGCTATAGTGCTGCGCCTGATTTAATTTGAATGTCTCAACTAATAACTCTAGCTTCCAATTTTGTTACACATCCACTTCATCATATCTTAATAAACCTTATTATCAAAATACCCCTGCATTTATCACTAAACTGAAATATAATACAGCACCAGATCATTAAGGTTTTAAGTACATACCTGCAAAATTCCAAAAATAAAAAGGAGCATAACTGAAACCCATCAGTTCCATGGTAAGACCCGTTTGGTTGGCTCGAAGGGTTCTGGTTGTGGAATTTTACAAAATCACAGGCCTCCAATTAAGAGGGTTTCTCATAACAGATTCTGGGAAATTTTAGATATTTATTTTCCCCAAACCATATATAACTGAAGTATAGGGTTGTCCCAAGCATATCTTATACATATCTGAGGTGGATATGTCTGGAAGAAAAGAAAACCATCTGGTGAAATACTCATTAAATTTGTGTAAGCAGAAATAAGTAAATAATTAGAATATGGGGCAGACTCTACACACTCACCAAAACAAACTTGAACTTTTTCAATTCATATTCCTCAGACTTCCGTTGGCCTTTTGCATCTATCATTCCATCATCTAATCTTTGATAAAATGATCAGAGATCAGACATAACAGTGAAAAACATACGTCTAGTAAAATTGTTTAAAAGAAACGAAAGATTTTAAACCCAAACTACAACGAAAAACATATGCGTATATGGAACTAATATTTGTCTGCAGAAACTGCATGCTTCTGGAAAAACAAAATGTCAAAAAACGTCCATCCAAACTATAACACAAGAGCATACCTCCATTTGCTAGAAAGAGTTTCCTTCAATGAGATTAGGTGCAACTCCAGATGGTTTGTAGAAGTGGAGCTTCTGCGATGGTAGTGCCACTTGAATCACCTGCATCAAGCAGGAGCATTACCGAGTAATAAAAATTTAAGTCAAAAATGGGAGAACCATGTTCCACAATACAACCTATGCAGTATAAAAGATAACATCACCTTTCTTTTACACATAAAAAGCTTCTGCTGATGATAAACTCAAAAGATAAAGTTCAAATGATAAATTTACACACAGCTAGTTCTATTAATTTGACACCTAACTGAACTAAAAATTTTAAGTCACTTTTGAAAATGCATGATCTGGAAGAGAACTATAAATGGCCCACTTGGAGCTCTCGATTCCATGGCGCGGCTCAACAAAGCAACCGCACCGTCCTACCTATTTAAAGTTTGAGAATAGGTCGAGGGGGTTGCGCCCCCGATGCCTCTTATCATTGGTTTTACCCGATAGAACTCGTTCACGGGCTCCAGCTATCCTAAGGGAAACTTCGGAGGGAACCAGCTACTAGACGGTTCAATTAGTCTTTCGCCTTTATACCCAAGTTAGATAAACGATTTGCACATTAGTATTGCTGCGGGCCTCCACCAAAGTTTCCTCTGGCTTCGCCCCGCTCAGCATTGTTCACCATCTTTCGGGTCCCAACAGGCATGCTCTCACTCGAACCCTTCTTAGAAGATCAAGGTCTGTCGGCGGTGCAACCCTCAAGGGGATCCCGCCAGTCAACTTCCTTATGCCTTGTGGGTTTAATCGCCCGTTGACTTGCACACATGTCAGACTCCTTGGTCCGTGTTTTAAAACGGGCCGAATGGGGAGCCCACAGGCCGATGCCAAGAGCACCACAGATGTCGAGGGATGCCAAGACGGAGCATGCTAGCTACCATGATCACGTCGACAGCATCTCCGTGGGCATATCAACAGCCCAAACTGTAACAACCAGATCTTAAATCAATTTTAATTATTAATTTATTCTGGGAAAAGACTATTTTGCCCCTAGAATATTTTATTAGGTTTAAAGTTGACTTTTTGACCAAGAAATAATTTGGAAATTTCAATTGTACCGTTCCGTAGATCACGTCGAAACGAGTCCGTAGACACTTAATGGACTCAAATCCGAGTTGTAATGAGTAAGATACAATCAAAACACTTATAGGGGCAAAACCGTAATTTTCTCCAAAATCAGATTTTAATCTCTCTCTCTCTCTCTCTCTCTCTCTCTCTCTATTGCGCAGAACCCCACTCCCCCGATATTTCACTCTAGCCGTCACCCTCTTCCTCCATAACCACCCCATCCGACCACCTCGACCCACGAAACCGGTCCCAAAGCAACCAGCCTAGCCCCGCCGTCACACCCCAGCCTCCTCCCACAGCTAGCCGCCGTCTCAGCCACCGAAATTTGACCGGCCTCGCTCTTCCTCCTCCGGCCACCAATTTCGACAAGTGAGGTATGGTTTCTCACCTATTTTTCATGTTCTAGCTGATGGTTAGGTAGGATTTGATCAATTTCTAGCAAAGGTAACTCAATTTGTAACCCAAAGTTTGGCTGAATTTCGGGTTGAAATTCCGGCCACTTCTGGTCATTTTTCGGGGTAGGTCCAAGAACAAAAGTGGCTCCAATCGATGTCTTGAACCTGTGATGGGGATCTTGGGCCTTGATTTTGAAGTTTTCTGGCAAACGATATCGCTTAGGACACCCATGCGCTAGCAGCAGCGCATGGGTACAACAGCAGAGGGGCATTGTGTCCCGATGCGATCCCCTAGTTGTCACCAGCGCGTAGGTGTGTTCGGATATTGTTTGAGCCCCGAACGGATTTCGCCTATTGTGAGATTTCTGGGTTTGACATGTTCGGACTGTTAGATCGAACTCAAATTCACGTATGATGTACCTTGTGTTTCTAGGATTGTATAGGATTCAATGGATCGTGAATCAGAGTCCCGGATACTCCGAAATCACTAACCCTATGGCTAAATAAACTGTAATCGTCTGATCGTGATCAATCCGGCCGTCCGGTTTGGGCTGAACTTGCAGGACATGATATTAAAATGTGTAGAACCTATATGAACTCTCATATTGATAATTGGAGAGCGTGGACCCCATGGGGTCCCAGGTTGACCAATATGGAAATTTATCTCTTAATGAGTCTCGGGTCTTTTCAGATTGTTCTAATCATTGGAAATGCTTAAGTGGGCATAAGAATGGTCTTAGACTATGTGCACGTACTTTTAGAAGCCGAGGGTCAGGGTTTTGGATTAAATGATTATGTTGAGCTATTTTATTAATTAAATATTTGTAATGGTTTAAATAGGTACTTGGTCTCCATCGGACCCGCAAGAGGGACCCTCAAAGGGTCAAGCGAGCTCGGACGCTCAGTGAGTGGACTTTTGTTTTACAAATGATTTTCTGCAATTAATTTTCGTTATTTTATCTTGAAAAAGTTATTATTGACTATGGCTTTCCAAGCATGTTTAATTGGATTTAAATGTTTTATTTATATGCAGCTATGTTGGGAATGATAAAGGGCTTGGAAAGAAATGAGGTGATTACCAGATTGAGTGGTTTGATGAGAAATAAAATTATAGTTTTTAAGAATGGCAGCAGGATTTAAGGATAATTAAGAAATAGTTTTATAATCTTTAATCTTTTTCTGAAATATATTTATTTTTAAAACCACCATAAGTACCCAAGGTTGCCTTTGGAATAAATGTTGCATTCGGATTAAATGTTGCCTTCGAAATAAATTGTTGCCTTCAGATATGACGATGTCCACGGACATCCTAGTTGCCTTTGGTTTAGTCAGTGCGTTTGACTTTTGCCCCACAAGTCCTAGGGGTACCCGGACCGTGTGGACCGAGGAATGCGGATCAGGTTGACTAAATGTCCCCTGAATTCTTTGAGGATTACAGCTCGGGTTGACTTTGTGTTACCGAGACCTACAAGGATGTGTCACAAATGTGACACAAGGAATTGACGATTTAATGTGGAAATTGAAGGATATATTAAGGGTACACCTAGGTGGGAGGAAATTATCACTTTTCAATGTTTTAAAAGGTTTTTGATGATTTGATTGAATGCAAAACCGATTATATGCATGTAGATACGCATGTTGATTTTGGTACGAATATAGAACATTGATATAACTGAGTTTTACTAAATGTTTTTATAGAGGGGGTTAGTATGTTCATATGCTATTTTCTAAAACTTTATTTTTGGTCCACTCACATTTTTCGATGTTTTGCGCCCCCAGGAAGTAGTCGTGCATTAGAGCGCCACCACCGCTCCACCCTTTCTTTATGTAGGATTTCTTCTGTAATTGAATTGTCCTATTATAAATTTTTGAACTAGTTGCTCTGATATTGCCCTAGGATTACTGTATGGCATGAGGCTACTTATTTATGGTTGAAGTGTCTGGATGTAAATAGATGCATGCTGAACAGTTGCAAATATATATATATGTTTGTTTGACAAGGGGAAATTTTTTGAAATGAACTTTTATAGAGGAGACTCTGCCGAAAATTTCGGCAGAAGTCAAATTTTAAGTAAATTTGGTTTTTAGTTAGAAGGGCAATTTGGTCATTTGTGCCCAGCACCCGCCATGTGTCGGACACGCACAGGGTTCGACTCAGATTCCAAAATGGAATTTGGGTCGGGTCTTGTCACGAACATTGGCTGTTGCCGCTGTTGCAATCTGCATCAGCCAAAGCCCCGAGCCAATTAGTAAACCAGCTTGTGACCTTTCCACATCTAACTGGGGGATATCGCCGACTCAAATTCACGTATGACTGGGGGATATCGCCGACTCATCGACAACGCCTCTTGGTGCAACATGGTTCAAGCACAACGGGTCTCTTTCCACCTTTGAGGATGCTTCTCCAATGTGCGATGACTGCACATGATAGGCAACCGAAGTTTCACAACCATTGATTATCGTGGAGTGTGTCGTTGAGGACTTTGTATTTATGCCAACCGCGGGACGAAGTGTACGGGAGGCCATCATCTGCCCCCTGCAAATCCGGGAGTAGTGGGGGGGGGGGGGGGGGGGGGGGGGGGGGAGGGAGGAACATGTGATGCAACTTGCGTTCAAAGACTCGACGATTCAAGGGATTCTGCAATTCACACCAAGTATAGCATTTCACTATGTTCTTCATCAATGCGAGAGCCGAGATATTCGTTGCCGAGAGTCATTTTGACATATTTGGAGATGACAGCGCCGCTCGTGCACACCGTTTCTGGGGCAACAGGGACGTGCTCTCTCATTCAAGTTCCTTGGTGCAATTCTTTTAAAAGCATCCTCTAGGTTGCTTTTGAAAGCTACTTTCATAAAAAGGGGAGAAGAGCCTTTAACGAATATTTTCAGTACCCATAATACCATCATTAAATTTTTTAAATGACATCGTCTACCACCACAACTACCACCTCCACCTCCACCACCAATACCACCACCACAACCTCCGCCACCATTACTCCCACCTCACTTCCACCTTCTTCTCCACCACCACCACAACCTCCACCACCACCACCACCACAACCACCATCACCACTCACTTCCACCACCCACATGTCACCCCTTGATCCAGAATTTAAGAACATTTCCGAATAAGGGTGTGTCATATCATAGTAATAAGAGTAAATTCCTATAACCATGATATGACAAGAAATAGACCCAAACATCATATCTAGTTTTTGACACTGCTTTTTATACTAACACTACTTTAAAAATATTATTTACCAAACATGGACAACAATCCCAAACAGGCTCTAAGGGCCCGTTGGGACTCCTTCTATAGAAAACACTTATGCTGAAGAACATGCTATAGGTGATTCTCCATAAAGTATTTTTGAGGCCCAAACCATTATATATATATATATATACACATAAATTTCTTTCAATATTACAAGTCTACACAACATTTGACAGGACCTGCCCCAAATTCCTCAGCATCAACGATGAATCCTTCAATATTTCCGACATCAAACTGATGCCTAGCCCACTTACTAACGTCATAGCCTCTTTTCCAAAACAAGGAAAAGAGGGATGAGACTTTCTGCTAGAATTTCAGCAGAGCCTTCCTTGAAAAATGGACATTTCCCAAATTTTTCAACCTGTTAAAACATAATTATAAACCAACTAGCAGCATGCAGAAAATAGAAACACGCAATTTACATAAATGGCCTTCGGCCTTACATTTAACCCTAACATGGGCCATAATAGAGCATATATAAGAAATTCAGTTACAAATGAAAATAGAGTTCAACGGAATCGAAACAAGTAGAAGTTTGCCCTACAGAAAGTCAGGGCTTGAAAGTTCGGGTCTCGGCTTGGCCGCTCAATTTCAAGTCTATCTACTGCCTGGGGGGCACAAAACAGAAAATTGTGAGTAGACAAAAACAGAGTTTTGTTATAATTGAAAACAACATGTAATAACCCCTCAGTTTGGAAAACGATGCAGAAAACGTGCATTCAACCGAGATAGATATATATATAACTAAATCAAAACCAAAGTGAAATCCATATCTCGTAATGATATACTAATATCCATCCCATTCAAAACCTTTCCCATTTTCCCCAAACCACTCTCTCGAAACGCATGCTCGTTGGCACGGCGAGCGAGGAAAGATCCTCACTGACAAATAAGATTGAATGTATAGGTACATATATATATATAATATATATCTATATATATATATAAGTATGACCACTACCAAACTTGCATCGGAAAAACAATTCAACCGGGGGATTGTTTGAAGAATCCTCAATTGACCATGTGGCTAGGGAACAAGTCGTCCAATCTGGGGACTGAGCTCAACAGCACGTACAGTAGAATCCTCAATACTCGTACGCCTGTGACAAGTCCTACGCGCTCAAACTAACCCCACTAAGGATCTACGAAACACCCTGTCAAGGGTGCCCAGGTTCCGACATATTCAAGTATCCCAAAAGTTTCCAAGTATCCAAACCATACATTCCAAAACCATGGAGGTACATAGGGTTGTGCTAATAGCACTCTAAACTAACATAAACCACAACCCACTCTCATTCCATAATCTCATTCCCAACAACCCCATGTACCCAACACATGTCCTCATATAGATAATAATTTTCAAAAACAAAGAAAGCATATATCCATTCAAGATAAATCACAATCTGCAAATATTCGAATATAATTCCAATACTTTCATAATCATATTATATTTCAACTTCAAAATGTATAATAACTCAAAATCAAAGGACTCAATATGCATATTTTTCCATCCTTCAAAATAATGAATGTTATTTAAAAACGAAGTCCATTCACAGATAATCCCAAGCTGTCTGACCCTGAAAGGGTCCCACCTGTTGAGTATGAGGTGCTTGAGTACCTATTTAAAAATACGAGAGCTAGATTAAAATAAAATACTTCGAACAAGAACTTTAAAATAAATTCCTAGCTAGTTTTTCCTAGGATTCCAAGTGTGTGAACGATGAAAGAGGAGTTCCTAAGGTCCAACTACATGTTTCGAATGGTGGAATAACTCAAAAGACGCTTGATCAACCGAGTGGTCAAACTTTCCAAATTTGGTCAATCGGGCCATCTGGGCCCACGACCTACAATTTCATATCCAAAAGTTTCTACGGGTTCAACAAAGCTTATTAAACACGTCTTGCAAGTTTGGTCCAGATCGTGCAGTCGGATCGCTCTCGATCGCATGATCGGACGGTTACCATTTTTTAAGTTATTGAATCAGAGCATCCAGGACTCCAATTCTCGATCCACGAATTCCTACACGATCCAAGAGGTACCTATATCAACATATTTGAAAATGGAGTCGATTCAACTGTCCGAACATATCGAACCCAAATAACGCCTAATATGCATAAATCCGATCGACCATTAAATGATAACCAAATTCAAATCCGAGCATACCGTCGTGCTTGGGAAGACATGAGGATCATTTTAGGACCAAATGGGCCACCCAAACATGGCCCATGTGCGACCACAAGGGCCGACAACACGTGGGTGTCTTGAGAAAATTTCGGCGACCGGAAAATTATTGAAACACCCAACAATACCTATACCTACGTGATCAGGACAACAAGTGGAGAAACTTTTGTTCTTAGGCCCAAAAAGTGACCGGAACTTGAAGGAAACTGGAGCCGAAAACCAGTTGAAACTTTTGAGTTGTAAAACGAGTTTCAAAACTTCAAAATCAATCCTAACCAATCCAACCATCAGCTAGATCACGTTGAAAAGATGAGAAAACATACCTGGATCGACAAAAATGGTGGCCGGAATTGTCGAAAACGACAACAGAAGTTTTGGGTAAAAATCGACAATTTTTCTGCTTTTTCCAGCCGCTTGGCTGTCGGCTACAACGGGGGATGGGGTGGGACGAAGAGAGGGAAGTGAGGTCATCATTTTAGTACCAACCCTGTCAATTGGGGTGGCCAGATGTGGTGGTTGCAGGCCAAAACGTGGCCAGTTGTAGAGAAGGAGGGTTTCGCGAGAGAGGGAGTTATCAAGGGGGAAGAGAGAGTGAGATATGAGTTTTAAAAATCCAACTTTGAAATATTTATAGTTGTGCCACTATACTTCCGTTGATCGTAACTTCTTTGTTACAACTCCAATTTGAGCCCACTACGTGTCTACGAACTCATATCGACGCGCTTTACGCAACAGTGTAATTCATATTTCCAAAATCCTACCGAATTATAAAGTGACCAAAATGATCCTACTTCGAGGGAAAAATTGTAATTTCATAATTAAATAAATTTAATAATAAATGAATAAATAAAAAAGGGTCAGAATGTTACAACATCCCACCATGATAACAAACTTTCATCTTGAAATTGCCATCTTATGGTACAATCTTACCTACTCTAGAACTATAATCATAAGTTAGCTCTTGGTTAGGTGGAATGCTCTTCTTAGCGAATAACATCATGTGTGGGATTCTCACATCATCATGATCATAAAGGATACTTTGGGCAAACAAATTAGGAGAAGAACTATGATTGACAAATCTTCCTACATTCCCATGTTGTGTGGCATCAATGACAAAACCGTCTCCGAAGAAATTTGGTAACATAGGAAAAGAGACATGTTGAGAAGCATCTCGAAAAGCATGGTCAACAAATTTACCGTTTGTCCAAAAGAAATACTCATCACTCCCCCTTCTTCGTTTAACTTCTTTCTCTTGAAGAATTTCTCCTACGTACTCACATATGAAACTTCCACATGGAATATATGATCGTGATCTGACACCCCATCCTTTTGATTTTGTCCTGAAGACTTCAAGTTTAAACTGAATCCCATGTTGACAAATTCTATTTTTGCTAGAAGAGGACTTACACGTAGTACCGCAGTCATAAATAAGGATTTCCTATCTATTATCGTGTTGTTGGGTGAACAAACCCCTCCAGTGTTCATTACACAAGGACATGACTTGCATTCTAAGCATCCATGAAGGCAATCACAACCCCTTTGTTTTGTTGCCATGAAGAAATTTGGATAAATCACGTAGCGTGTGTAATTGAAAGCTGGATGACTCTCGCTATCTATTGCATTGACCACACGAATAGGCATCATCTCTTTCCCTTCAGAGATATCATTTTTACAAATAATATCCTTTGACACCATAGGCTTTTTTGACTGTTTTGAAACTTTTTCCCATTTGATTATTGGTTGCCTCGGTATCCTTTTCAACAAATATTTAAACACAAGTTTGCCGAATTCCCCTCTTTCTTGCCAAAAATGCTTGACTTTGTAGAGACCATCGTAAACATAAGTTGTGAAAGAACGTTTCTTAGCACATGTACCCACCTCAAAATGTTTAACGGCGCGAATTACCCTTACATGAGTTCGTACTTCCATGCTATTCTTTAGTGCAAGGTTTCCACGTTCAAGTGTTTGATCCTTCGGCTTTTTACATTCAACCCTAGGATTTCCACCTTCACCTGAATAAAACAAGATATCAGGAGATCCTACATGGTTAGCGTAACGGCCAGAATTAACAATGCTTGTTGCCAAAATTTTCCCATCCTTCTTCATATACTCAATACCACGCCGAAAGTTATGATGGAGGCCAGCAACAATTAGTTCAGCCCTGTTACGAAACTCGTCACCAACCTCAACTCCTAGAATCGGTCCTAATTGCTTCCTCATGTTAACCAATTTTCCTTTCTTTCTCAGATGCATTACTGCTTCAATATCAGGCCTCCAACAATCTAGTTTGTTGGCTTCACTACCATGTTTTGACGGAGCTTAGTTAATGTCTCTCGATATTCATCCAAAGCCTCCTTGACATTATGAATGATCCATCTCTGTCATCAACTCTCGTCCTCTTTTTGTTGGGAAAAAGGGCGACTTTTCGTATCTCAAGTGTTTTGTCCATAAAGAGCTAAGATTCAAAAGTATTGCAGGAACGCCCTACATAGAAAGTATAAAGTAGAAACGGACCCAACATCAACTATGCTAATCTAAAAAGCATTGCATATACACCATAACTGGTAGAACATGTAATTGAAAATTTTACTTCCAAGCAAAGTAATTAAAGTGCTCTCTGGAAATTAACAATCGGAAACCAAGGTCCACAAGGAAACAAATTACCACATTTGTTCCTCTTTCTTAATTGAGAGGCAACCGCTCATTAATTATTCTTTATGAGTGCTCAATTTACATGGATTTTGAACCACAAAAATATCAAGTTACATGGATGACCAATTACTCTTTTATTCCCTAACAGTTCGAAAGATAACCCTTGACCTGAGTCCGATACAAATAGATAGTTCAGATCAGAGAGACGATTCTCAAGTCAAGTGAAGACCTAAACTTACGGATTTGTTTAAAACCTTAATCCATATTATAATATTTACCAGTCACAATGATATATTTTAAACCCCCAAATTACCGATCACAAGCAGAGTCATATACGAGAATCCAGAAGAAACAAACCACTTTTGGTTTGAAACCCAAGTTTAAATAAGTGATTTATGATACGAAAACAAAGAAAAACTATGCAAATTTATAATGCAAGAGCATCACAAACGTTGACAGCAAAATAAATACTATATTGGAAAGAATAAAAACAAACATATGAAGAAGAAATAGTGGTACAAATATAACTTGGAAAGAATAAAATACCTGGTAAAGTAGAAACTAGAAATCGTGGTGCAGTCTCTCGCTCTCTCTCCTTGTTTATGTTTTGAAAGTCTTGGTAACTGTATCTTCTTCTGGTTTTGTGCTCCTCTGTTTCATCTGTTCCGCTTCTATTTGCCTCGGTTTATATATGGGCCTTCGAAGAGCGTAGGGTTTCTTAATTCCCAAGTTTAGAAGGATTCCTTGGAACTCACGACTTTCCTGAATTTACCACTAGGAAAAGTTTACCAGCAAATTGCCACGTGGACATTCTTGATCTAGTCAAATTCTACAGGAATTAGGCATCATGTAGGTCCTGTTTAATTTTAAAAAAATATATATAAAAATTTGTTATTTTGGGTGGAGTTAAATTTTTGGGAAATGACCTCCAATGCCACCCATTTGCTAATTTTAACTAAAAATACCACCCCTTCCCAATTTTTTTACAACTAACACCTTTAAATAGAAAATTATTGTCCACTTATTGTACCCATATCAGTTTTTCAGAAATTGGCTTCTCTCTCTCGCTCTCTTCGCTCTATCTCTTCGGCCCGTCTCTCTCCCTGGTGTACCTCTCTCTCTTCGACGCAATGCGCTTTCTCCGTCAACAGTGGCTGTTCATTTAAGCGTAACTCCATCGTTGACATCCACGAGGTACTATTCATAACCCTTTTCTTTGAAATTTGGGTTTTTTGTGAATTTGGTTTATGGTGTATGGATTTGTAAGAAATTGTTTTAGGGTTTTAGTGTTTAGAGGTTGCTCATAAATTGGGTTTGGGTTTATGGGTTTCTATGAACTGGGTAATAACTCACACCCACTCTCACTTTTTAAGGAACTAGGTGGTACAGAAGTATTTTCCATAATTAGGACACTAAGTTTGTTGGATTCAGATGTTTAATTAGTAAACATAACCAAAGAGAGAAAAGAAAAAAAAAGTTGGAAAATAAATTGACGGATAGATTTTGAAGGGCTAGGTCAGTTTGGTGCAATTGAAAATGTCATCATAGTTTTGCTAGCAAAATCTGGTTTTCATTCCCCCAAAAGCTAAGTTTTAAGCCTTCCTGGAAGAAGTGAAGCAGAGAAAGAAGGGAAGAAATAGATTCATCTATTGAGTGTTGTTTCTGCAACTTGCCATTCACATCTTCTTATGCTCATCATAGTTTTCCTCTCTCTCCATCCTTCAAGCCAGCTACAACAACACACTCAGTCACAAACCCTTCTGAAGATCCAGCAGCTTCTCAACTACGCATCAGCCTTAACCAGCTTCAGCCATAGAAGCAACATCAGAGACTTCTGCAAAATTGAACCAACTCCATCTTTGACTCTATCCTGTTATGAAGGCTGTTAGAATTCTTAGTTTCAGCATTTCATATTTTGGATATTTTGGGAGCAAAGAAGAAATCACGGAAAGATTGAGAGAACGTTGCTCTGGAGAATGAAAAAATGCTTCGATATATTCATATCTGCTCCACTATTTTGGTTATAATCCTTAGACAGAGAGAGAGAAGAGAGATTCTTCCCTGTACCAGATTTACAATAAGCCCAAGTTCTAGCATCCTATTAGATGCTTACACATGTCACTTAATCCTATACTAGAGATTAAACACTTGGACTGTGATCCAAGGGTGCACAATAAAACTGAAAAAAAAAGATAAACAACTAAAAGAAATGAAAACAGAATAGACGCAATTCCTTTAGCTCCAAAACTCGGCTGAAGGATTACACACCAACATTCCCTTCTAATCCTTTAGCCGACTTAACACCAAGTAATTCCCTTAAGTATGCAAACCTGTCCTTAGGCAAAGCTTTAGTCAGAATATCTGCAATTTGCTCCTCAGTTCTGCAGTAGACAAGTTCTATCTCCTTGGCTTGAATTGCTTCTCGAATGAAATGAAACTTTCTGTTAATGTGCCTTGACTTCTGGTGGAAAACAGGGTTCTTTGCCATAGCAATTGCTGATGTGTTATCACACATTATCTGTGTTCCTTCAATCTGTTCTTCTCCAAAATCTTCAAGTACAAATCTCAGCCACTTTGCTTGAGAAGTAGCTTCTGCAGCACTGACATATTCTGCTTCTGCAGTGGACAGTGCCACTGTGTTTTGCTTAATCGATGCCCATGAAAACACACCAGATCCTAGAGTAAATGCATACACTGAAGTGCTCCTCATATCATCTTCACTTCCTGCCCAGTCACTATCACAATAGCCAATAAGAGTAGTTTCTTTTCCTTTCTCAAATACAATTCCAAAGTCTATTGTTCCTTGAATGTATCTCAATACCCTTTTAGCAGTTCCCATGTGTTTCTTGGTGGGATTGTGCATGAATCTTGCCAAGAGGCTAGCTGCAAACATTATGTCAGGCCTAGTTGCAGTCAAGTAGAGCAAACTGCCCACAATCTGTCTATATTCTCCTTCATCTGCAGCCTCACTTCCATCATTCTTACTTAACCTCTCATTCATTGCAAGTGGTGTAGCCACTATTTTGCAATCTTTCAAACCAAATTTTTCAACCAGCTTCTGTCCATACTTCCTCTTATGCAAGAAAATGTTTTGTTTAGACTGTATCAACCCCATTCCAAGAAAATGGTGTAATACTCCCAAATCTGTCATCTCATAGTGTTCCATCATATCTCTCCTAAACTCTTCAATCATTTGAGAGCTGCTACCTGTGTACACTATGTCATCAACATATAGAGAAACAATAAGAACATCTGAACCTTCTGCCTTAACATATAAAGTTGCCTCACTTGGACTTTTCTTGAAACCAGCCTTGTTGAAATAGGCATCAATCTCGTCATACCAAGCTCTTGGTGCTTGCTTCAAACCATACAAAGCTTTGTGTAACTTGTATACCTTTGTTTCCTCATCCTTCTTTACAAATCCTTGTGGCTGATCCACATATACTTCCTCCTTTAAAACTCCATTAAGAAATGCAGATTTCACATCTAGTTGATACAAGCTCCATTCCTTCTGTGCAGCAAGAGCAATCAAGGTCCTAATGGTGTCTAGCCTTGCCACAGGGGCAAAAGTCTCATTGTAATCAATACCGGGCTTTTGTGAGTAGCCTTTAGCCACTAAACGAGCCTTGTTTTTCTGCACAGTACCATCTAGATTCAGTTTAGTCTTGTAGACCCACTTAACACCAATCACAGGTTTAGCAAATGGTCTCTCGACAAGTTTCCAAGTGTCATTTTTTTCTATCATTTCCAGTTCAGCTTCCATTGCCTTTCTCCATGACTCATCTTGAGCTGCATCTTCATAATTTTAGGTTCGACAATACACACATTACACTTAGCCATGATTTCATTTACACTTCTCCATTTCTTTGGTGTGTGATCAAAGAAATGAGAACTTTCACCTATGCCTTTATCTTGCAGAGTAGTATCTTCATCTATTTGAGTTTGTGTATCCAAGCTTTGACTTGGTTCAGCTTGTAATGTGACTTCTTCATCCATTTGCAGTGGTGTATCCAAGCTTTGACTTGGTTCACAGCTTTGATTTTCAGTAGGCATAGGTACTGTCATCTCTCCTTCAGTTGTATTCACCCACTGCCATGTGGCATTTTCATCAAATGTAACATCTCTAGACAGAATTACCTTCCTAGTACTTGGATCAAACAGCCTATATCCCTTTTCACAGAGACCATAGCCTACAAAAATACACTTGTGACTGTTTTCTTCAAGCTTATGCCTCAATGCTGAAGGAATAAGCACATGACAAGGAGATCCGAATATTTTTAAATGTGCAATTCCTGGTTTTCTGCCAGTATAAGCTTCAAATGGTGTTACCTTGTTGAGAGCTTGGTAGGACATCTATTCAGCAAATAGACTGCTGTATTTATAGCTTCTGCCCAAAACTCATAGGGGACACCTTTCTCATGCAACATTGATTTAGCCATTTCAACCACAGTTCGATTCTTCCTCTCAGCTACTCCATTCTGCTGAGGGGAGTATGCCACTGTTAATTGCCTTTGAATGCCAGATTCTTCACAAAACCTGTTAAATTCTCCTGACAAGAATTCTCCACCCCTGTCACTTCTTAAACTCTTTATCTTGAACCCACTTTGCAGCTCAGTCATAGCCTTGGATTTCATAAAACATTCCAATGCACTTGATTTGTTTCTAATGAAATATACCCAAGACATTCTAGTATAGTCATCTGTAAACAATAGAAAATACCTGTTTCCAGATAGTGATTCTGTTTTCATTGGTCCACAGATGTCTGTGTGAACCAATTCCAAAGGGTTTGAAGCTCTCCAAGTGGATTCCAAAGGGAAAGAATCCCTATGCTGTTTTCCTTGCATACAACCATCACACACCACTGACATCTGCTCCAAGTGAGGTAAGCCATGAACCATCCCTTGATTCTCAAGCAGTTTCATACTTCTTTCATTTAAATGTCCCAGCCTCTTATGCCATGTCTGCAAGCAATGTGTGACACTTGCTTTTAGGACCAACTCACTCGCAGGCATCATTGTCAATGGAAAGCATCTGTTGTTTGTCATTTGCACCTTCACAATCAGATTTTCTAGTGATTGATTATCATAAACACTCACCACATTTCCTCCAAACACAAGGTGATAGCCATGTTCCATCATTTGCCCAACACTAAGCAAATTTTCTTCAAGACCAGGTACAAGCATTACTTCATGAATGTGCTTCTTACCTAACTTGGTTTTTATCACCAAAGTCCCTTTTCCAGCAACTGGAACCACTTCTCCAGTTCCCATCTTCACCTTAGAGGTCAAATCCCTTTGAATATTTACTAAAAGTCCTTCATCTCCTGTCATGTGGTTACTACACCCACTGTCAATGTACCAAGAGTGATTTACTTTTACATCTGTTGCAGCATTACAAACATAGAACAAAGTACCAAAATCTTCCACCTGATTTGCATAATTCACTCTCTGCACATTCTTGTGTCCATTGCAATCTCTGATCATGTGTCCAGGCTTCCCACAACCATGGCATTTAGGCTTCCTTCATACCAACATTTGCCATAATGAAATTTGTCACAATGTTTGCAGGCCATTTTGTTTCCATCGTTGGATTTCCAATTTTTCTGAGATATTTGATCTGCAGAAGCAATTCCATTTTCAAGGTTTTTCCTACCAACATTCAGACTAGTGAAGGCCTTTTCTGTAGAATTCTCAGTGTGTCTATCCAATCTGAGCTCAAAGCTCTTCAGTGAAGCAACAACCTCTTGAACCTCAAGAGTTTCAAGGTCCTTAGAGTGTTCAATTACAGAGCAGATAGAATCATAAGATTTAGGCAAACTAAACAATAGTTTCTGGACAATTCTCTCTCTAGATAGTTCCTCACCATAACTCTTCATATGATTTATTATATCAAACAACCTAACCAGATATACAGATAAAGATTCACTATCCTTCATGCGGGTATATTCAAATTCCCTACGCAGCCCTTGCAATTTTACATTTCTTACCTGTTTATCTCCTCTGAATTCCAACTTCAGAATATCCCAAGCACCCTTTGAGGTCTCCTCGTTCACTATTCTGGGAAAGAGCTGATCGGAGACAGCACTTTGGATTAACCCGAGTGCACAAGCATCCTTCATCAATATTCCAGCCATCGTAGACTTCTCAGTAGCCTTCGTACCTTCTATCTCCTTCTCCTCCTTCTCAGTAACCTTCGTCTCTTCAATCTCCTTCTCCTTCTTTAGATCTGAAACATTGAGACCATTTTCAACTAGATCCCATAAACCATGAGATTTCAGAATAGTTTTCATTCTGATACTCCAGAACTCATAATTTTCTCCATTGAAAATTGGAGTTCGCAGCTCAGAGGTACTCGATCCTGCCATATTAGACATTGGATTTGAGAAATCGCGATCTTCAGATGAGCTCAAGTTTAGCTCAAACAAAACCCAATTTCTCTGATTCACTCACAGATTCAAGCCCAGCTCAAGCAATCGAACCTGGCTCTGATACCATGTTAGAATTCTTAGTTTCAGCATTTCATATTTTGGATATTTTGGGAGCAAAGAAGAAATCACGGAAAGATTGAGAGAACGTTGCTCTGGAGAATGAAAAAATGCTTCGATATATTCATATCTGCTCCACTATTTTGGTTATAATCGTTAGACAGAGAGAGAGAAGAGAGATTCTTCCCTGTACCAGATTTACAATAAGCCCAAGTTCTAGCATCCTATTAGATGCTTACACATGTCACTTAATCCTATACTAGAGATTAAACACTTGGACTGTGATCCAAGGGTGCACAATAAAACTGGAAAAAAAAAGATAAACAACTAAAAGAAATGAAAAACAGAATAGACGCAATTCCTTTAGCTCGAAAACTCGGCTGAAGGATTACACACCAACAAAGGCAACATAACCCAGCTGCACATTATTTGCAACAATGGGTTTCCTCCACTACCTCGTGATTTCTCAGCTGACTATTTCTTTGCCACTCTTGTTGGCTTACCAAGCTTGAAAGTGCTTTCACTGGTTTCTCTTGGTTTATGGGGGCCAATGCCTGCAAGTATTGGGCATTTGTCTTCACTAGAGATTCTCAATGTAAGCACAAATTACTTAAGTGGTACAGTTCCTCTCCAACTTTCATATATGAGGAACCTTCAGACTCTCATACTTGACCATAACAAGTTCACTGGTCAAGTTCCAGGTTGGCTGAGTTCACTTCCAGTCTTGGCTGTTCTCAGTCTGAAAAACAATATGCTTAATGGCTCTTTGCCATATTCTTTGGCATCTTTACAAACTCTTAGAGTTCTCTGCCTATCAAGTAACTTCTTGTCAGGGGAAGTGCCTGATCTCAGAAACTTGACAAACTTGCAAGTTCTTGATTTGGAAGATGATAGGCTTTTTAGTACCTGCGCAAACAAGGTTAAAACTCCTACAAAACTTGCAAGAATGACAAGGTTATTGTAGTATAAATGATTCTCGCAAGGTCGTTCTCCGCAGGGATTATTAAATAACTCGTAGCAACCAAATTCTAATTAATTATTGCAAAAGAGAAAGTTGAGATGTTTGATTTGAAGACCTTAAATTAAAAGGAATTTAACTAATAAAAATAAGGCAATATGCAAAATTAAAGCTAAGAGCAAGAGGAACAGTTGTGTTTTTAGAAATCAAATTAAGAAAGCACTAGGGATCCGCCGTCACCTTAACAATTCTATATAGTTCCCCCAATTACTTATGACCTATACATGCATATTTCGAAGGTTAGGTATTCCTAATATATGCCTATTTGGACCCCCAACATAGAGCGTATATCACACATGCAATCCGTCTGTGGTATTCAGATCAAATCTAAACATACATGACTTATTAAGTTCTGTGAAACCTTTTGAAAAACCATGCAACCCTTAAGACGTGGTATTCATCCTAAGTGAACTTGCACATATTAATCACAAGAAGCCTTCGTCAATTTCAGGCACCGACCTCCGACCAAAACTGCATCAAATTACTTTTCTAAACATCCTAATGGTGATCAAGCATCAAGACACTTAGATAGTTTAACCCAGTGATGAATAATTCGAAAACCTGCATGCATATAATCATAAGCAAATTGGACAGAAACTACATATTCTTGCTAAGGCTCGTGGCCTCACCCTAGCAAAAGAGAGTTAGTTACGCATGTTCACAATTGAAATTCAAGAAAATATCATTAAGAAGAATAAGAATGAAAACACCTGAAAGTCGCGAAAATCCAAAACCTTAGCAATTGCTCCAAAAGCCAAAAAGAAGTAAAAAGGGAGTTCCTAAATTGCTGTGAAAAGGAGTTTAAATACCTCCTAAAACCTAGCTACCCAATCCCCACAAGGAAACTAAGTTAAAATAAAATAATACTAGGAAATAAAGTTCAAATGGGATTAGGAGAATCTGCCAATAATCTGGTCAGCCAGTTTTGGCCTCAAATCTCCTCCAAATCTGGCCCAAGATAGCTCGTTTTAAAGATAAAAATATTCCGAACACTTCTCCAGAAGGCCACGAACCCATCCGAGGTCATCTTGGGCTCCAAAAACGCAATACAAGCCCAAAACGTCACTATTCCAGCACTGCACATCGCTCCTTCATTTATTCGCCAGGAAATCATCGCTTGGTGGAAAAGTCTGATATTTTGATACAATCAAGCTAAGTGGCTCACGAACGTCCTCCAACTGGAATTACTCCAAAATTCGTCCATTTGATTATGTTTTGCTCCAGAGGAAGTCGAAAGTCCTATATTGGAAATATAATTCAAAGTATCAAAATTCTTCCAAAATATTAACCAAAATATACTAAGAATGAGGCTAAATATATAATATAAAATCGACTCATCAGAAGACAACTATTTTGGGCCTCATTTTCCAAGTATGCCTTCCAAGTTGGTCACACTTGTGCTAAGAAAGAACAAGTTTCGCTTGGGAATCCAGACTGCATTAGGCTCCTGCTATCAGCTCCAGAAGCTGGACATTTCATTGAATGGATTTGTAGGGCCATTTTTGTCATCATGGTTGTCACTGCCTTCCATTAAATATCTTGACATTGCTGGAAATAAACTCACTGGACTTCTCTATAAGAACATGACTTGCAATTCTGAGCTTGCTTTTGTCAATTTATCCTCAAATCTTTTGTCAGGGGATTTTCCCACTTGTCTGAAAAGGGATTCTAACAGCAGGGTTGTTCTGTATTCTGGGAATTGTTTAGTAAATGAAGATCAGAAGCAGCACCCTTCTTACTTGTGCCACAATGAAGCTCTGGCTGTGCGAATACCACCTCCTAGTGAGGAAAAGCATAGGAGAACTTATGGTAAACACGTTGTTGCATCAAGTGCAGTGGGAGGTATTGTGGGTGCAATTGCAGTTGTTGGTTTAGCTTTCATGGCTGCTAAGAAGTTTTATAGTGAGCACACTACTAAAACTCCCCAAACAAGGTAATTTCAGATACAGTCTCAGCAGTGAACACAGCTAAGCTACTCTCTGATGCAATAAGTTTAAAGTTTCTAACTTTTTTTATTTTATTTTATTTTATTTTATTTATAAATATTTTTATAGTTGTTCCTTTTGGTACCAACTTTTTGTTGCTTCTGTTTAATGTACGAGGATCAAGGCTGATTTTGCGAAGAAAATAAATGAAAAAGGGAACTTGCTGTATAGATTAGCAACCATTTCCATGTGATCTTTTTATTTTATTTGAGTAGCATGAAGGTTATGATTTCCATAGAAGTCCAAGAACTAGACTGATGTATGTTTCCAGAAAATTCCAGGAAGAACTACTAATTATAGAAAATAGTTTCCAAAAACTATATTGCTACCCCAAAAAGACATATTAGTTTATTTTGGAGTCTTTAGGTTCGAACTAAGATGGAGAGAATTATATTTTATTGTACCACCAATTCCTTATAGTTTTCCTTGGATATTCTGATATTCAGAAATATGGAGAATATGGTAAATCTTGTTCAGGTCCATGCTTTTCAGTTTCAAATGAAGCATTTTTCACATGCTATTTAGCGTGTTACAATTCGTGAATCTTTCATTTTTGCTATAATGATAAACTTGACAATTCTGGCTTATACATCCAGGAAAGCAATTTTTCTTGCTCAAATTGACTGCTCAAAATTTTATTCTTATTAAAACCCCAGGCACCACTTCATTCAAATTGGCAGTAGGTAAATAAATTAGCATCACTATTCCTTTTATAATAAGTCATAACACTAGAATCCTTTCTTTGCAGAATATATATCAGACACAATGAAGCTGGGAGCTAGCCTTCCTGCTTATAGAACTTTTGCTATGGAGGAGCTCCAGGAAGCCACCCATAACTTTGATGATTCAACATTACTAGGTGAAGGTTCACATGGACAGGTATTCATTCTTTATAGTTGCAAAACAATTCTAACTAATTCAGTACATCGTAATAGTAATACGATGTTCTCTCTTAATTTGCACCTGCTTTCACATTTTATGTTTCTTGCTTATATAATTCCATCCATTTGGATATGCAAAAGATCCTTTGTGGATTGAAGAACCTCAGATAAGAGACAATATATATTATGTAGATCCTTTGTGGATTGAAGAACTACATAGTTGAAGCAACTTAAATACACACACTGACATATGTATGTGTGTATGAATGTGTATATAGATTTAGTTATCTCGATTTAATTTAGAGTTCATACTCCTCAAAAGCATGATGTAAATAGATTTAGGAATTACTTTGTAGAACTTCTGATATGCTTAAAACGTGAGACTTCTCCACCTTAAACAAGCTTCTGTTGAGTAAAGATTCCCTTTAAAACTCCAAGGTGGCCTCACATTTAATGAAAAAAGAGTAGAAATTGAAAGAGAACAAAAGACTAATTTTCAAAAGAGGCTGCAGGAGCACATCTAGTCCTTTCAAGCAGCCTTTTTCAAGGTATGCTTCCAATTTAGGCGCGTCGGGCACACTAACCTTATTATATCCATGTCATAACAAATAAGGTTACTTATGTATTTCCTGGTGTCCTTGAAACATATATTAAGATATGCTACTCCTGTTAAGTTATAATATATCAGCCTTTCAAATCGACCAAATTATTAAAAAAAATCCTTTGAGTTTTGTTTAATTTGAATCAAACTTTCAACGATTGGATCGGATCCAAATCTGAAATGGTAATGGGAATTTTTCAAGGGGTTGTGAAACTCTGCTCGTTCTGAGAAGATACTCATTGATGTTATACCATCAGATAGATCTTATGCATATTGCAATGGTTCGCGGAAAGTCTACTATAAATGTTAAAGTGGCCCAATACTTATCATTTGAATTTGTACAAGAATTTGGAATCTGTTTGTTCTAGTAAATTGTCCTATGCACTATTGACTAATATACTTTGTTCAAGAAATCTTGAGAGTTTTCAGCAAGCAATTTTCTCACTCTTACTGCTTCAAAATAAAATAACAATGCCAGATATATAGAGGGAAGCTCCCTGATGGAACCTTTGTTGCTATAAGAGGCTTGGAAATGAGAAAGAGGCAGAGTCCACAGGTCTACACACACCTCCTTGAGCAGATTTCAAAACTGAGACATAGCCATTTGGTTAGTGCTCTTGGACATTGCTTGGAGTGCCATCCAGATGATTCAGGCGTCAGTAGAGTATTTCTTATACATGCCATACAGGTTGCAATGGAGAGTAAAACCCCACTCACTACTTTCTTCTTCTTCTTCTTTTTCTTTGATTGATTTCCTCCCTCACTGTCTTAGCATTTTCAGCAATTAAATATTCATTGCTAACACTTGGTTTGGCAAAAGGACCTCCAGGACGGAAGCTTACCTGGCCGCAGAGAATAATAGCTGCAATTGGAGTTGCAAAGGGTATTCAGTTTCTGCATACAGGGATTGTTCCTGGTGTTAAATCAAATAATCTGAGGATAAAAATGTCTTATTGGATCACGATCTTCATGTAAAAATAAGCAGCTATAACCTACCTCTTTTGGCTGAAAGCAGGGGAACGGTAAGACATAAAAAATATGTATCTGTTTGGGTGAATGCATCACCCTTGAGATTGTCCTGACTTAACTTTTGCTTTTTAATCCTTCAGATGGGCACCACAGTTTCTTCTCCGGCACCAAAAGGAAGCGTTCAAGCGAGGTACTAACATGCTTACTTTCCCAAAATCATACACTACTTTTCTAAACTGAATTCCCTTTTCATATTTATACACAAATGAACAAGACAAATAATTTCTCTGCCAAAAAATAAAAAAACAATTGTAAAAGAGAAGGTAGAATCCGTAGGTGACCTGAAAATCATCAATGTGGAGACATAGAAGTTCCTTTCTTGGGAGGTTTGGCTTATGGAGAGGAAGCTGCTCTAGTTAGTTATACTTGTTTCCTTTGTAATTTGCTTTGAGGCCAGAAAATTTTTAAAAAGATAAAAATGTAATCTGTTTTGGATATTTACACCATGAGATTGGGGGAAGGGAAAGAGGTCAAATAAGGATTCCTTTACACCATGAGTTTGCATTCTTGAACATTGTAATGGAGCCAATCTGCTTGTATGCATATCTGATGCTTTCTGCTGAGGTTCCCATTTATGTCATGCCTCTTTTTTTGCTTTTTTTCTTTTGGCTTGTCATATCTGTGTGCCAGATAGCTGCATTTGGCACTATGAACTAACTTGGTGGCAGTTACAAATTAACATAGGTCTTAATTCTGGAACTGCCATTCATAAACTCTATCTTTGTACTTAACCCAGTTGTTTTTGCAGGTCGGTCTCAACCAAGTGTTGATTGCAATATTCTAAAGAAGATGACCATACATTGTTATTTTATGTAGGTGTACGTATGAGATGGCTTAGCTTTAATTGGTTTGGTTGTTCCAAGTTTTATGTACACAATCTCACAGTAACTGCCGAGTTGTTTTTCATTTCATGTATTTCTCCGTGGTTTTTTTCCCCCAATAAGCTTGAATGGATTTTCTTTTCTGTTGTATTTGGCCCTTCTCTTTTCAAGCATGCCAAAAGAGAGCGAATAGGGGGAGAAAGAGACAGAACGAAGCTAGAGAGAAAGACATAGAGAGAAAGAGCTGCTCTACAGAAAGAGAGCAAAGAGAGAGACAGAGAGTTGCACTAGAGAGAGAGAGAGAGAGAGAGAGAGAGACAGAGAGCTGCGATAGACAGATACCAAAGAGAAAGAGAGATGTGCCAGAGAGAGAGCTGAGTGAGCTAAGAGAGAACAAAATTTCTGAACATGTCAAAAATCAGCAATAAGTGGACAATAATTATATTTTTATAGGTGATATTGTAATACTATTGCTATTGTATTGTGGTTATATTGCTCTAATATTGCCTCTATAGTATTGGCCTAATATTGCTATTATATCGTATGTCAATGGCCATTTGGTCTAATAACAGAGTCTCCACTTCATTGAAAGTAATCCTGAACTCAAATCTCATGGACACAACAATTGTTATTCATCCTTATATTAGCATGAATTGATGTTGACCTTTGAAATGATAGTTGGAGTTGCACAAAATCTGAAGAATATAACCATGAAATGGTTGAATGTTTCAACAACGGCTTCAAAATGTTCCGAGATTATGCTTCGGTCATCTCACCAGACTACAATTGGAGTGAAATTGATGTAGCTGGTGTCTGGGAGGTGCTGAATATGGTTGCTAAGGGAATGGCTCATCATAGCCTCGTGCATGCAGCGAGGAGAAAGGACAAAGACATGGATCTTTTGGTGGACATGTAGTAAGGGTGAGTGATGCTTCAGTTCATCTCACCTGAGTACAAGGATCTTTTGTTGCCTTCGTTTTCCCTTCGCGGGATAGTATTGTTAAAGTTCGGTGGCGATTCCTTTTGCATGTGTAAAATGTAGTCTGTAATGGATGTGTGTGTATTGTATGTAGATTCACTTAATATTGTTGTTCTATTGTATTTATATTGCCTTTGTATTGCATAGATAGTGTATTCATATTGCCACCCTATTGGATGTTTATTGTAATACTATTGCTATCGTATTGTCCTTATATTGCTCTAATATTGCCTCTGTAGTGCACGTATATTGGCCTAATATTGCTATTATATCGTACGTCAATGGCATTTGGTCTAATAACAGTCTCCACTTCGTTGAAAGTAATCCTGAATTCAAATATCAAGGACACAACAATTGTTATCCATCCTTATATTACCATGAATTGATGGTGACCTTTCAAATACATCGATTCATATTCAAAAGGAAAGTAATTCTCTCCCTCAATGAATCGTCGTTCAAAAGAAGGCAGCTATCAAATATTGGGTACAAAAATGCAAGATCCCCGGTAAATTAATTGGGCACAAACCACATATTACAAAACCAGTATGATTTTTGGCATGCTTGAAAAGAGAAGGGCCAAAGTTCGATAAAATATTTTGGGATGGTTGAAGATTCTTGGACACCTTTTTTCTTTTCAAGTAGTTTTGTAGAAACAAGTTCTACACATGGGCTTTTATCGGTTATATTTTAAGGCAAGTTCTACACGCGAGCTTGTATCGATTATATTTTGTTATGAAAAAAGTAAAATTACTCTATACAATTGTAAGATGGTGCAAGATCGGTGTCCTTGTCATAAATTTGACAACATTAAATTGGAAAATATGACCTTTTTCCAATTTAAGTGATCAATTGCAACTAATTTTGATATTGTAGTACACAACAGGGTTACCTACTTGTGAAAGAGTGGAAATATCCCTATATATATGAATTTCACCCTCACGCTATATATTTTTTTTTATATGGTTTATTAGCAACAATTCAAATAAGATTTTCCATTGTGGAAGACAAGTTTTCTGATTGTATAGGGAAGCATTGTACAAGTTCTCTTTCATTGTTTTTTTGTGTAGATAAAGCCTGGCTTGTACTTGATGAAGTGCGAGAAATGATGCAAAAATTTGCACAAAGCAACCGATGAATGTAATTCAAACCAGCACCTTTGTTGTATACTACCAAACATCAAATGCAAATTAACATCTATCTCATGGTTTGGCTACAAATGCCACCAAGCACATGCTCAACTTATAAGTTTGTAACCCTAATTTCATCGATTGAATCTTCACCTACATTCATAACACTTTTTACCATACATAACCAGCACTGTTTTACAAACAAGCCTAAAACCTTCATCCTGAAGCCTGATAACTGGCGGCAGATGCAAGATCCATAGGATCAAGGAACACAACTACAGCTACAAGCATACAACAAAGCCCGGTAACTCAACTACAGCTACAAGCATACAACAAAGCCCTCAGGGGGGAAGTTCCCAGCAGTCCACAGCATGACAGACAACGTACTCGTTTACAAAGACAATAACCAAGACAAGATGATAACCCAGGGCATCGGATAGCATCATACAACCCTAAACCCCCTCTATAAAAAACATACATCAAAACCTAAGTTTTCTCTTACTCATCAAGATCCTAGAACCCTGACACAACTGGCAACCTGAAACATAACTTCTAATCAATCATTACCACTAAAAGGCCTTGATGTTTCTAATCTAATGTTCTAAAACTGATCTCCCGAGGTATTTAGGAATTATTTGGATTCGACACCCACACCAAATTTCCATACTTGCTAGCAACATAATGCATTCATCCCTCTAATACTTTTTCCCCATTGTTAATTGTGAACCAACAGCTGAGAAGTAACAAGAAGATAAACAATTATACATATGTTCATTTGCTAACAATGAAACAAGTAAATAACATACTCCAATGCAGTAGCACCTATTTAGATGACAGAAGAAACTCCAATGCAGTACATATGTGAAAAACACAGCTCTTCTGCAGGGCAGTAAGAAACAAATCTTTTTTTTTCCTAGCAGTGATGAAAAGTAAATACAGTTAAGACAAAGAAACAAAAATGGTAAAAGTGCAATAAATCAACCCAATGAGACAAACCAGATACAACTCTTTCTCACCAAATTCCACAATGATTTTCAGTTATTGAAATAGAGAGAGAACTGACAACACATTTTAAAGACAAGCAATTTATCAATGCCATTGCGAAACATTGTAACATTAGACTCAGCAAATTGTTTTGATAGGAAACATTAGATCTGAATCATAATTCCAAAATCATTAAATTCTACACTTTCAAGAGAAACCCTACTCAAGTATCTCAAATTCCAAAACCAAAAACTGCCCGTATCCTCTGGAAAATAAGATCCCGCCATCCTCTCTGTGCATTCTCCACCAGTCACATTCCCATATCTGCATTACCAAAGGCACCAAAACAAAGCAATCAGAATTTCATAGAAGAAAAGAAAACAATATAACTCACATACTCCCAATCAATCAAACTAAAACTGAAAATAACCCATTAATTAAAAGTTCAAATCAAAACCAACCTGTCTTCCTCAGGAATATCTGAATGTGTTAGCTTGACAAAGTGAGCCCGGGTTTAGGCTCTTCAAGTATAAGCCTCACCTGGAAAAATTCAAACAAAACACACTCAACCCACAAATCACAAAACCATTTAAAACCAACCAAGAATTCATTCCAACCAGAAAGAAAAACACTTGACATACCGTTGAATCAATGCCATCAGGCCAACTCCCAAATCTCCATTTCTGCACAATCAAACTCCCATTCTGCAACTCCAAATTGGTACCCGTCACCGACCCATCAAAAATGCTAATCTGCCCATTATCTTGGCATTGCTCTGACTAAAAACCTTCCATCTATTCTCATCCATCAAAATCTCAAACAAATCTTTCGCTCTGCAACTAAACTTCTCAGTCATACTAATCGTCTTGAACCCTTCACAGCGCTGAGGGATCACTATATCCCTTCTCAAAGGTCTACCAGTGTCATCTTTCCGCTCAGGTTCTTCACTACACTGTCCATACTCATTTCCACCTGCACCAAACAACTTTGGTACGCTTAGAATGATAAAAAAAGGTAACCTCTGGGGTCTAGTTCAACACTCTCAAGAGAACCAAATAAAAGCCCTACATGGAAGCAGAAGAAATAAAATATCCTAGATGTTGTTATATACATGAATTAAAAAGCAACCATCTTTTGGTATCCGGCTTAAAAGCAACCAAATTTTATATTAAGAAGCATTTACTTGAAAACTATCACAGCTCCTACTTCGAAACTCTAAAAAACCTAACAATATATTTTCTATGGCCTCACAACCTGCATCACATTACCTGCCAAAAGGACTGCAGTAAGATCATGTTATCATCTAAAGCGAATCATAAGAGGTCTGAAGTTTCACACAAATATATCATAGACTCATAGGGCACCATTCAGTACCATTTAGAGCTGACAAAAACACAGTTTAGGAAGATCCATCAAATATACTATAGATGATAAAATTGTGGTGTTAAATACAAGAAAATTATTCAAAACCAATAAAAAACAATAAAAGAGCATTAATAAACAAAGCTAACAATGAGCATTGCAGAAGAAAAACTACATTATAAAGTTCATTTAATCCATAGGATTGGGAATTTAAAAAGTATTTTTGTTCAACCTCGCGACTCCATAAAACACAGATAGGTTTATAAGAGAATTTCTCAAACTCTTGAGCTTTCAAACAAATAAAATTAAAAAAAACTACAGTACTTTGAAGAAGGAAAAGACAGAAAAGGGAAGGAAAACAGAAATTTCATTTGACAGTTTTAAGATTCTGCTCTTTGTAGTAACCATCAGCTCCCTTTAAACTTCAGAAGAATCACCAGACCAGTACAAAAACACCGATGCACCTATTTGGGATCTGCACATTTAATAAAAAATTGTGAAAACTAATTTCAAAAGAGAGGTTTAAAACCCAAAATCCCTTTAAAATGAATACAAGTTAAGACTTCAAAGTCGAAAGGCGAACTGGTCTCGGCAGTTAATTTCTAAATGCAAGAATGATATCAACTTGCTGCAAAAACATTAGATAATTCAAAATGCTTAAATTCAAGAACTTTGACAAGAAAGTATCCATCTTAAGGAGCTGTACAAAATAAAGAAGCAATAATATTGAAAAAGATCCTAACAATTGTAAAAGAATTGCTCAAAAGAACGCACACTCCCTTGATCAATTGAAAAGTCACTTATTCAGTTCTTGAAAATCAATCTAAATACCCAGCAAGCCAAAGTTTCTATATATCATCTAAAACCAAAAGTCAATGTGTTTTCACACAACAAATTATACCCCAGGCCTTTCCTCGTAATGGAATCACCCCTGCATTGACTATAGATGGCATCTAAAACTTGAAAACCCTAATAGGCTTCAGTAACCTAGTAAATCAAAATGAATAGGATTCAAGCAATGATGTTCTATTTCCTATTAGCCTATACAATTAAATCTTCTACACTCGTTCAATTAAACTTACTAAAGTACAAATAGTATTTGACTACCAAAAAAGGAATAGTATAAGAGTGACTTTGTGATCAGTTGTGGTGTGAGCGTGAGAATAACTCAAATTATCAAGTAAAAGAGTGATTTTGTTATACCTCAGGGGCACCTAATGCCCCAAGTAAGGAGCGCCACCAGATTGCCCAACACCATGCTGCCCTCTTCTTGAACCACCTTGCCCTATCTGCGGGTTCGGGTAGCCACCTTGCATTGCACCTTGATTTCCATAGCTTCCCATCATTCCAGGGCTTATACTTGCCTGATTCGCATACCCACCCTGTATGGAATGTCCTGCACCAGGAACACCCGGGTTCACATTCGGAGCCGTTCCAAAAGGTTTGTCACATTCGGAACCCACTCCTTCTCCTCGTTGTTCCCGATTCCCAATTGTACATCTTCACCCGAGCCCGTGTGTAGTAAGACAAATACAATGAAACGTGTTTTACTCTCTGTGTGTGTCTCTCTGTGCTTCACCAACCAACCATAATAGCACAATACCACAATAGCATAGTGAAAAATATGAGAGAGAGCAGATAGATACCAAGTGACAATGGCAGCATCGGATGCCATTTGAACCTGAAACAGTGCTTGAATTGAAGCAGGGAGACGTTTATAAACTAATAAAACTATAAACTAGAAACAAACCATAAAGCTAGCAGAGAGAGATAGAGAGAGCGGAGCACTGTGACTGTGTTTATCAATATATCATGGGAAATAGCTTAAAATGCCACATTTCATAATTTTAACTAAAAATATCAATCTCAAAACCATATAAGATGACCCAAAATAAAAATCCATCACCCAATCCTTACCTAAAATCACAATCACAATAAAGAAAAATAAATTAGAGAAATCTGAAGCCCATATCAGATATCTCATCAATTCCAAACCCTAGACTCTAGAGAAACCCCTAAACCAATTTCATACAAACCCATAAACCCTAAACCAATTTCAAAGCAACCTCTAAACCCTAAAACCATAAACCAATTTCATACAAATCCATACACCATAAACCAAATTCACAAAAACCCCAAATTTCAAAGAAAAGATTTATGAACAGTACCTCGTGGATGTCAACGACGGAGTTAAGCTTTGATGAACAGCCACCGTTGAGGGAGAAAGACGATTGCGTCGAAGAGAGAGAGAGGTTCACGAGGGAGAGAGACGGGCCGAAGAGATAGAGCGAAGAGAGTTAGAGAAAGAAGCCAATTTTTGAAAAACTGATATGGGTACAATAAGTGGACAATAATTTTATATTTATAGTTAGTAGTTGTTCAAAAATTAGGAAGATGTGATATTTTTAGTTAAGATTATAAAATGGGTGGCACTGGGGGCTATTTCTCTAAATTATTTATTAATGTGTCAAATTGCCCCATAAGTCATCCAAATTTAATATTTTGTATTTGACATCCCGCTTTGAGATGCTCTAAATAAAAGCAATTGGGTAACGGTTAGCCAAATGGTGAGGGAAAGACTAGTTAATGGTTATCCATTAGATATGTTAGTGAATTAAATATTTTTGTTTTTAAATTGTGTTGTATATACACAACTTAACAGGAGTTTAATTATGTTAATTCTCTTTTAGCCTTTTTTTAATTAAAATAATTAAATATATTAGAATTCCTGCCATTAGAACTCGAGCCCACCAAATTGTGTCAACAACCCCACCCGGCCGGCGCAAAGCAACCCCTCTCTTCCTTATCGTCGGCAAGCCTCTTCTCTCTGTTTCCCTTCCCTTTTTATCTCTCTCGGTTCTCCCCCTTGATGCTAGATCAAGATCTATTTCAAAATGGTTATAGAAGTCGCTTGGGCCAATTAGAGAGTGAAATCCCAAATACGAACCTAGATTGCCCTCATTCTTCTTCATATCGAAAATTAACATCCCCCAATCTTATCAAAATCAAACAAAGTTTAAGCTTTGCATATTGTTTTTATGGATCCGCAAACAAGATTAAAACATGCTCTTCTGATTTCTTCTTTGAAAGAGAGAGGGAGATCGAGAAGAAATCAGAGAAATCATGGGAGAGAGAAGGGGCACAAAGGTAGAAAAAAAAGGCTTTGCCGGCCGCGGGAAGGGAGGGGGTTGTAGCCGACTGGGTGAGTGGCTGACGGAATTGACTAGTTTGGGGTTGCTAACGGAAGAGTGCATAAAGAAAGAAAAAAAAAAGTTTTCTTTTCAGTGTTTGTGTCATTGTTCAATTGGATTTAACCGTATATCTCCGTTAAGTATGAAGACATGCGCAAAAATATTAAGAAATAAATAGGAGGGCGCAAGGAAATTGGGCATGGGAAAATTGAACTCGCTATTTTTTTGTTTTTTGTTTTTTTAGAAATTCTATGATTACATTCATAATTCAGTCAAAAAATTCACTAGCCACAAAGGGTAATTACAATAACGGAGTAGTCTAACATCCAAATTAAGACAATCTGGTGTACCTCCACTAATGATCATGTAGGATCGAAGAAACTCTGACATAGGCATCTTAATTAAGATTGCAATCTCAAAATAATCAAAAAGAGATCAAGCTTGACAAAACCAAGTCATAACAATACAAACAAAACTCCCACAAAGACGAGATGAAAAACTCTCACAAATGAGATATGAAAATCTCTCCCAAAAGGAGAGGTGAAAAGCTCTCTCAAAAGGAGAGGTGAAAACTATACAAAGAACCCAAAGAGTCTCTGTGACTTATTCCGAACATAAAGAAATTGCAAGAAGGATGGCAGAGATTTGACGCCGAAACGCAAGTAGAAATCCGATGACGAGATGCAACCACCTGTGATGGTTGGAGGAAAATCATAACAAAACAAAGACAAATAGGGAAAACCTTTTGTCTTTGGAAATGATGGGAGAAGAGAGGGAGGAAGAACAGTGGCTTTCTCCTCCCCCCCTCGAAGTAAAAAACGGCTCTAAAAAGGTTTTTGGAGAGAGAGGGGGCTAGGGTTTGGGAGGAAAATTGAACTCGCTCTAAATACTATATATTACAATAAAAGCTATTGGGTTACCCAAATGGTAAGGGAAAGACTAGTTAATGATTTATACTCTAAGTCATCCATTAAATATGTCAGTGAATTAAATATTTTTGTTTTAAAATTGTGTGGGACATACGATGTAAATGAATGAAAATTTAGCTTCCATGCATTTTCAGTCACATATCTTTGAAACCAAACTGCCAATGTCCATCTCAACACTATGAAGTGGCTCTTCTAAGAGTCACAACATGTTAGCGAGATCCTAACTTAATCAGGATATTTATTTCCTAGTTTATTAGGATTATATTTCTTTCCTTTTTGTACAGATACTATGTAATTAGGTTTTTATCTTGTTTCCTAGTTTGACCCTACTAGGGTTACATCCTTGTACTATAAATACTTTCTTTTGGAGAATGAAATATAACTTGAAAAATATTCTACCCATATTGTTTGACTTGGCATCAGAGCCAACTTTTCTGGTGACCTGTGTATTGTGCCCATCCATGTTCTATCCCCATATTTTTTTCTCTACTTGTGCCGTGTGTGCCCTCCTAGGTTTGTGTGTTGTGTTGTAGTGCTCGTGCCTCTACTACTTTCGTATCATTTCTGTGTTTGTGCATTTGCCGTATTTGTGCCTTTGCTATGTTCCGCTGTGTACTCTAGACTGTGTTCGTTCCTGTCTTCTTGCATATGCTATATTTGTGCCTCAGCTGTGTTCCGTTGTATACTCTGCGCTAATCTGTTGAGTTTCTGCTGCAATCATGGGTGATAACTCCATTGTTGCTATTGTTGCTGCTGTCTCTACAAATTTGTGTGTTTCTGATTCTATTCCAGGTACTGGCTCTAATACTTGGATAATTGACATTGGTGCTTTTGATCATATGACTTATGATGCTAAATTTTTTGATGAGTTGTCTAGTAATACCCGTGACCCATACATAACTAGTGCTAATGGCTTGCCCTCTCCAATTTTTGGTGAGGGCACAATCTCTCTCACTCCTACTCTGTCCTTGTCTCAGGTGTTATTAGTTCCCAATATCCATTGTAACTTGTTATCTGTTGGTCAATTACTTGATACACTTAATGCTTTTGCTACTTTCTATCCTACGCATTGCTTTTTTTAGGATCTCAAGACTCACGACATGATTGGGCATGGTAAACGGATAGGGGGGGTTATATTATTTAACATTGCCTTCTGCACCAGTTCATGAACGTGTGGTTAATACTGTTCAAAGTTGCAGTATCAAATACAAACAACAAATTTGGTTATGGCATCGTCGCTTAGGACACCCATCATTTGGCTACCTTAAGCGTTTGTTTCCATCTTTATTCCGCTCTTGTGATGAGTCCAGTTTTAAGTGCGAGACATGTATTTTGGCCAAGAGTCATCGCACTGTGTTTCCTTTGAGTGACAGTAAAGCTGCAAAGCCTTTTAATTTAGTGCATTATGATGTGTGGGGTCCGGCTTGCGTTACTTCTAACGGGTTTCGTTGGTTCGTCACATTTATTGATGATTGTACTCGACTCACTTGGGTTTTCTTGTTGAAAAATAAACATGATGTTGCTTCCATCCTTCTAGAGTTCTATACTATGGTGTCTACTCAGTTTCATGCTCAGGTCAAAGTATTCCGAACTGATAACAGAGGTGAATATGTGAATAACACTTTGGCATCTTTCTTCCTTGCTCAAGGTATTATTCACCAAACGACAACCCCATTTACTCCTCAGCAGAATGATGTGTCTGTACACAAGAATCGTCAGTTATTTGAAGTTGCCCGCTCCTTTATGTTGGATATGTCTGTTCCCCATCATTTTTAGGGGCATGCTATTTTCTCTGCTGCATATTTGATTAATCATACTCCTAGCCGGGTTCTTGATTTCAAGACTCCACATGATGTGTTTGGTGACCATATTTCCCCTATCTCAATCTCTAAGTTGCCCCCTAAAGTTCTTGGGTGTGTTTCCTATGTTCATTTCTACTCTCATCAACGAAGTAAACTTGATCCTGTGCTCTGTGATGTGTCTTTATTGGTTATTCTTCTACTCAGAAAGGTTATAAGTGTTACATCCACGTACCTAGAAGGTGCGTGTTACTTTGGACGTGACTTTCCATGAAGAAGTGCCCTATTATGTCTCTCATTCCTCTCCAATTCAGGGGGAGAGGGGGAGTGAATTGGAGAGTCTTGGATTGGAGAATGATGTGTTTAAAGATACTGCTCTCAGGAAGGAAACTACCTGTCGCACTGAAGCAAGTGATCGGTTGCCCATAATTGAAGATGAAACTTGTGGTCCTTATGAAGAAACGAGTGATCACCCTTTGGAACTCGACCAGTTGCCCATATCTGGAGATGAAGCAGGTGCTTTCGGTGTCGAAACGACCGGTCACACTGAAGCAAGTACTAGTCGCCTGTATCTGAAAATAATGACAGTGATTCTTGTATGGAGGAGTTCGACGCAATACCCCTCTCTGCCTTGCTAGTGCCCTAATCTACACGTGATAGTGAATCAAGTGAGGTAATTTCTAATGATCTATCTGTGTCAACTTATCAGTTACCCCCATGAGCCACTCGTGGGAAACCTAAAGTACTATATTCTCCTGATATACATGCCAAGTCTAAATATCTCATTAGCCATTATGTGTGAACTCATCATTTGTCTAAGTCATATGCATCATATTTGTGTCATTTATCTAGTGTAGGTGTGCCAACTAAGCTGCAAGATGCTTTATCTAACCCCAAATGGATGGATGCCATGAATGTTGAAATGAATGCCTTGAACAAGAATAAAACATGGGATTTAGTTCCTTTGCCACGATGGAAGAAAGCTCTTGAATGCATATGGGTGTTTACTTTGAAGCATAAAGCTAATAGTTCCATTGACCGTTACAAGGCTAGATTGGTAGTAAAGGGTTATACTCAGACCTATGGCGTGGATTATTTGGAGACCTTTGTTCTACTGGCAAAGCTCAATACTGTGCGTGTACTATTGTCCCTGGCTGCTAACTGCGACTAGCCCTTATTACAATTCGATGTCAAAAATGCGTTTCTACATGGTGACCTCAAAGAAGAGATTTACATGGATCTCCCTCCTGGTATTCATGTAACCTCTAAGGAAGGTGTTGTGTGTAAGCTGCGGAAGTCTTTATATGGATTGAAGCAGTCTCCAAGAGCGTGGTTTGGGAGATTTGCAGCATCTATGAATAAATTTGGGTATGTGCAGAGTAACTCAGACCATACTTTGTTTCTAAAGTGTCATAAAGGTAAATTGACAGCTTTAATTATTTATGTTGATGATATGATTGTGATTGGAGATGATCAGGCAGAAATGCAAAATCTTCAGAAGTATCTGGCTTTCGAGATTGAGATAAAGTCATTGGGTGATTTGAAGTACTTTCTTGGGATTGAAGTTGCCAGATCTAAACGTTGTATCTTTCTGTCTCAAAGAAATTATATTTTGGATTTACTTGCAGAGATTGGAATGTTAGATTGTAAACCAATTGATACCCTTAGTGAACAGAATCATAAGTTGGAGTTGTATCCTAATCAAGTCCCTACAGATAAAGAGCGTTATCAACGACTTGTGGGAAAATTGATTTATTTATCTCATACACGTCCTGATATTGCATATTCAGTGAGTGTAGTGAGTTAATTTATGCATTCTCCTAGTGAAGATCATATGGGTGCTGTGATGCGCATCTTGAGGTATTTGAAAGTAACTCCTAGAAAAGGGTTAATGTTTTGCAAGTATGGTCATACAGATGTGGAAGGGTATACGGATGCTGATTGGGCTGGTTCAGTCACTGATAGACGTTCTACGTCTGGGTATTTCACATTTGTTAGTGGTAATCTTGTTACTTGGAGGAGTAAAAAGCAAAAAGTGGTGTCTAGGTCTAGTGCCAAGGGCGAGTACCGTGGGATGGCTCAAGGTGTGTGTGAGTTACTATGGTTGAGAAGATTGTTGAGAGATCTTGGGTTTGGACCCCGGAAACCCATGGATTTGTATTGTGATAAAAAAGCTGCAATTGCGCATAACCCTGTGCAATATGATCGTACAAAGTACGTGGAGGTTGATCGACATTTTGTTAAAGAGAAGTTGGATGCTGAAATTATTTATTTTCCGTTTATATCATCCGAGTATCAACTGGCAGATGTTCTTACGAAAGCTGTGTCTACTACGGTCTTTCTCAACTCACTTGACAAGTTGGGCATGTGAGACATCTTTGCTCCAACTTGAGGGGGAGTGTTAGCGAGGTCCTAGCTTAATTAGGATATTTATTTCCTTGTTTATTAGGATTATATTTCTTTCCTTTTTTGTACAGATATTGTGCAATTAGGTTTTTATCTTGTTTCCTAGTTTGATCCTACTCGGGTTACATCCTTGTACTATAAATACTTTCTTTTGGAGAATGAAATATAACATGAAAAATATTTTACCCATATTATTTGACTCAACAGTCACACCTCTCACCTTGTTTTAGAACTAGAATGTAGAGATTGTGACCGACTGTTGATACATTGGACAAATTAAAGATACATTTTGTAAAATGGCGCCTTTCAATTTTACTAAACTAGAGTCTTTACTTGACTACACATGGTATTTTTATATTTAGTTGTTCTATATTTTCTAATTCATGGCTTACTTGTTCTTTTGGTTTGGAGTGCCCCTTCCTTAGGCCGTGATCTAATCATTATATCTTAAGAGATAAGATTTAGTAAACCACGAGTCTTGACCGGTTTCGAGTTTTTCTACCGCAAACTTACTTGCATTAGACATTATGTTTGCTTATTTGTGTGTAGGCATTCAATTTAATTTGAATTGCATTAATTATTTTTTTTAATTTTATGTGCTACTAAGATATACCAATTAAATCCTATTTTCTTGACAAATTTAACTTAGACAAGAGGAGATCTTGTATAGTCTTTTTAAGTTAAATTTGTCGGGAAAATATGATTTAATTGGTAATTTAACTTAAAGGTTATTAATAATTATTTTTTGGGTAATTGTATCTTTTGTACAATTAAATCCCCTAAGATGAAAAATTAGTATAGAGTGATAAAAAAAAACTTTAATAATAAACATATGGTAAATGGCCTATTTTCTTTCCATTTCCCCCTTTTTTTTTGCAACCCTATAAACCCCAACCCGGACCTCCGTTGTCCTCTGCCACCATTAGCCATGCCACCCACTGACCACCATCTCCGACCATCCCCCACCACATAATGTCATGTGACACCATTTTCATTTAATTGAATTAAAAAATAATAATATGCAACTTATAGGACATGAACCCATGACCTCAACTTTACAGAAGGTGGCATTTAACCACACAAAGCTAGGCTTTACTTTATAAGATTAAATCCCTTTGCCTATATATATAGATGTTTAGTTGTTTTAGTATTTATGACAGGACCCGACCCAAATTCCACTTTGAAATCCGAGCTGAACCCTGTTCGTGATCGACACTTGGCGGGTGCCAAGCACAATTGACTTGGTTGCCCTTTTTCTGATTAGAAATTTAATTCCCTTAAATCCTGACTTCTACCGAAAATTCGGCAGAGTCTCCCCTGTAAATCGAACATTCCCAAAATTTACACCTGTCAATAAGCACTTAAATATATACACCAACTGCCAGTACACAAAATAAGTAAGTTCCAACAGTTAAATATGTTCCAGGGCAATGTCAGAGCAACTATACAGATTTATTTACAAAGGAGGTAACCACTTGAGAACCAAGGAACCCTACATCAAAACGGGGAAGAGCGGGAAGCGGGAAATGCCCTGTGGTGGCTCTCGGATGCACGTCTACAGCTTGGGGGCAAAACATTAAAAAAGTGAGTGGACCCAAAAACAAAGTTTAGAAAATACATATGAACATACTAACCCCACTGTAAAAGCAGTTATAAAAACTAAATCATTCTCTTCTGTATATGCGTACTGAAACCAATGCACTCATATATACATATATAAGTATACCAATCATGCTCATGGTCAACATCAATCTCTTAAAAGCATTGAAATCAGTTTAAAACTACCACCTAGGTGTACCCCTTTGTTTCCGTCAATTCCTGATATCCGTCAATTCCCCTCGCATAACCATTGGTGACACGTCCTCGCAGGTCTCGGTGATACAAAGTCAATCCGAGCTGCAACCTCGTAGGATTCAGGGGACCTTGGTCAACCTAATCCGCATCCTCGCTCCACACGAGTCCGGATACCATAGAACTCGTGGGGCAGCTGTCAAGCATGCTGACTAAACCGAAGGCAACTGATAAAATCCGAAGGCAACCTGGATGTCCGTGGACATCATCATATCCGAAGGCAACATCTGTATATCTGGGTACCTCAGGTGGCTTAGAAAATAACAATAACAATAAGCAAAGTTTTTGAAAGATATGATAAAGCTGGACTCTACTGCCATTCATCTGATGTTTAACTAAAATTCTCTTTCTCTATATCCCTAAAGGATATTCCACTCGGCAGCATGCAAATCATAATATTTAAAAGCATGTCTCACTTATAAAACACTATTCTTTGAATAAAACTTATTCAAGATCAAATACTGAAACTAAATTTCATAAATTCATTTATGAAAACAAAAAGTCCACTCACGGTTGGTCCGAGCTCGCTGGACCTTTGGAAGGTCCCTCCTGCGGGTCAACTGGTGCCCGAGTGCCTGATTCAAATATCATAATAAAATATATTAATAAAACTACTCGGTATAAATATTTAAATAAAACCCTGACCCCCGGCTTCTAGAAGTGCGTGCATCAATTTAAAGTTATTCATATGCCCATATTACGTTCCTTTAATCCTAGGACTTTCGTCCCATGAATCTGGTTTCGATCAGACGGTCAGATTCGTCACGATCACATGATCGACGTTTCTAAACCCTTAACCCTAGGGTTCGCGATTTCGGAGTATCCGGGACTCCGATTCACGATCCGTCGAATCCTACACAATCCTGGCAAGGTCTAGATTAACATATCTGAAAGTGATCACAACCCAACGGTTCGAAACTGTTGGACTCGGATAATGCACACTACGTAAAAGTCCGCTTAACACTCAAACGACGTTCGAATTGAGATCCGCGAATTTCTACACGCTTGTGAGAATACGAGGATCATTCTGAAACTGAGAGTGGTCCCCTCCAGACTGCCCACACGCTGCCACACGCGCCGACAGCTTGGGTGGCTTGAGAAATTTCCGGTGGCCGGAAAAACTCCAAACCGTCGGCCCAAACTCCTAACTTAGGTAAAACACCCATTTTGGAGTCACTTTTGTTCTTAGACTAACCCCAAAAAGTGGCCGGAAGTGGCCGGAATCCTACCCTCAAAACTGGCTGAAACTTAAGTTGAGAATCGAACGATCTACGCTTGAAATTTCTAAAATCCTACCCAACCAGCAGCTAAATCACGAAAAATAGCTGGAAAACCATACCTCACTCGTCCGATTTGGTGGAGAATCGAGGGAGAACGAGCGATGAGAAAATCTGTGAAAACCCGCGCGATTTTCTGCGTTTTCCGGTGGCTGCTGGCGATGGTGACGGCTGAGCTTGATCGGACTTGGAAGAGGAAGTGGCAGTGGTTCGATTGGGTCCGGTCTCGTCGGCCGGAGTGGAGGGTGGCGGTGGTTATGGAGCTTTGAAGGAGACGGCTGGAGAAGGGACGCACGGGAGAGAAGAAGAAATTGGGGGAGAAGAGAGAGAAGCTGAGTTTTTAAAAATCTGACTTGGAAAATTACCATTTTGCCCCTTGAAGTATTTTGATTGTAATTTCTTCGTTACAACTCCGCTTAGAGTCTACTCCATATCTACGGACTCGTTTTCGTCGCGCTCTACACAATGGTGCAAGTGGATTGGTCAAATTCTTCTCCGGTCAAAAGTCAACTTTCCCTTAATAACTTAGTCCAAGGGCAAAATTGTCGTTTCTCCTTAATAAACTAATAGTTAAATATTAATTAAGGTTTGGGTTATTACAATCTCCCCCCCTTATAAAAATTTCGTCCTCGAAATTTACGTACCTGTCACTTGAAGAGGTAAGGGTACTGTTCCTGCATTTGGTCCTCGGGTTCCCATGTAGCCTCTTCCACAGTATGACTTCTCCACAAGACCTTCACAAGAGGGATCTCTCTCGATCGTAACACTTGCGTCTTCCAATCCAAAATCTGAACTGGTTGCTCCACATAAGTCAAATCTTCTTGCAACTCTATTGGTTGTTCCTCCAAAACATGAGAAGGATCAGACATATACTTTCGGAGCATTGAAACATGAAACACATCGTGTAACCGAGAAAGATCTGAAGGGAAAGCAAGCCTGTAAGCTACTGGGCCGACACGCTCCACGATCTTATAAGGCCCAATATAGCGAGGACTTAGTTTTCCCCGCCTTCCAAATCTCATTATGCCCTTCCAAGGTGATAACTTTAGAAATACCCAATCACCAACCTCAAACTGAAGGTCTTTCCTTCTATTGTCCGCATAACTCTTTTGTCGGTCTTGGGCTGCCTTGAGTCGTTCTCTAATTATTTTCACCTGTTCCTTTGTCCGTTCAACATCATCGAACACCTCCAATCTGTTCTCACCCATTTCATCCCAATAGAATGGAGTTCTACACTGTTTCCCATACAAGGCATCATATGGGGACATCTTAATACTCGCCTGGTAACTGTTATTATAGGCAAATTCCATAAGTGGCAACTTCTCATCCCAGTCACCCCGGAACTGCAGTGCGCAAGCTCTCAGCATGTCTTCTAAAGTCTGGATAATCCTCTTAGATTGACCATCTGTTTGGGGGTGAAATGCAGTACTAAACCGCAATTGAGTTCCAAAAGCCTCATTTAACCTCGCCCAAAAATGGGAGGTAAACTGTGGATCTCTATCTGAAATAATAGATACTGGCACCCCATGAAGTCTCACTATCTCATCTATGAAGATCTTGGCCAACTTATTTAAGGTGTAGTTTGCTCTCACTGGTAGAAAATGAGCAGATTTAGTGAGTCGATCCACGATTACCCAAACTCCATCATGCTTATTCTGTGTTCGGGGAAGCTTGAACACGAAATCCATAGTAATATGCTCCCACTTCCATTCAGGAATCGGAAGTGGTTGCAACAACCCTGATGGTTTCTGCCGTTCAGCTTTCACTTGTTGGCAAATTAAGCACTTACTGACATATTCTGCTATCTATTTCTTCATAAAAGGCCACCAGTAATGCTCTCTCAAGGTATGATACATCTTAGTGCTTCTAGGATGCATTGCAAAAGCTTAACTATGAGCCTCCTCAAGAATTTCCCTTTTTAAAACTTCATCATTAGGGACATATAACCTGGTACCCACCATTAAAGCTCCATCACTTCTTACTGAACAATCAGTTCTGTCGCCATTCTCCACCTCTGATCTCAATGTGCAAATCAAAGGGTCCTGTGACTGAGCGGCGACTATTCACTCCACTAGTACTGGTCTCACATGGAGAGTAGCTAACAATGCTCCCTGATCATCCACACTTAGTTCAACTCTGAGCTTCCTCATCTCCACCATAATTGGCACATATCTCCCTCTGAAATAAGCTATAGATCCTGAGGATTTTCTGCTAAGTGCATCAGCTACAACATTAGCTCTTCCCGGATGATGCTCAATAGTACAATCATAATCTTTAATCAACTCTAGCCATATTCTTTAATCAGCTCCTTTTGAGTGAATAAGTACTTTAAACTTTTGTGATCTGTAAAAATCCGGCAAGTTTCTCCATAAAGATAGTGTCGCCAAATCTTCATGGCAAAAACCACTGCAGCTAACTCCAAATCATGAACAGGGTAATTCAACTCATGCTTCTTAAGTTGCCTAGAAGCATAAGTGATCACCCTACCATGCTGCATTAGTACACAACCAAGTCCCTGTTGGGATGCATCACTGCAGATAACGAAGTTCCCGCTATCATCCGGAAGTGCTAAAACCGGAGTGGTGGTCAACCTGGTCTTGAGTTCATTGAAGCTCTCCTCACACTCATCTGACCATTCAAACTTCACTCATTTCCTTGTCAAACAAGTGAGAGGCGCCGCTGTAGCAGAAAACCCTTCCACGAAGCGACGATAATACCCGGCTAACCCATGGAAACTCCGTACCTCCGTAACACTGGTTGGTCGTGGCCAGTTCACTACTGCCTCAATCTTCTGGGGATCAACACAAATACCCTCTGCAGAGATTACATGCCCCAAGAAACTAACTTTATCTAACCAGAACTGGCATTGACTGAATTTGGGAGACAACTGCCTCCTCCTCAAAGTCTTCAGCACAATTTCCAAATGTTTCATGTGTGCCTTCTGACTCTTGGAATACACCAGAATGTCGTCTATGAACACAATCACAAAGCGATCCAAGTAATGTTAGAATACCCTGTTCATGAGATCCATAAACGCAGCTGGCGCATTCGTCAACCCAAATGGCATCACCAAGAACTCATAGTGCCCATATCTCGTTCGAAAAGTTGTCTTAGGCACATCCTCTTCTCTAATCCGTAACTGATGATATCCAGATCTCAGATCAATCTTAGAGAATACCTTGGCACCCTTTAACTGGTCGAACAAATCATCAATGCGAGGCAAAGGATACTTATTTCGCACTGTGACCTTGTTCAACTGTCTGTAGTCAACACATAGCCTCATGGTTCCATCCTTCTTCTTAACAAATAACACTGGAGCGCCCTAAGGTGAAAAACTAGGTCGGATGAAACCTTTATCTACCAGCTCCTGCAACTGAGTCTTTAGTTCCCTCAACTCTGCTGGTGCCATTCTATACGGTGCTTGAGAGATAGGATTCGTTCTTGGAATGAGCTCAATGGTGAACTCGATCTCCCGGTGAGGAGGTAGCCCAGGAAGATCCTCAGGGAATACATCCGGAAATTCTTGTACCACTGGAACATCTTCCAATCTCAACCCTTTATCTCTGGTATCAATCACATGTGCTAAATATCCTGAGCACCCTTTTCTAAGCAAACCGTTTTGCCGTCATAGCTGAGATGAGGCAAGATGGAAGCACTATGCGCTCGCCATAAAATGTCACTTTGGGTCGTCCGGGACTACGGAAAACAACCTCTTTTCGGAAGCAATCTACTGAGGCATGATGTTTGGCTAACCAATCCATCCCTAGAATGACATCCAAGTCAACCATTTCCAGGGGATCAAATCTGCCTCCAGAAATACATCTCCCACTAACACTATACTATCTCGATACACCGTACCAACCTTAAAAATTTCTCCTGTAGGCACAGAGATCACTAGTTCGTTCCGTAAGGCTAAAAGTCTTACATTAGCATTGTGGGCAAAACTAGGTGTAACAAAGGAATGCGTAGCCCCAGGGTCAATCAAAACTCTAGCAGGAACTCCAAAAACTAGTAAAATACCTGTGATCACGTCGGGTGACGCCTGTGCTTCCTGCTGGGACACACTGTACACCCTGCCTGTGGCTCTGGAACGTCCACCACATCCCCTCTATTGATTGCCACCTCTGCTAGCAACACTGGTTTGGGCCCCAGCACTAGACGAGGCCCCTCCAAACTGAGATGTCCCCTGGGATCCGTTCTCCACCCTGTAGAAACATCGGGCACCCCCTCAAAAAATGTCCAGGATGACCGCAATGGTAACACCCAGTGGTGCCCTGTCGGCATGTCCCAGAATGGTACCTACCACACTAAGCACACTGACTACGATTCTTCTTGCCAGAGGCCGACTGTAGTTGTCTCCTAGTACCTCTAGTTGCACTGCCCCCGGACCGGCTCCCAAAACTACCACTCTGATTGGAACCTCCGCTAGAACTGGTTCCGAGTCGGAAACCTCCATAATTGCGGCCACTAGATGACCCCGAGCTATAACTGCCTCTCTTGGATGACCCCTGACTGGGACCACCCATGTCAAACTGTCTCCTGCGAGGTTCACCCTGCACTCTGACCATCATCTAACTGCTCTCTATCAGCGAAGCAGACATCACCAAATCCCCAAAGTTAGTCAGCCGCTGACTAATCACAATGTCTCGAATGCAGGCCTTTAACCCTCTAGTAAACAACTGGCACTTCTTGTTTTCATCCTCTACCAGTGGAACACAATACTTAGACAATTCATTGAACTTCTTCTCATACTCAAGTACTGTCATCGCTCCCTGCTCCAGTTGCAGAAACTCTTCCATTTTCAAATTCTGGTAAGCCAGTGGATAATACTGACTATCAAATGCGGCTCGAAATAATTGCCAAGTGATGGCCGAGGGATCCCGATATCTCCTCTTAACTGATTCCCACCAATGTCTAGCATTTCTAACCAAAAAGAATGTGGCTAGGGCCACTCTGTGATTCTGGGGAACCCTCATCACATCCATGATTCGCTCCATCCTTTCTATCCACTCCTCAGCCACTGTTGGATCACCATCACCATCAAAATCTGTGGCCCCTATTCTCTTAGCTTGATCAGCATATCCCAGGGAGGGATCTCGAGTCTGCTCGGTCCTGGATAGAGCCTGAGTCAACAACTCCAAAGTCTGCTGGAAGTTGGGATCTCCCGGCATAGTGGGCACGGCCGGAGCAGCCCCTGATGGACCTCCAACAAAAGACTGCTCTACCTGTCCCCTAACTCGGGACGACTGTCTGGTCCCTCTAAGGAAGCCACCACGTTTAGGGCCCATGCTTACTGTCACAAGAAACATATGTTCAGTAAGACTTGGATGCACAAAGTGCGGAGTCTACAGGAAGTTAAACCTAATGCTCTAATACCAAGTTGACAGGACCTGACCCAAATTCCACTTTGGAATCCAAGCCGAACCCTGTTCGTGAACGACACCTGGCGGGTGCCGAGCACAATTGACTTGGTTGCCCTTTTTCTGATTAGAAACTTAATTCCCTTAAATCCTGACTTCTACCAAAATTTCGGCAGAGTCTCCCCTGTAAATCGAACGTTCCCAAAATTTACACCTGTCAATAAGCACTTAAATATATACACCAACTGCCGGTACACAAAATAAGTAAGTTCCAACAGTTAAATATGTTCCAGGGCAATGTCAGAGCAACTATACAGATTTATTTACAAAGGAGGTAACCACTTGAGGACCAAGGAACCCTACATCAAAACGGGGAAGAGCGGGAAGCGGGAAATGCCCTGTGGTGGCTCTCGGATGCACGTCTACAGCCTGGGGGCGCAAAACATTAAAAAGGTGAGTGGACCCAAAAACAAAGTTTAGAAAATACATATGAACATACTAACCCCACTGTAAAAGCAGTTATAAAAACTAAATCATTCTCTTCTGTATATGCGTACTGAAACCAATGCACTCATATATACATATATACATATATAAGTATACCAATCATGCTCATGGTCAACATCAATCTCTTAAAAGCATTGAAAATCAGTTTAAAACTACCACCTAGGTGTACCCCTTTGTTTCCGTCAATTCCCGATATCCGTCAATTCCCCTCGCATAACCATTGGAGACACGTCCTCGCAGGTCTCAGTGATACAAAGTCAATCTGAGCTGCAACCTCGCAGGATTCAGGGGACCTTGGTCAACCTAATCCGCATCCTCGCTCCACACGAGTCCGGATACCATAGAACTCGTGGGGCAGCTGTCAAGCATGCTGACTAAACCGAAGGAAATTGATAAAATCCGAAGGCAACCTAGATGTCCGTGGACATCATCATATCCGAAGGCAACATCTGTATATCTGGGTACCTCAGGTGGCTTAGAAAATAACAATAACAATAAGCAAAGTTTTTGAAAGATATGATAAAGCTGGACTCTACTGCCATTCATCTGATGTTTAACTAAAATTCTCTTTCTCTATATCCCTAAAGGATATTCCACTCGGCAGCATGCAAATCATAATATTTAAAAGCATGTCTCACTTATAAAACACTATTCTTTGAATAAAACTTATTCAAGATCAAATACTGAAACTAAATTTCATAAATTCATTTATGAAAACAAAAAGTCCACTCACGGTTGGTCCGAGCTCGCTGGACCTTTGGAAGGTCCCTCCTGCGGGTCAACTGGTGCCCGAGTGCCTGATTCAAATACCATAATAAAATATATTAATAAAATTGCTCGGTATAAATATTTAAATAAAACCCTGACCCCCGGCTTCTAGAAGTGCGTGCATCAATTTAAAGTTATTCATATGCCCATATTACGTTCCTTTAATCCTAGGACATTTGTCCCGTGAATCTGGTTTCGATCAGACGATTAGATTCGTCACGGTCACACGATCGACGATTCTAAACCCTTAACCCTAGGGTTCGCGATTTCGGAGTATCCGGGACTCCGATTCACGATCCGTCGAATCCTACACAATCCTGGCAAGGTCTAGATTAACATATCTGAAAGTGATCACGACCCAACGGTTCGAAATTATTGGACCCGGATAACGCACACTACATAAAAGTCCGCTTAACACTCAAACGACGTCCGAATTGAGATCCGCGAATTTCTACACGCTCGTGAGAATACGAGGATCATTCTGAAACTGAGAGTGGTCCCCTCCAGACTGCCCACGCGCCGCCACACGCACCGCCACACGCGCCGACAGCTTGGGTGGCTTGAGAAATTTCTGGTGGCAGGAAAAACTCCAAACCGTCGGCCCAAATTCCTAACTTAGGTAAAACACCCATTTTGGAGTCACTTTTATTCTTGGACTAACCCCAAAAAGTGGCCGGAAGTGGCCGGAATCCGACCCTCAAAACCGGCTGAAACTTAAGTTGAGAATCGAATGATCTACGCTTGAAATTTCTAAAATCCTACCCAACTAGCAGCTAAATCACGAAAAATAGCTGGAAAACCATACCTCACTCGTCCGATTTGGTGGAGAATCGAGGGAGAACGAGCGATGAGAAAATCTGTCAAAACCCGCGCGATTTTCTGCGTTTTCTGATGGCTGCTGGAGATTGGGTTCGATGTCGTCGGCCGGAGTGGAGGGTGGCGGTGGTTATGGAGCTTTGAAGGAGACGGTTGGAGAAGGGACGCACGGGAGAGAAGAAGAAATTGGGGGAAAAGAGAGAGAAGCTGAGTTTTTAAAAATCTGACTTGGAAAATTACCATTTTTCCCCTTGAAGTATTTTGACCGTAATTTCTTCATTACAACTCCGCTTAGAGTCTACTCCGTGTCTACGGACTCGTTTTCATCACGCTCTACGCAACGGTGCAAGTGGATTGGTCAAATTCTTCTCCGGTCAAAAGGTAACTTTCCCTTAATAACTTAGTCCAAGGGCAAAATTATCCTTTCTCCTTAATAAACTAATAGTTAAATATTAATTAAGGTTTGGGTTATTACAATTTATATTATATTCTTGACCATCAACTTAAATATTTTTTTTGTCTACACAAATAATCATTTTCTATTATCAAATTGGATGACAACTTAAATAGTTGTTACCAAATAAACAATAGTTGTTCACTAATTAAAGTTTTTATTTTTAAAGATAAACATAAAAAAAAAATTACACATTGTGCGGTTTAAATACTAAAATATAATAATTAAAAAAAAAAAAAAAAAAAAAAAAAAAGAAAAAATTGCATTGTTGTTTCTATTTTACAAGCCTAAAAATACAAAAATAAGAGTAAGAAAAAAAAATACACATTACGTTGCAGTTTCTATTTTCTAAACCTAAACAATACCAATGGATGTTGGGGATGCATATGTTGTGGTGGTTTTATGTTTTTTTCCGACATATAAGTTGCACATGATGCACTCTGCATTTCTTATGTTTATCTTTTGGCAGATAAGTGTGATTAGGGAGACTCGAACTACAAATGCGGACTTAAAGCATTTCCAACCGATGTGTCAAAAGTGCCACATAAACATTTAACGGCTAGAAATAACATCTCACATCACTCCAACCGATGTGTCAAAGCTGATATGGAATGAAGGCTGGAGGTTGAGATGCTATTTTTGACATCCCAAAAGTAAGATGTCAAATGAATATTTTATTATTTTTAAAAGATAGTTGGCTGTTACTTTCATTTATTATTTTCCTTTTTATATTTTTTTTCTTCTTTATTTTAAATGATTTGACTATTACAATAATTATTTATTTGACATATCGGGTGGAGTGTAAAACTGTGTAAGTGTCAAATTGCCACATCAGCCATCAAATTTAAATTTGATTTTTGGTATTTGACATCTCCCTTGGAGATGCTCTTAGACACATAAAGTGATAAGCAAATAAAGCTTCCAAGTGACAAGTTCCGTATAATATGTGACAATTAACTTGTTAATTTTAGTATGTTAAGTTTTGAATGTAATTTGCAAAGTAGTTTCAATATAATTTGTCCAGATCGTTCATATTTTTATCTAATTGTTCTATTTAGTGGATGTTGATTTTCAATTTGTTATTTTGATATTATTTATTTTTAACTATCCAGGATGCTTTTTTATTTTAATTTTTTTATATTATTAATATTGTTTTTGACGGCTAAAAGGCGTCAACGAAGAACACTTAAGTGTCAGGAATTATAATTGTTGATGGCTATAAAACATCAAGATAAAGGTTCATTGAGAGTTTTTTGATTGGTTTGTGACGCTTTTTAGTTGTCAACGCACACTGTTCCTTGACGACTAATAACTGTCAAGTTTGACGGTACCTTTTATTGACACTGGCACTCTTGACACTTCTTGATCAGTCAGGAAATGGTTATGTTCACGCTTTTTAGCTGTCAACTAAGTGTGTTTTTCTTGTAGTGAAGATATGAGTAAAGATTATATTCTATAATCCTAAAAATATCAATATAATGGTAACATAAAAACACAAAATGCGTTGCAATTTCTATTTTATAAAATTAAAAAATGCCAATATAAGAGCAACATAAAAATACAAATGCAATTTCTATTATATAAGCCTAAATATGCCAATATTAGAATAACTTAAAAATACACATTATTATAGTTTCTATTTCTATAGAATTGGTTTTTGTTTGCATTTTGCAGTTTTTGTTTTTGTTGACATCATTGATATCTACATTGTTTTGTTACAAAGTAGTAGTTTTTTTGTTTTTTTGTTTTACATAATTGATATGTACATTTTCTGTTATATAAACCTAAAAAATACCAATCTAATATAAATAAGGGTTCAAAACTTATAAATTTTTGTAACTTTAAATTGATCTATTAATGTATAACTCTAGAGCATCAAGAATTTGGTACAAATCGTGCGTGAATCGGTGTTGAAATGAATAAATTTTTTTTTTTAAAAGAAACCTTTGACTGTTAATATAAATATTATGTAACTGTAATAATATAATAAAAACAAGGTTTGCGTAGTAATTTGTGATTGCGGCTTCCTCCTTGAGGGTCAAGGTTCAAGTCCCTTCAAGTACACACAATTTTCTATTTTTTAAGGGTGAATAAAGACCAGTGGTGGGGTAGCGACAACTGGCTGGCAATGGGTCACCGGACAAGTGGCATAGAGTGATTGACTTCAAATAAATTTGTTAAAATATAAAAGGAGTGGCAATGTGTATAATTTTGAGGTTTTTTATATTAAATTATTGTAAAATTGGATAGTATATTTTAGACATGGGCTTAGCCAAGTTGGCTATAGCAGATGTGCTCCTTGCTCTGCACCCAAGTTCGAATCCCCAAAATGATGGGATTGGTAGTGGAAGGACTCCAAAATGATAGGATTAGTAAAGTTACTAGTTTGACTAATTATTTTGTTGATGGGAATTGATTAATTAATTTCTTATATATGAATTTTTTTTTGGCTCTTCAGTTAAAAAGATGGAATTGAATTTGCCAGCCCACTATTTTTTATATATTTTTTTAATAACCCTTTCACTCTCATAAAAAAACAAAAACAAAAAAAAACTCTAATTGCAGCCACTCGCCACTTTTCTCACCTTTGTCTTCTTCCTCTCTTTTTTTTGTCTATTAATTCACTCGCCGCTTACAATCAATCACTTGAATTATCACTTTGTCCAATAATCCGCTTGTGGCTTACAATCAATCATTCCACTTGTTTCACAACAAGCATTCATTAACTCTTTGATGGATATGTCATCCTTTGGTGATCTAGGATGTCCCACAAGTTTACCTTTCAAACTATAAAGTTCTAAACTTTATAACAATTTCAATCTCATTACTGTTCAATTGGACTTATCAAATATTTTGTTATCCTTGGGGTTAAAACGTAAGGAGGGATTTTGATGACTTATTATAAAAGATTTATACTTTATTATCCTTTGTGATAAAGATCATCCATTGAGATACCTTGTAAAGAAAAATCTTTATCTCTTAAGAGGTATCTTGTTTAAGCATTAACCCTTCATAACAATTAAAAGAGTGTAGATGCCCTCTAAATGATTTCCCTTTTCTTTGCTTTCTTGAAATCCTAAATCTCTTGGATTTTAGACTTAGTAAAGTCCAACCGTGAGCAATCAACGGTGAATGCTATAGAAAGACAATGGATACCATTCCATTCATTATCTTATACAACTCATGTGATCTCCATTCTAGTTCATAACTTAGATTGTTTGGATTTCTCAATTTCTAGATGCAACTCATAAGTTAGAATTGGAACCTTTAAAGAACCACACATTGCTTATCCTATGAATATTATCTTGATTGTGAAATCTAAACCTTTTAGAAATCAATCTTGTATTAGATTTATCATATCTCAATATTCTAAACAATTAATGTAAGAACAGTTTCGTACATTCATCTCACAGAGCATATAGAGATCAAACTTCATATTACCATAATACAAATAGTCATATATAAAGCAAACTAGTGGTTATGTCATACAATCCATAAAACTATCTTCTAAAACATGAAGATAGCAAGTAAGTTCTTTATACATGCTAAAAACCAAATAAACTAAATAAGTTCATAAGTTCTAAAGATTTCCATAAACAAATAAAGGCTTGCTTGACGATTCCGAATTCTAGCAATCTTCATCTCTATGAGCTTACTACTTGTTCTTAGTTTGTGCAACAACATGACCTACAATAGATCATTGTTTGTTAGACTCAAGTAAGGTATAAACATTCTCTTAGAGCTTTAGTGACAGATTAAACTGTACCTTCAGCTTGGTTGTCCTTCAGGCTAGCTAAGTAAGCCCGGCAATTCCTTTTCCAGTGTCCGTCTTTCCCACAATGGAAACACTATCCTTTCACCTCTTCCTTCTTCCTGTTTCTTCTTGACGCCTCCTTTGGGTTTGAGTTTAGGGTTCCATTTCTTCTTCTTGCTGACATTGAATTTGCCTTTACCTTTAGTACTGGGATTAGCAGAAGAAGTTGCAACCTTCTAAAAAATAGCAATGGTCCCATCCCTCATTCTCTCTTGAAGGTCTTTTCAATATTCACACACATGTTCAATAGCTCTGAGAGAGTGTGCTCTATCTTCCCCATATTGTAGTTCATAACAAAATGGGAGAAGGAATCAGAAATGGACGCAAGGAAGAAATTGGTGGCCAAGTTGCAGTCCAGTGGACTGTTAAGACTTTCTAGCTGCTTAGTGAGTCCTATCATCTTCAATCTATGTTGGTGGACTGGGGCTCCCTTAACCATCTTCATCTTCAAAAGCTCACATACAGCGCTGAAGCGTTTGTTGCGTGTACCTTCTCTATAAATCTCTTGGAGATGGGATATCATGTCAGCAGCATGCATCATATGCTCATGCTGTTTCTGGAGCTCCTCATTCATGGAAGCAAAAATGTAGCACTTGGCCTGACAGTCATCATCCACGTGCTTGTCATACTTAGCATATACTTCCTGAAAAGCATCTTTAGTAGGGGGCTTCTCAGGTGCTTGCTCTAGTATGTACACAATCTTCTCGATAGTCATGAATATTTTGAGATTGCGGTACCATGTTGGAAATTTATGGCCTTCTAGACAATGTTTGTCCAGGAGTTTGGCGAATTCGTTCCCAAACATATCTACAAATACATATAGCTAAGTGTTAGATTAATTTTAGATTTACCATTGACTCAGGTCTTTAAGTCAACAGGTAACCCCCACTATTTTTGGCAAATTCTCATATCCCTCAAGATGGAATATCAGAGTTTTGGCTAAAACTCTTAGTGGGATGGGAGGCTCCCTATTATCCGGATCACCGCACCATAATATGATCTAAGGATACTTTGGACAATAAAGAGAAGGCATGTTTGCCTCTTCACATCTTGATGTGATTACCCATTTCATTTTACCTCTAGCAAATGTGAACCCCGGAATGTTATCGTGAGGTCCCATTGTACTAGTTAAGTCTTAGCTCACCATGCTTGCTTAGTGTAGGAATCAAACGTGAAACCTCATCATATTAGAATGTTGGCCTATGCTTGTTTCTACATTTGCAACATTAAATGCATGAAATGGATCCCTCCTAAACATGCGTTGTTGCTATCAACTTCCCCATGTTTGAGACAAGCCTTCACAAGTGTCATGCTCATTTGGAATCCGTCATGGTGGAAGGCCACACAAAGGACATCAAGAATGCCTTCTGTTTATCGACTTAATGTTATCAATTTATTGAGGAAGTTTTGGGTCACATTTTTTATCTTGTTAAACACTTTAATCGTTTTGACAACATATTGTCCTAGGACAACTATTACTCCATTTAAACGTATTAGTAGTTACACTATACTCCCACTATTTTGTTTCAAAAACTCAAATCAATTTCATAAAACTATTTTATCTTGAAAATAGGAATATGCGTCACTATTAACGAAATACATTTTGCATTTCTTAAGTATGGTTAACTAGTGGTTAAATAGTTGTCTATAGGCCCATGGATGATTATGGACTTTTCATTTTCGATTCAACATCGAGCCAAGATGTTGAATCTAGGTCTTTGGCGGGTGATTGATTTTATTACGCATTTTAACTTCTTTAAAACATTCATGGTTGATGGGCATTGGACCCAAGACTATTCTCAAAGTCCCTAACTAATCTTCTTTCTCCTTTGTCTCCTTGGGCTTCCTTCTTCCTGATACCTATAGAAGACTCAAGGCTCAATGGACCTTGAGGGAATTGTGTTTGGAGGGGGATAGAAACTACATAAGAGAATGAGAGAGGAGAAGCATGCAAGCTTCTATTTAATTTACAAACCAATTGCTAATTTAAGCAACCTCAAAAATAAAATTAGTTACAATCCATCCATTCAATCAAACCCATTCATCTAATGAATATTGGGCAATCACATTGCTCAATTTGGTTTTTGGGGCCTTAAGTCCATAATTATCCTTATTCCAATCATTTAATCAAATTAAATAACAAAGGATATGATACATTAAACAATTAAGACTTTAGAACCTATAGGCTTATTTCTAATGGAACATTTAAATCAAACATAAAATTTTGATGTTTCACTAAAAGACAAAAACAGTTTTGTTTTTAGTGTATTAGGGCAAATTTGCAATTTCAAAAGTTATGGGCCAAAATCGAAAATACTACATTTTTAATTTGGACCCAACAGTTTTGTGTGATTGCATGAAAACCCAAAATGGGTCTCCCTAAGGTGTCTGCCAAAATTTGCAAGGGGATGGTAGGTTTTTTATGTGTGGTCTCACTTGTCATGACATTCCAAATTGTATCCATAAAGCATCTTTATTCTCATTGGCCAATTTCAAAAGATGAAATGGCAATGGGAGACACAAGGTACAACCATATGGCCCTTGTCACAAAATATTTTTGACTAACATGTAACCATCATATCTCATACAATTCCATGAATCAAAAAGCAATATTCTCTAGGGATCAACAAGAACTTTTCATCAAAATCTCAAGAACATAAAGAATTCTTATTCTTTCAAAACCTTTTTATAAAATCATCTAAAATCCTAAAATCTTGGAAAAATCCTATTTGTGTTTAGAATTTCAAGACTAACACAACAATGTATATTATATAAGCATGAAAAACACATAAGACCAAAAATCCCAATGATGCCGCCACCCCCTTGTCCATTTTGAAAAATCTCTTTCATGGAACATCTAAAATTCCAAGTATCAAGCATACATGTGAGTCAATCATGAAAGATATGACATGTTATAACATTTATAACCATGAAACTAAGCCCATATTCTTTCTAAGACTCAAAAGGGTGCACCTTTTCATATTCGTCACCCGCCAACGGTTAAAAAAATTCAAATTCGTGCACTGACGCCAGCCTACCATCAATGCTAACGTCACATCCCTTAGGCAGGAGAACGGGCTGATTTTGCCTTGGGCCTTGCCCAGGTTGGTGGCCCCCACATCTTGCTCAGCTTGCATTTGTGTACTGGAAGAGCCTTCGCTGACCTAGGCCCCCTCTTGCCCGGGCTAGGGCGCAGTGCTAGAAATGCGCTTAGATCTTTTAGTGGGTCATGTGCACCTAGGCTTTTGTAAAGCCCAATTTATTCATTATTTTTTGCATTTTGCATTTTTTATTGGTTTTTACATAGGTATGTGTCTTTTAAAGGTATTTAGAACCTCAAAGGGAAAAGTCTATCATTTCCTTTTTTTTTAGAACTTAAAGCTATGACATCTTCTCACTAGAACGTAGTAAACTATACCTAACACACTTTTTCAATGATATATATAGTTATTGGCATGCCGATACTTATGTCAAACACTTCGCAGTCAAAACACAAAATAAATGCAACTAACACACATGTTATATCTATTCTTTACTATTTCGAAAAGTTGTCAATGGGTTGCTAGTACTTGATGCCCATGATATCCTTTTCCTGACACACTAAAATTAAGTATATTATGATTTGATTACTGCCTTACTTTTCTCATATTAGATTATATCTTCAAAAGTTATTGTAGCTAGATAGATAGAGATGAAGTTTCAATTACCAACTAGTCATAATACAAAAAATCATTTAGCATTTTCCCTAAAAAGTTATTATAATCAGATAATGAGCATAGCAATCATAAGCTTCTCGAATATGAGAATCAAATTCGACATTATTTTATGACAATACCAAAAACAACTTTTTTGCTAAACATAAAACAACGGATGATAAACCCCCACATAAAATCAACCAAACACCCTTCCCCCCCATAAAACAACTAACAAAAAAGAAACATTTTTGGTGTCATACCAAAACAGACAACATTAATGAACCTCTCTCTCTCTCTCTCTCTCTCTCACTAACAAGCACGCCTCACTCGACTTCGTCCTAATCCAGATCCATGGGCACAAGAAACAGTCGCTGTAGCACTGCCATCCCTATCAACATTTGAAGTGCCACCATCACTTGTAGCTTCGACAGTGGTGGGATCAAAAGATGCCTTATTTCGTGCCACATGAGGTAGAGCGAGAGCCTTTTCTAGAACTTCCTTCTGTCCCATTATCCCAATCAATCGGTTATATGAAAATTGACTCCCATCCTTATCCACCCTTGAATCTAGGGTTTCGCTATCTGATTCCCAAATTTCATCATTAGAAATGTTCAAATTAGAGAGATTGGCTCGCATGTCTTGGAAGCGATGTTGCCCGTTGACACAATAGAGTTTATTGTCCTTGGTCATGACAAGGACAGTGGCATCTATCCCAGTCGTCTCTTTTAAGTCGCGGATTTCCTTCGACAAAACTATAAACTTACGACGTAGTCGATTTTTATTTTGGTTCATGTTTCGGCTCAGTTGAGATTGTTTGGATGTGTTTTTGGAGGTAATTTTGACATTCATGATGGCCCAAGATGATGGTGCCAAATATTGTAAATCTAAGGGCTAAAGGTATTAGGGTAATACATATATCACAGAAATTAGAAAAAGGTCTGTTATGATTTAAGAACCAAGCCTATCGATGTATTTATAAAAGAGGTTCCGAATGTACAACGTATATTTCCATCTTTGCTGCAATATAATTGCTTTTGTGCATATGGGTGGAATCAAATTTTTTATGCTATATTTGTCAATGTTAAAAAGGAAATTTGGGCTACCTACCTAAACACAAAAAAAGAAATTATGCTACTTACCCAAAAACCCAAAAAGGAAAATTGTAATGATGTGTCGGATATTTTCATTTATTTATTTAAATTCTAGCGTACCTTGGCCATTATTCCTTAATGACAAAAAGTTTGAAATTTAGTGACTTACGTGTTTAGAGGCTGGTGGTGGGATTTTATTTGGCCCATGATGTAGGGCCGGCCATGAGCTCGTGGTCGCAAACAATTCTCAAGTGGGAGTTAAATTCAAAAAGCTCCATCAGCATTTTTGGACAAAGGGAGACAATTCATAACCCTACGCACCCCTATAGTCCCAAAGCAACAACTGTTACTCTCTCTTTCTCTCTCTATCACAAACTACTACAAGAAAAATGACGGATTTGGTATTTTTGGGGGAATGGTATGGGTTGAGGAGTGGAACATTTTTCAAGAAAAATGGATAATGTTTTGTAAAGGATAATGTTTGTATTTTTAGGGACTCTTTGTACAATGAAAGTTCTGTAGCTTTGTAGTGAAGTATAGCTTGCGTCTTAGAGCTTCAAAATTTTCGCTCCTCTTCATACCTTCCAATCAAAATGTCATTACTTGAACTTCACTTGATCTATCCTAGAAGATATGTAACATGATTTTGTGCTAGGAACATGCCAATATATAAATCTTGCACTAATAGAAACATCAAAGATCCAAAATGGCTCCTACAAGATCAACAATGTCTAAGGATCCAATGAAACGAGTACTTAATGAAGCAGATATCTCAACGTCCAAGGATCTACACATAATTTTTCTATGTTATTAAGTACAAATAAGAACACGTAAACTCTCTTTAAGCTTTGTGAAGACTTTTGATAACCATGTAAACCTTAGGAGTATGATATTTTGAACTAGAAGAATTACAACTCTAACTACAAGAAGCAAGCCTCAAAGTAGGTATGTTATTTACACTAATTTGCATCAAATAACTCAATTAAAATCCTAGATGGTAAATAGGCATCAAGACATTCAATCAAGTTTATAAGCACAATGATTAAGATCCAACATAAAAAGAGGCAATCAAAACATAGGCAAAATAAGAAAACTAGATCATCATATTAGGGTTTCATCATGCCCAAACAAAAGTATTTAGTTACACATAGTCATCATAAAAATCATAATAGAAGTCATGACAAAAGATAGAAGACGGGAAACAGTGATGATGCACACGTCGAAGCTCCCTATTGTTTCTTGAATCCAAATTGTGTAAAAAGTATGGTAGAGAGAACTTAGACAAGCCTTATTATACAGTAACCTACTCTAAAAATTTCTAGAAAACCCCTCCCAAAACAAAGCAAAAAACTAAACAACTAAAGAAACTTACTAGGAAAGCAATCCTTTTTTTACAAGGACAAACGTCAACCATCTTGCACACATGTTGTGGCGACATTCCACCTTCTAAAAATTTATGGACAAATATGAGAACTGTAGCTCTATCTCTTAGTTTTCCAGAAATATGTTGCACATTATCTGGAAAAATCTTGAAAGTCTCAAACTCTTCAATCTTTGACAACAACGCAGTTTTTTCGGCATTGCAACTTTGGCTATCTTGATAAAAAAATTCTGGAACAAATGGCTTTATGAAAAATTTGGCAAAATTCACACAATAATAGCTTTCTTCTCCAATTGGCCTTGCGCTAAAATTCCTCCGAAAAGTTGATTTTCCTTATATAAAAAAGCTGAAAATAAAAAAAGTACAGTAATAAGGCTCTTTTTAATCAACTTTCCCTACAAAAACCAAGTATGCATAGTATAAAAATGTAAGAAACAATGAATCTATCAACGACCTTCCCTCTCTTGCACCTGAAGTTGTAGATGAATTGTACGCATAAGGGGCGGATCCACATAAGGCCAAGAGGGGTCAATTGACCCCTTAAAGCCTGCAATCCACCATTGGAGGCGAAGATTTTGACCCCTGGCAATTGTCCACAAATTACTTCATGAAATGTTCCAGAGCTTTTCTGTCTTTGTCCTTTTACATTCATTTATTTTTTATATTACTCCATTTACTTAAGTTTACATGTATAAAAATACTAGAAAATCAAATTCCCACCAAATCAAAATATGAAAAATCAGTTTTAGTCAAAATATGATTTAGGCTAAAAATGATGGCTCATTAAGTCAATATGTACTTCATACTAAAATCCCACAAAATCAAGTTTTCTTATTTGATGTGTAAGGAATAAAAGCTGCCAAAAATTATGGTGAGAAAATGATTATTTCGAAAATCCATTTTTAGCCAATATTTTTACATAAAACAATTTTTCATATATGATATGAATGTATGAATTTAAGTAAAAAGCCTTAGATGTTCAATCCACAAAGAGTTTTACAAGAATAACCTAACTCTTACGTATTGAAGAAATATTTGCTTGAATAAGCTTCCCCTAAGATAGTACTCAAGGGTCCAAAGTTTGAGAGTTAGAGCCCAAAAGAAATGCAAACAAAGCCCAAAATCAAAATGATGATGGACCTTAAAAATGATGTAAATGCCTTAAAATGAGCAAGATTGCCAGCTCTTATGTTGAATAGGACGAGATGCCTAGGGAGGCGAAGAGGATTATGCTAATTTTTTGTTTTATTATCACATTTTTAGACATATTTTGGTTTATTGCGATGTGTATCTATTTTTTGAAGTTGATGTAGTTCTCTTTGATAATGAATATGAGTATTTTGTATGGTTTTATCCATTAATTAAGAATTAGAATATTATCGTTTCCTTTCGATGGGTCTATTTTGTATAATAAATTGAAAAAATTAACCTTTTACACGTTGACTCCCGGAATGAAAATTCCTAGATCCGCCACTAAGCATAACCATTGCTAGGCTATCTGTTGCATGCAAACATTCCCATGAGGCCAACAATGCACATGGTTTCTCAGGTGTTATCGCTCCAAACTGCTTCTTCCTGTGGAGGACCAGACGATATTACACTTGAACAACTTGTTACGATCTGAATTGCGTGTTACATATTGTAGTCATTTTAGTATTCCTTTTCATATATCAACTTTAAAATGTGTACTGTTTTTCAGCTTGGTTAAAATCTTCTCCTATTCCTTCATACATAGTACTGAGTCTGTTTTGTACCAGAAGTAAACTGGTTTGACCAGCTTATCCTATTTATTACCACCTTTTATTGAAAATTCAGATCACAAATTTTAATTTCTAAGACTAAAGCTCGTGCTGAATTTAATTTCGCTGACGACTAAAGCAGTCCATATAACGATGCAATCGATGCAGTTAAATATGTTCTGCTCTACCAATTAGAATTCATAAACTAGCAATCTCGTTCAATGACTTTGATTGATGAATTCAGTCATTCAGCAAATTGCTTGGACATTTGAAATATATGGAAAAGTACTAAAACATGTGTTTTTGTTGTGCTGTGTTCTTCGCATGATCATAGAATATATGTAAGCAAGTAAAGTGGCCATGGCCAATAAAGAAAGAAGAGGCAAAAAACTTATACAGCCCAAAAGAACAACCACACAAAGAACTATGAGATGACCTAAGATTATATTCCCTCCAAAGTCGATCAACCAGATCCTTATTTCTATAAGCACCAAATCATCCTTATTTCCGTTCTGGTTTTTGGTAAAGAACAGTTATATGTTGTTGTTGCTGGTAGTCCGCACACTCAACAACGGCAACCTGGAGCGCCTGGAGGCTTTATAGTTTCGACTAGTCTACGGTCAATAATCTTCATCTTCGAAAACTCCGTATCGATGTTCTCTTCTGCAATGAGAATACAAAACTTTATTAATAACTAATCATGCAAAACAATTTATCGATGTACACATACATATACACGGCGCTCCTAAAGAGAGATTGCTTTTGTTTTCAGAAAATGAGAATCCCTTGTGACGCCTATTTTTAGTCTCTATTTAACCATTTGGGAAAGAGACTAACTGGTTTCTGAAAATTGGGAAACTCTGGCAAACACGACTTTGGATGAGAACAACAGCAATAGGATGAAGAGACTCATGTAAACAGCGTTGGCCTTGGGAACCATTTTTTATGATAGCCAGGTATAAGCTCCCCTCCTCCCTTCTAAATCCCACACCCCCACCTTATATTATATATAATGCCAGTAAACACCACATAGGGAAAATAAAGTCAAGGTCTTTGCGTGTTTCACAAGCCAAGGTCAAGGGATTTCGGGACAGTGGATCCGCTCCCTTGATATTAGCCTTGCAACCTAAATTCATGAACTCGGTCTTTCATCAAATAGTTTAATCGGGGTGATCCCAAAGGACTTTGATAGATCAACTACTTTCTTTGGTGAATTTGAAGTTGAATGGCAATCAACTTTGGCGTCCTATAGCCATATGCATTTGGATCATTAATTGATATTGAATATTTTGATGTTCAAGAATATACGTTCACAACTTCGTCCTAAATAAAATATAACAGATAATGAATGGTTCAATTACTAATATCACTGAGGTCTTTTATGATAAAACCCCATATCTATTAGACTTTGTAGGTGGTTAAGTTAATGTTGCTAGTAGTGAGCCATTGACCTGTCTCTTTGAAATTTGATTTTAGAGCAGATTGATTGACTAGGCCTAGGCCTCAATTACTGGACTTTTATCCTTATTCTTATCAATATGTGGTGTTTGCATGATGGGCTTGAATGTTTACCCTTACCCA